CCGGCCGGGGCCGTGCGGTCGTGGCTTCTGAGAGAAAGTTCGGGGATCTTCGACTCTCCTGGCTGGAAGGCCTTGGCCTCGGCGCGCTGGCGGTGGGTGGCCTTTCTCCGGAGCGCTTCGATTCTGCTGCCTGCTGCCGAAAAAGCAGAGGTCGCTGCGCGCCGTGCTGGAGTCCGAGCATTCAAACTTGTCTCCCTAGCATCGCAGTCTTGCTTCGGAGTTGGTCTTGGGTCTTCGCCGGTTTGGAGCTGAAGAGACGCTCCGCCGAACCTGCCTTGCATTCTCATGGTCTCGTGCGGCTCAAGTGCTGTCACACGGCATCTAAACCAGCCCTACAAGGCTCAGAAAGTCGATCGTTTGAACGTCTGTGCACGATCCAGTTGAGCCCAGGAGGAGCTTCTGTTAGACACCTATGTTATGTTCAAGAGGGACCCTCAAGCCCCGAGCAAGTCACTCACATGCGAATCCCCAAACTTCGTGCTGCTCGAACTCCCAACTGTTAGGCTTAGTGCTTGATGCGATGTCCAAACGAATTGAATCAAAGAGCTGGTGCAGAAATCTGGAAGTCAAATCGTGACATGCTGTACCAATCCCCAACCCAAAAGCTATTATCGGGGGTGCCCTGGACATTGCATTGTTCTTCCCAGCATATGGGCTGCGGAGCGAGCAGCCAGAGCAAGTATGCCGGGCACTGTGGGGGCCAAACGGGTTGAGCATCTGACAGGTCCCTGGAAGTGCTGAACACTCATGTCTGATTCTTGCCTAGGGCCTAAGATCGGGAAGTTGGTGTTGCCAATTCTGAGCGCACAACCCCCTATTTTCTAGCACTTCTTGATCCCTGCTCCGACATCTGAAGCTTACTTCGTTGGGATGGCAATCGGTAAGAAATGTAAGAATCACCGGCTTAATGCAGAAAGCTTGGGTTGCAATGGATTCATTGCTAGGCTGTTGACGCATACAGCTTCTTTTGGGTTTTATCGAGGCGGGACTTTCGGGTTCAGGGTGTGAGGGGCTGAGGGCATTGGGGAGTTTCAGTGGAGTTTCGCAACCGTGCGCACGTGTGCTGCAGACAAAATCGTTTTCCGCCCAAAAGTGGCGATTCAGATCACCTTTTCTGGTGATCCCGCTTCTCTCTGCCAGTTCCCTGCCGCGCCCTTTGGCTTATGTTGTTTTTGATTGAATGAGGTTTTTTAGAACACTTGGAAGCTATTGGAAGCTCTCAAGTGTGCACTGCTCAACCAGAACATTCCAGGTGTCGGCATGTCTGTCAGCGAGTTCGGAACAAGGAATTTTACAGTTTTTAAACACGCCAAGTTCCGAACTGTCGTTTAAGTTGGGCCGCGTTCCTGCACCCGTAGCACCAGTCGTGCTGTATCATCCCCACATGCAGAGAGGCCCTGAACCCAAAATGTCACAAGCCACTCCACTCGCTCTCTGTTCTCCAGCACTCGCCGACCTAAGCCGCCAGTCCCCATAAAGACCCAGAGAATCCGTGAGCACCTAAATCCGCAAGAGTTCTCGTGCACCCTACCGGTCCCGGCAAGACACAACAACCGATGTCTCCCAGGCCATGAGTGCCGCAGAAGTTGCCGTGCTTGAGGGGAGCGAGCCGATCCTTCGTCTGCATTTAGGGCGTCTAGTGCCGGTCTTCAATCCCAAGTCAAAGGCTTTTCATCGAATACCTCATCGAACATTTTGATTAAGCAAAATAGGCGAGCTATTGTTAAAATAGTGGCAGTAACATGCAGTAACCCCAAGCACTGGCGATAGCTTTCTGCCGCGGTCCAAGAGACTCTGGGGCACAGTGGCAAATTCCTGATCCGATTTTCCGCTAGAGATGTTCTGCTGGGCAACGCTCAGCTCGAGACCTCGAGTAGCAAACGGAAGTCGTACCAGTCTAGTTGAAGCTTCCAGCAGGACTCGCACTGCGAATTGACATAGTCTGTACACAGGTTGGGGATCAATCTGGCGAAGTAGTAAGGGTTTACACCGTGGTGTTTAGGCTTATGTAGGGTTTGTTTTAGAGTTTCCGAGGCATAACTGACAAGGGCATAGCTCGATCAACATCTAGAACACCTGTGCGCATGCCCTCATTTGTGCTAAGCCCAAAGCCCCGCCAATGCCGCAGAACCCTCCGAGGTCCATGGCCAGGGTCGCCAGTCCCACCTCCGTGGCCGGGGCAGCCTACGCCGGTGACAAGGTGGGCTTCTGATTTGTTTGGCACATGTACGAGTTTGGGAAACTCCGGTATTTCTGTTTTATTTTGCCTGGTTGGGCATAGTAGGGCTGTTGCTTTGAAGAGCTTCGGACAGACAGAGACCAGACTTGACGAGGGTTCAATGCCTTATGTGGCTTCGACTTGAAGGGATGTGGCAATCCAGGCTTATGGCTTAGACAGGACAAAGCTTGGTTTTGATGGCCTTGTTAGGACCGGATGGGTTGGTTGTTCAGATGTACTTTTCGAAAGGGTCAAACGGGTGCAGACCTCTTAGAGCTCTTCGGGTGTTCATGTTCTCAAGTTTGTTGAAGGCGTTCCTCGGCGATTTGCATTGAGAAGTTGAGTCAGGAAGGCTTGAACAGACGTAGTTCCGGTCAGCTCTAATATGGTGTCAGATGCCGACAGCCCACGAAGTAAGTTTTTACCATGCAGGTCGCGCAAGGCGCTGTGACAACCACACGGCGCACGATGAAGATCGCAGGTGGGCTGTACGCAGAGCACCGGAGACAGAAAGGACGTGTTTCTTCTGCGGGTAGGATGAACAGAAAATGGATCGGATAAGCCTGGAACTCTGCGACCCTTGGACGCCCTAGACGGTTTTCCGGTAACCCCAATTCCAACCAGCAGGTAGTGCGTTCCAGCAATTGGTAACTTAGTATGCTTCCGGTTCAGACGCTCAGTTTGTGGGCTCGAGCAATCCCTGTCCGATCCCTTTATGCGGACTACACAAGACAAAGAGAGGGGAGAAGCTCCGACAGCCAAAAGAAGCAGATGTTACATGAAGGAGTGTTGCCCGAAACCCAAGTCCAGTGAACTCCTAACGAGGTCATTGCACCTGTCGTACATGGTCGTACTGAGAAGAGGCAACATAGCATTATTCCATCCCGTAGGGTTCCTTCTTATAGTATATTGTAGTAACCCATCATCCCAAAAAACTGTTCTAAACCTTATGGCCCCCTAACATCCATGTCGCATTAACAAGTAGTTGTAACTCTACTACAATGTACATTCTATTCACTAAGGCCCCTGAAGTAACTTTCTGTGCTTTGTCAGGTCTGGCCCATATCTAAAACCCCAAACCCTATAAACCCTGATCCCCACACCCCAAACCCTAAACTCCAACCCTAAACACCACATTGATTTGCTGTGCCTTTGTCAGGTCTTGCCCTCTTCGCTGGTCACAGACGGCGGGGCTTTAGGGTTTGAGCAGACCTTCACCAAGATTAAGGGATTTAGGGGTTGGGTTCAGGATTTTCAGGATTCAGGCTTTAAGGAGTAGAGTGGAGTGCTAGTCTGTAAGCCCGAACACTCCTACAAGGCGAGCACGGGGAGACTCTGAGTTCATGAGCCATCAAAAAGCTTGAACGGCCTAAAGCGAGGATGTTGAATCGTTACTATGAGGCATATAAGACCCTTAGAACCAAACCAAACACCGGTAGTACGCTTATATAACTAGGAACCCCCCTGGCAGATGATCGACAGTTTCACGGCGAGCATCGTGTGCATCAAAATCCTGCAGCGGGTGGTGCCTCACAAGCAGGACGACCGAACTCCTAACCCCAAGCCCTAAGCTGTGAAACCCTAGAGCCATAAACGCCTGTTAAGGCGCTACTAAACCCTCCCAAGTCGGTGAGCACAGCCGTGAATACAGCGAATTCAGCCTTCTTCCACATGCCCAACCCAGATCCCGATGGTCTAAAAGGGGTTCTTGGAATGGAATCTCCTCCGAACGCAACGGCGCAAGGCACTTCGACAACGATTGTTGTTATTTGCTGCAACCTCGAGCCCGAAACTCATCTGCAGGAGATCGTATCAGATTCCAGACGAGCTCTGACTCTGAGCCCTTCATATCCTGAAACTAGAAAGTACGGCCCTGACCCTGAAACGTTGTAGAAGATGTCGAGACGCCGAGAGGACTGGCGCCACAGCTGCGGAGGCACAGAGGGCAGGGCAGGGTTGACCATGGGAAGACATCTTCTCGAATCTGCCCTAAACCCTAAACCCTATAACGCATGGTTTAGGGTTTAACCTTCGGCCCCTTCGCCCCATGATGTTGCCCCTGTAGCTTGGCACTTCTGCGAGCCATGTGGCTTCTAGGCTTTGCGAGGGAAGTGAATTCGGGTGCAGAAGTCCTGAGGGTTCCTCAAATCTAGCTGCATGTTTTGCATACCCGCGTTACAGGGAACCCTTTTAGTACCCCGTTGAAGAAACCCTAAGAGCTGACGACGAGGCACCGTCGGGTGGCTGCAGTCGCCGGAGGCGCCTGGAGTCCGCCACTCGCCTCCGCTTTTTGCTTCTGGCTCTTGGGGTTTTCTTGAAAGGGGTCTTTCAAGGGTTCTTATAAGGGTTACTGTTAAGGGTTCAATGATATATAGGGATCTTAGTGACAATAAGCTTCGTGAGCGGGTTCTCTTGAGGGTGCTTGAAAGAGTTGCGATAAAGGGGAGAGTGTGCTGTATCGATATAGGGACTCTGAGGGGCATCTCATTGTTTGCATCCCGCCGGAAACGGCCGCCCTTGCAAACCTCATGGTTCCTTGGATGCATTGAAGCCTGCAGGAGCGGGTGATGGCACGAAGGAGTCCAAGGGATTCGGCCTGTAATGCATGCCAAACCCTGAACCCTAAACCGCAGGTCGTTGCGGGCTTCACTCTTGGATCAGATCCCGGGCCAGCATCCGATAGCTTTACGTCTTGCTCAGCTGAGTCTGAGGTGAGTAGAACCTCATACAGCCCAACGCTGAAATTTGCGCCCCTGGAGCGACCGCGGGGGCCCCTCCTCAGGGGATGCAGGCGCCGCAGCCGTGGCTGAGAGCCTGCGAAGCTTCCGGCAGAATTGGGGGCACTCTGCGACCCAACGGGCAGCCATGCCCGGGCCTCGGGAGTGTCCGAAAGGATTCTCTGTTTAAGGGCGCAGTAGCTGCGGTGGTGCTATCTTAGAGTGGATCGTCCCCTCAAACTCGCAATTTGCGCTGGGGCAAATCAGCTATCCCTACCTGGTGGGTATTCTGAGCCATCGGGCAACCTCAGAGTCATATTTCATTACTTTAGCTGCTCTCCTCTCTAGCCGCGCTCTTCCCGACGTCGCATCTTGGGCCCTTCCCACACAAACCTCGGCCCAGGCTTGGAAGAGAAGGAGAAGCTCCGGGCCGCCTTCGATGCGCTGCCGGTAGGCGCGAAGGAGCTCCTCCTTTTGGTGATCCGAGGCCCGGGTGATGCTGCTCTGAATTCCTTTTCATTCAAAGAAGGGCGTCGATGTGGCGAAGTGGAGGCCCCCGGTGATCCCACCTGTGCGGCTTCTGATTCTGAAGGAAGTCCGTCCTTCACGGCTCCCCGTGATCCCATCTGTGCGAGCTTAGAGTCATAGGAGCCTCCTTGCGGCTTCAACGATGCCCAAGAAGCCACGGTAGAGGTGCTGCTGCGCTGTACACACAGAATCTCCCAACTTGGCGCTCCCCTGCTCCGGCCGAGCTCTTCCCGACTTCTTGGGAAGGAGAAGAACGAGGAGAAGCTCACGGAAACCGCCTTCGGTGCGCCGCTGGCGGGTGGGCGCGTTGGCCTTTGATCCGAGGCCCGGCCCGGAGTGGACGGTGTATGACGCTCTTTTGGGGGAGAGAGCTCGGGGCTTCCACTCCTGGCTAAACAGGCCCACGGCCCTCCTGGTGGCCTTTTCCTGAGTGCTGGGGGCTTGCCGACAAAGCAGAGGTCGCTGCGCGCCGTGCTGGAGTCCGAACATCAGGACGTGTCTGGAGTGTAGATCTCACCTTCTTCGAGCGCAGGCTCGGGCGTTCAAAAAGGGGCCACTGCTGTAGCATATATGCAATTGAAGGTTTTGTTGTTTCGCTTGGGTCCGTCGTGGTTTCGGACCTCGAGGACTGCGCTGATATTATGTTGTATTATGCCTACTTCATGTGATTTTCTGTTGCATTGTGCTGCGCTACTGTCTACCAAGGCAACGGTGAGAAGTTCCCAGAGCGGCTCCTCGAGGCGGCGGCCGGCGGCTGCAGCGGGCGCGATCCCATCGCGTAAGCAAAAAGGGCCTGCACCTTTCTCTTTCGGGCTGGGTGGGGCAGGAATCTCACTTTCGGGGCGATTTTCGGCTTACAAGCCACGTTGGAACCTGTGGGTGCGGCAACATGAGGTGCATAGTTGAAGAGGTTAGTTGTGTGAGGCTTGCGGGGCTCTGTCAGTATCTTTGGTTGGCGATTGAAGATGTTCAGGATCTGCGAGTCGGATATTTGGGCTCCTCCACCGAAGCATCGCTGTCGTCCGATGCATTCACATGCTTCGCATGTCCGTCAAGTTTGACTCCGGCCACTGTCCCCTCTCACCTCCTCGAAGATGTTCTGATGTCCGGCTTCAACACAAGCCCGAAGCCTTCGCCTGCCCTCAATGGCTCCCTGAAGCGGAAGCTTTGCCTTCGCTCGCTGCTTCGGCTCCGTCCAGGAAGTGAGACCTGCCCAGGGCCCCGATGTGCACATGTTTTTTCAGTGTTCTCAACGAGCTTTCATCGGTGCTGGATGGCCTATAGATGTAGGAAGGTACAAAAAGTGCTAGCACTTAGTCACTTAGACGGAAGACTTCGTCTCAAGGTTGCCTGCTCAAGCACTTATGCTCAGCGGGGGAATCTACTCAGAAGCATCTCAGTTAGTAGAGTGCTTTAGCTCCCAAATTTATGGTTGCATGGTTGTGAATTGGCCGGGCAAAGGTTCCACTTTGAAAGCTCGCAGAGGCAAAGAACCTCTGCAGCTTTTGGGCGATGAAGCTCCTTTTCATCGCTCTGATGGAGGTCGTGGAGTGCCTCCTATTCCCGGACATCACAGGCCGAGGGCTGGTCGTTCTCCTGCCAAGTGCTTCCCGGCAAAAGCGCACAAACATCCTTCCGTTGGTTTGCCGCAGGATGGAACAACTTCACACTGGTCGAAGAGCCCTTCCTTCCAACGGTCAAAGAGATAGACGACATGGGCGCAGCCGAGACCGCCGCGAGGCTCCCGCGGGGTTTCGGATGGTTGCCAGGGGGAGTGAGTCGGCCTACGCATGGAGAGCGCATGCGCATCTGGGGTTCATGTCCGGGGTTTGGAGGCCCCAGGTTCGAGCTTAAGTTTGTGGTATTGGCCGACAGTATCAGCTGAGAAAGGCTGAAGCGGTAGGAACCACCCCCCCAAACAAGGGCTCACTTCGAGAGTCTTCAAGAATGAGCCGAACCTGAAGGCAGCCTGTTACGTCGGAAGTGAAGATTCACGAGTTTGAATCGCATGCTCTCAGGTGGCACGTTTGGACGCTGATTATGCTTGGCATCGCCTTCGTTGTAGCGGTCACTGGCACGCTAATCCTGAAATGCGCCGAACGGGAGCCACAGACAGATCCTGCACGACCAGGCGGGTTCGGGCTTGGATGGGCTAGTTCCTTTCAGTAGGTCTCCGACAAATGGCGATTGAATCTGGTTTCGGGTGTCGAGGTTCTAGCAATGTCGTGGTTCGATCCGGGATCAGGTGCATCTAGTCAGCCAGTTAGTTGGAGCCACAAGTTGCTTGCGAACTGTTGGGTGCAGCACCGAAGTCCCTTGGCAGTCAGGGCGCGTGACGTGTTTTCAAAACAATCATGCCAAATCGCAAGTGTGGCTTACATATCATATACCTCTGGTCTTCATATAACTCTGGTCGACCCTGCTATTGTATGGACGGAGGCAGGCGCACCGCAGCGAAACACGCGTACGTGTTTTCGGGAAGAGAGGGGGAGAGTGAGGCCACACAGTGGCTTTGAAAGCTTTGTGATGCTGCAGTCTTCTTTTCGTACTGGTTTGCATCGGATGGAAAACTGGGAGGCAACAGAAATCACCGTTGAAGCTTAGGAAGCCCCTCAAACTACTTCAGGCCATGCAACTCGTAGTGGTCATTGTATCAACTGGCACCTAGCGTTGAACGTTTGAGACTTGAGGCTTGCGACTGATTTGGCAAGGCGTCATGAAGACACTCCCAGTGTGGAGCCAGTTGGTTTCGGTGAGGCTTTGGTTTCTGGTTACGGCCCCAGCGTCCACCAAAAGGTCCATGCCAGCCTACTGCTCCCAACCTTAGACCTTGCACTGCGAATAGGAACAGATCTCCACCCCACCTCGTCTCGAGGCGGCGATTATGCTACCGTGAAGGTGGCCTCCCGTGTGGTCTCCCGTGCAGAAGAACCGGGCAGGACAATCGAGCCATCCACCCTGACTGTGTCCTTCAAGCCTCGCACTCTCAAGGTGGGGCTCTGCATTGTGTAGTGCTTGCAGGGAGGATCGCACGTGGGCAGCCAGCTCTGACAATGCTTTTGCATCGGTTCTTGAATGTAGGGTCCTCTGTGTTCGTTAGGTCAGCATCAGTGTGTGTTTTTGGAACTTGCTCCTCTCGAGATTGTGTTGCCAAGGGGCAGCTTTTACCCTGTATTCTTGGAGGACCCATCGTTATGCTCTCGTGTGTCACTTGGCATTTCGTCGGCTGGTATCTGCTATCAGCCGGGGCATTGTTCCATGCAGTCACTCTCCGCCCTCGCTGTGAAGAAACCCCAGGCTCGAGGCTCCTGGCTCCTCGCATGCAGGTCCTCCTTGCGATGTCTTTGACCTTCACCTTCTCCACAAGCTTCGCCGCCATGTTCTGGAGCAGCCGCACCGGAAGGTGCGAGCTGCCCGTCTTCTGACCAGTGGTTCTCTTGCCATATTCTTGCAATGGATATACTTAGAACTTAGAGCCCTTTCGTGCGTCACACCTTCGCTGGTTTTTTCACAACTCGAAGTGTTGCACGAGCCGCCTTTTTCGAGAAAGGCATCCCCAAAACATCTTCAAGAGACCAGTCTCAACACCGCTTGTTTCCAGTCCGAAACCAATCCGAATACACTCCGGTTGCGGAAACTTTCCATCCCGAGCGAGCTGGGAGGTTGTCGAAGACCTACGGTGCTGATTGGGAGGCCAGCTGGCCTGATTGCGATCGGTCGGGTCTTGCATATCCTGTTGCATCCGAGCCCAGACTGTCAGTACTCTCTAGGACTTCACGAAACCAAGTTTCACCGAGCGCCTCGAAAGTACAACAGTTGCCAGGGTTTAATGGAAGGGTGCTTACACAGCCTAGCGCATCTTCCACTGGATCCCTGTTGCCGTTCGGCTGTCAGGCATCAACTTTAAAACTTTGCTTTTCGGTAAGTTTTCAAGCTTTCGCGCTTCAGCAGCTTCTGGGCTTCCGCCGCAAAGCCTTCTGATGAAGAGAGAAGCAGCTCGGGGGGCGCCTTTTCAGGGTCTTGAATAGTTTAGGGTTCCTTGAAAAGTGCTGGGTCTCAGTGTAGTGCAGGAGCCAAGTACAATGTGTGTAAGGTTGGAGTTCTCTCCTCGCCCCAGATTCTTCCATCAGTTTCCTCAGTGTAGCGTTCGTGAGGTATACACCGGCCTCCTCGCATGCAGCGGCCTGTCAATAGTGGGCACCCGAGTTCGGAAAACCCCGTGCATTCACAGCTTAGAAGCCCAGATTGAAAGCAGAAGCATGCGTGTTGGCAAGCATTGTTATCATGAGGCCTCCATGTCACCTGAGTCTTTGCATCACGCCTGGTGCACATATAGTCCGGTTGCTCAACATACAGCATGAGGCAGCGGTGGGCAGGGGCAGGGGCAGGGGCATGGGGCAGGAAGGCGGGGCAGTGCATCGCAGGAGCATAGCGCGGGGCCAGCGCAGGGGCAGAGCAAGGGCGGGCCAGCAGCCCTCAGTTGCCCAGCAGGTCCTGCAAGCTGTGGTGATGGCCTACCGCCTGAAGTCCGGCCAAAAGTATGCGACCACCGCCTTTGCGACGGTCCGCATCACAGAGATTTGCAGAGTTTGACATGATAGCAGCTATGGCTCTCGTGCAAGATGTCTCTAGAATCGGCAGTCAATTGGCCTTTCCCTCACATCATGTCACAGGCCTTCGCATCCCAACCACTGAAGTCGCACCACATGAGTGCACACTGCGATCGGAAGTCAATACGCCAAAGCCTGCGGCCAGGGTCTGAACCCTCCACTCCTTTCTGAGTTCCGCTCCCTGATTCCGAAACTCAGAGATCGCTCAGAAGCACCCGAAGCCTTGGAGCTTCCAGGCCTGCCTCACCGGCATGGCCCCGATCCTCTCAGACCAGTACGATACGATGAAGGATCGGAGATTCGGTACGGGAAGGCGCTTTGGAGAACGCGGAGTGGCATCCCATCTGCAAACGTCGCAGACAAGACCGTCTGTAGATTTGGTGTTCCAGAAGTGTTGCGTCCGGTAAGCAGATTTTTGGGCAGGGCCGTACCCTTTAGCCTGCGACCGTGAATCGTTTAAAGTCAGTACTTGGCACATATACTGTGCATGTATCACAACCTCAAAATGAGGCGTGAGCAAGAAGTCGACCCAACTGTGGGTCTGCTGCTTATGGGCCCTACATTCTCAGATGGGGATGGGCATGGAGATGAACAGAACGGATCTGTAAACTCTGAACGTGAACTATAGCGCAGATTCCCAACTCCGAAGCCCTGGGATGGGTGAGGGGGCAATCTTCTTGACCCGTTCAACATCCGGTGATCAGTATGTCTTGCCATGATCGGGTGCACGCCCCGTGGCATTGGCAGGCCTCTGCGGGCGGCTAAGTTTCTGGCCACTCGCATCGGATCCCTCCGAACAGGACATTCTCTTTGCCTTCCTCTGCCTGCAATCGGAGCACGAGGCGAGGACTTTGGCATCCTGCTGACATTACTTTCAATGCTTCAACGGAGCCACGAGGAGATGCACTGGATGGGCATCGGCTGCCTTGTGTGGCTGGTGGCCATCCACGTACTCTGTTTTCGGTTCGAGGACCTGCGGGAGCATCGAAATACGGGTTTCGGGTTCCGGTCTCGTTTTTGCATGCTTCCAGCTCCTTCCTGCGAGCCGCTTCGAGATCTGCGTCCTGTACAGTTCAGTGCCTTCTTCCAGAGTGGTAAAGCAAAATAACCAAGAGACGCCGGCAAACGTCCGGACAGGACACCGTGGCGGAGCTCCTGGCTTCGCACCTAGCCGTCCTGCTGCTCACCCCAGACACAGGCCATCGCACTCCTCGCACTTCGCTTTCGTTGTGGCTCGGGCTGTTCTTGTGGATTTCGATTACTTTTTGAAGGAGACAAAGTGCCTCTCTGGGACGAGATGCTCGTGCTGTTATACAAGCAACTCACTCCCACGAAGAGGCCATTTCCGTTTGGGGTGTTGCAGGTTGCATTGTTCTGCGAAAGCCCAGGGTCCCGACATTCGTCGGCCAGCTCTTACCATCGCTTCTTGTGAGCTGCGATGTTCTCCGCCACATTCGCTTGCGAGGTTCCTCCTTCTTCTGGAGAACATCCCGCAGGGAATCTGTGCGATTGTCTTCTTGCGTTCCTTGTACTAATGCGATTAGCTGAGCTGACTTCGCTACCTTTGTTGATATGCCACATCGAAGGGGCATGCAAGAACGCAAGAAGTGTTCTTCGAAGGTGTCCATACAGACAGTTCTTTATTTTGTATGTTTGGGCAGGTAGGCGCTTCTTGCAGCTGCAAGGCTATGAGGGCGGTTCGCTCGTCGTGACCGTCTTGAGCTTGGTCATTCCCGCAGTTCAGGCAGGGCACGTCCGCCCGCAGTAGGAGTTACCATACCGAGCTTTAGGTCGGAACTCGAAGTTGTTTCTGCTTCGGACCTACGAAAGCATTTGCTCAGTCCTGTGGCTCGTCTAGACCACTCCTCTGCAGCGCTGCAGATTGGGCTCACCCTCTTGCTCTACCGCAGAGTCCGTGCAGAGGCGCCCTGAAGCAAGATCTTTCAACCCTCGCTTGCGTAAAGAAACGGTCCGGTGCTGCTGAAGTGTTCCCCCACAGATGCAACGCCGTGCAGCTTGGCTGAAGGGTTTTTGTAAGTCAATGGGTGTCTGGAATCCTTCATTGATTTCAGTTGGAAGGATATCGGGTCAGAGCCTCGGTGGAGACAACCCGCCTCCTGCAAAAAAGCTCCAGAAAATTGTTCTCTGCGTCGCTCGCTTGGATCACTGATTCATTCAAGCCGCCCAGCTCCTATGCGAACGTCCTGCTCTCATGCTCACTGGAGTTCCCTGCAGCTGCCCTGTTTGTGCGGGCTCCTGACCGGGCCTGCGAAAAAACGCGAAACCGGAGAATGGTATCGGAACTGGAGCTGCAATTGCTGGCGAAATCAATATATCAGTCGGCTCCAGGCGTAACGGTGAAGGATCCCGAGGAGGAGAGACAGAGAGAGACGGGGAGAGAAAGAGAGAGAGAGAGAGAAAGAGACAGAGCCGGCATGTTCCACAGGCCGGAGTCCGTACAGACTGAATTGCGGGGCTTGCGGAGGGGGTCCTTATGAATGTGATCTGCGCAGGTCGCTCCCTACTTCGGGCGAAGGCTTCGAGCACTGCTATGGTCGCTCGGCTTCCGATTACACAGACTTGGGCTTCTCGGCTTCTCCAGGGTTCATGAAAGCCTCTGCACACCTCTGTCAGAAGAGGTTGAGGGAGCGACAACGTTGTTTTGGCATGTCGGGGTTGACGGGCCTAGCTCGCCGCACTGTCCCTCCTTTCAAGGGCCGGGGACCAGCTGCTGGCGCAACGCCTCTGGCGCGAGGCATCCGGAGCAGCGAGGGAAAGCTGACGAAAAGCGAACGGAAGAGAAGAGAGGGTTTCCAAGGACACGAGCAGCTGATTCAGGTGGGCTTCCTAGGAGGGTTCCAGCTGAGAAACTTCTTCCGTAGGATATTTAAGATTATCGGATGGTGGAGGAGAACTTCTGGCCCCCGAACCCCCTGACTCACTCTCTCTCTCTCTCTGTCTCTCTGTCTCTCTGTCTTTCTGTCTCTCTGTCTCTCTGTCTCTCTGTCTTGCGCTCTCCCGCTCGCACGTTCCTCCTGCCCTGCGAGTCGGGCAGTTTGTTGGTTCAGTCCTTGCAAGAGCTCCACGGACATGTCGCCTGCGGCCCGAGCCTATGGCAAGCCAGTCACAACGATCGCATACAGCTCTGCCTAAAACAAATGACTGCCCCAAGCAGAGCCCCAAACGGATCAGTGATGTTTCCCTTCCGAGGAACCCTGGAATCGGCCTTATGCAACCCGAAGGATTCCCTGCCCTTGCGAAGGCCGACTTTGAATCCGACAAAGGGCTCTTCCGGCAAGCCGTGGCGTTCATGATGCGCCGTAAGGAGCTGCTGACCTCCACTCACCGGATCTGCGCCATCCCCTACTTGGTACCAGAATCCCACAAATCTGCCATCATTCTCTTTTTGGCATGAGCTCCTAGACAGCACCAAGTGTGGATGGACCTGGTCGCCTTTGGAGGAGGAGGAGATCGGTTCGCATCGAGACGACGATGTCATCTCGCTTTGGAAGGCAAGCCGTGCTCTTTACCTTCGCTGGTCCAAGCGATAATCTCAAGTTTTCAGAGAACCAGGCCCAACACAGTAAGAAAACCCAAGACTATGTCGTGGATGGCTTTGTCCATTGGTCCCCGGGCTGTGAGGGCTGTTGGCAGGGCTTTCGGGCAGCCTGAAGGTCGCCCTGGGCATGCACCACGGACCCAGCGAGGACACCACATACTTTGCAAGAGAGTGGGCTGCCAGTCATTTGGGCTTTGCCTCGTTTTGGTGCTGCCAGGCTGCTTCCATGTGTCGGCATAGGGCCTTGAGACTTCGAAGTTCTCGAAGCCTGGTATAAGCTTGTCCTTCACTCTATGCAAGATCAGATCCGGCTAAGATGCTTCAGGAGCAATGGAACTTGAGCGACCTCGGCCTAAAGGACGAGCTGCCTCTCGTCGAGGCACACGATGGAGGGGTCCTTGCAGCAGCAGTACCCGGCATTCTGCCTTGCAGACTCGCGCCGCCACAGGCCTTCTTCGCGGAGCTTGCTGCGGCCGGGTGCCAGAAACTGGACGTGGACCTCTCGCAGAACCAGCTAGGCCCAAAGCCCAGTTGCTACTTCGGACATGGTGTCGGCCTGTTGGGGGTACTGGGCGGGACCGTGACGACGAGCCCTCAGATGATTTCAGAGAATCTTTTTACTTGAAAATCACCACATCAAGGCTTGACCCCTTTCCGGGTCCTAGATGGGCTTGCCCATCGCTCTTGACCGATCTTTTTTGGCTTTGCCACTCGCCACGGCTCAGTCTGCGAGAAGTCAAACTCCACCTCGCAGACCTCGGACTGGGCTTTGGCCTCGGTCGCTCCTGTACTCTCCTCGCTCGTGCCACGCCATGGCCCACGGCAGCAGCGGGGCGAGTCTCAATCCGGAAAGAAGGGAGCGCTGCAGAGTTATCGGATCTCCGAGAGAAGCGAGGCACACTCACCACAATGCTAGGCGGGTGCGCGGAGTGGAAACTGCCGGTGACAAGAGTGGGGAATGAACAATGAAGGGAGCACGGAATGACTCCATCAGCCACACCGAAAGGACGGAGTGAGCACAAAATGCAGCGGGCAGTAACCTACAGGAAGTCGACGAGCAAAGGGGCTGGTAAACCTCAAACTCTTACGGGATGGCTGCTGCAAAAGAGTGGCGAACCGAAGCTCCAAGAGTCGCTGGAAAGAGTTGGTGCAGCAGCGGTTAACATATTGTGTTAACGCATTGGGTCAACATGGACCAAAGTTGGACAACTGATGTAGGATGAAGTGCTTGCAAGTTTGCCAGGTCAAGAAGGAGCACAGGCGAACTTTTGCATCATCAGGCACAATTCCCAGCCGATGCGAGACGACGGAGCTCTCGTCCCGAAAAAATACAATCAAGTCGGAGCCCGCTGAAGCACTCCTAGGCCCAGAACTGTTGAAGGGAGCGGGGGAATCACTCCATCAGCCGGTAAGCGCGGCCTGAGCACGACAAGTCGATTAAGTAGAGGGAAGTGTCAAGCCCTGAAGAAGGTGTCGAATGGCAGACTCTCCAATGCGGGGGCTCTGATTTGACTGCAGCCCTCTTCGAAGGCTGAGCCGATTTCTTCCTTAAACAAGGCATTGGGTGGGAAATTCGGAGACTTGAGAAGCTCCACATTGGCCGCGACATTCGAGAAGTGTGTGCAAGATGGACCAAGTTGGGCAAGCGAGGTGGGATCAAAGTTTAACATGCAAAGGCGGACCGAAGCATCACCACTTGGAGCCGCTTGATGCAATCCCCACTCCAACGATCCGCAGAGCACTGTACCGTTTATTACTGGCCAATCGTGCGCTGTGGAGCCTCCTCCCATCCAACGATCTGTGCCGAGGCGATGCAGGGGCGAAGACCCTGGCCGCGGCAGTCTCGAGCGTCACGAAGATGGAGGAGGTGTCCCTGAACCTGCAGATGTGTGACCTAGGCCCGGGTCTCGGAAGCGCTCGGTGTGTGCAGGCTGCCTTCGAAACCCTGTGTTCAAGACTTGCTGACAGTTCAACACGCTCCAGAGCCCGAGGCGCGGAGGGTGCCGGTGCCCTCGCCAGCTCCATCGGCATGCTGGAGAAGATGCAGAAGCTCAGCCTGAACCTGAAGGGCAACAATCTCTGCCCCGGGCCGAGATCGCTTCCGGCATTTTTCAGTTTTCGGTTCGGAACAGCCCGGCGAGCGAGGAGCACACGCCCGAAAGGCCACTTCCTGACATGACACAGAGCCTTCTTTGGAATCGATATCGTCCGGCTTTCTCATGCAATGCTTAGCGGCACAACAGCTTACTGGGCAGAGTGCAGAGGGGTTTCGGGATTCCCAAGACGCCGCATGACGTGATTTCAAGATGTATGCCTGCCTGCACTGCTTCTGCGGCAGTCTTCCAGGAAGGTCCTGCTTCGAAGGTTGCCAGTAGCAACATGCAATCCCCGGCAGCTCGTTCAAATACCATCAAGAGCCGGTTGACGTCCCACGATCTTTGCCGAGGCGATGCAGGGGCGAAGACCCTGGCCGCGGCAGTCTCGAGCGTCAAGAAGATGGAGGAGGTGTCCCTGAACCTGGAGATGTGTGACCTAGGCCCGGGTCTCGGAAGCCGTCGGTGTGTGCAGGCTGCCTTCCGGGGGGGGGGGGGGCGGCAGGCCTTTTGGAACAGAGCATGCCTAGTAGGACCAGAATGAGAACAAGACACTCTGCACATTCAAACTTTGGAATCGCCATGTGAAGACCACTTTAACCCTTGAACCGTGGCATTGACATGAAGCACTCAACCCAAAGCCAGACAAGTGCACGTTTGCTAAAGCAGAGGATTCCATCTGTACCCCCTTGGACCCGGGGGCAGGGCCACTTTCAGCTCTACAGTATGCTATTGACTCTGCATGATTGCCTTGCGATTCCGCTTCCTGATATGTTGAGCCGGGCCAGTGCGCAGCTGTAGCAGGTGAGACTGGATGTGGGGATCGTACAGACTGCGTCGAGCCTCCTCCCACCAAAACGATCCGGCCGGAGTGCGGGGATGGTGAAGCACGGAGGTCTTTTGAGCTTCCTGCTTGGTATGATTGTTGCGCGGATGCCGTCCGCGGCTTCCGAAGCTTCGGCTCGAAATCAGAAATTGGGGGCCTCGGCCTCGATGGGACGTTGTGGCGTTGCCCGCTTACGTGGGCTTGCACCCAATGCACGGCTGGAGCAGATGTGACTGAGTTAGGGGTCGCAGATTTGCCACTATGCTTTCGTGAATGAATTTGCATATGCAACTGAGCACCTTGACGGTTTGTGCCCCGGCAAGCCTCTCAAGATATAGCTTTCCGTGACTAGACCAGTCGTTATTCGTGCGCGATTTTACTTCCCAGCTTTCTCGCTATGCTTACCGAAGAAGCCTTGTCAGCCTTGACGTATTGCATGTTGCAGGCGAACTCCCACATCGTTTGTGTTTGGGGTAAAGAGGAGGGAGTCACGATAATGCGGCGATGCTGTCGACAATGATTTTCTTCAGGTGGCCTGCGCATGGCCACTAGCAAAGCCTGTGTAAGACTCTCGTTAAGCCATTCCGCGCTTCGAATTATCTTGGCCGTTTGTACATATACGTAATATATGCTTCTGCAAAGACGAGCACGTTTAATCTATTGTGTTAGACTTTCCCGAGGGCCGCAAAAGCTTTATATACCCAAGGCGAGGAGGGCTTGCTCTCCTTGCTGGAGGCGGGCCACAACAGCTTGTGTGCAAGTTCTCGGCCTCCCAAGCCCCTGCTTCCGGTCGAGTGTCGATGCCTCTGGGATTCTTTTGTTTTCTTGATCCTGATGCTCTCGGGAGTCCCGCAGGCCCTCCGAGCGACCAGCCCAGCGTCGACCCAGCTCGACCTCGGCGAAAGCGACATCGGAAAGAAGGGCGTCTTCGCGCTGGCCAGGGCCCTCCGTTCCGGGGAGGCGGGGCCTTCCGAGGCGCTGCAGAAGAGAGATCCCGACATTGTTTCTTCTGTGCCACACTTCTTCTCTCTCTTCTGCGTCCCTGTTTGCAATCAGGTGAAGGGCCGGGTCACTCATCCGGTGGTGGAGTTCTTGGCCGAGTTGGAGGCTCGCGCTATTTCTTCGAAGTGTGGTAAGTTCTTCATTTTCCCGGGGTCCGCCGAAAGTAGTGCTGAGGGTTGTTGCCCGTCGGCCATGCCTCTGCCAGGGATCTCAGCGAGGAGCCTTGGGGCAAAGTATCTTCCAAAGAGCCGGAATTCCCAACCCTGGAAATCGGAAGCCCTTCCAACCCGAGCCACCTTTGCTCGGCACGCCCGCTCGTTTCCCTGCGCGTCATGGGCTCTCTTCGGGCAGCGCCCGGGGGTGCGGGCAGCCACGGCCGCCGCCGCCGTGCAGGACAGAGAATTCAAAGAGTTCGAGGAAGCGCAGAAGCTGAAGCTCGACCTCAGCGCCTACAGCCGGCGGCTCAGCTCCGGAGCCGAGGCACCGCCCATGGCCCTCTTCCGAGGCGAAGCCGAAGCCGAGAGGTTCCGGCGGCTCTTCGGACCGCTCTGCCGGGCGCTGCCTAAGCTCCCGGAGCCGCTGCGAGAGCTGGAGCTCAAACTCAGCGGCCAACGCGACTTCGGCCTTGGCCCCGGCGGCCTTTGGGAGCGCGAGCAGAGCTGTTTCCGCCTTTGGCAGGCGCTGCCGGGGCCCGGGCCCTGGCCGCGGGCCTCCGCGAACAAAAGGAGCTGCAGACGCTGGTGTTGTGGCTGGGTGGCAACTCCGTGGGCCGGGGGCCTCAGCTTTCGCTCCTCCGTTGTCCTTTTTGTTTTGTAGCTCTTGTCGGTGGGGCCGCAAGCCGACCCCAGCCATTACTCCGTTTCTGTGCTTACGAGCTTCTGCTTTCCACTGTCAAACTGCACCCGAACGGACTCGACTCTCCGTGATTTGCAGCAGAGTCTTGGATTCCCGCGCCGGCTCCCGTGAGATGTCGTCCGAAAGCCCTTCTGCCGAGATGCCCGTGCCCGTGCCCCTTTCGGGAGGGCCGCAATTTGCCTCGCGACTCTTGCCAGCTGAAGGGGGCGCGCCCCCGGGCACCGAGGCGAGGAGGGCACAGAGGCCTTGGCCTCCGCCCTCCGCGAGCTGACGCAGTTGAAGACGCTCGTGTTGTACATGAACAACAACCGCATCGGCCCGGGGCCTCGAAGAAGTCGAAGCCACGTTGCCGCTTTACCCGGCGGGCCGATATCGGGAGATACCGTAGATCCCTTCTTGGAGTTTGATCTTCATCCAAGCCTTGCATTGTCTACACTCGCAGATTCTTGGCTGGCCCCTGTCTCCCGGCCGAGGCTCTGCCGGAGCCACCGCACTGGTGGAGAGTTTGCGGGAGCTGCGGCAGCTCACAAACCTCCAAGTTGATCTGCAAATCAACGGGCTCAGCCCGGGCCTCGGGCGAGATGAAGCGGCATCTTCGTCCTTGCCACAGAAAAAACCCCACCGGCCCAGGCGAGGAGGTGCAGCAGAAGCTCCGGGCCGCCTTCGATTCACTGCCGATGGTGGGCGAGAAGAAGATTTTCCTTTGATTGCGAGGCCCGGCCGGGGCCGTGTGGTCGTGGCTTCTGAGAGAAAGCTCGGGGATCTTCGACTCTCCCGGCTGGGAGGCCTTGGCCTCGGCGCGCTGGCGGTGGGTGGCCTTTCTCCGGAGCGCTTCGATTCTGCTGCCTGCTGCCGAAAAAGCAGAGGTCGCTGCTCGCCGTGCTGGAGTCCGAGCATTCGCAGTCTTGCTTCGGAGTTGGTCTTGGGTCTTCGCCGGTTTGGGACCCTTGAGCCATTCGGTGTCTTGCATCCGAAGCTGAAGAGACGCTCCGCCGAACCTGCCTTGCATTCTCATGGTCTCGTGCGGCTCAAGTGCTGTCATAAGGCATCTAAGCCAGCCCTATAAGGCTCGGAAAGTCGATCATCTGAACGTCTGTGCCCTGCACGATCCAGTTGAGCCCAGGAGGAGCTTCTGTTAGACACCTATGTTATGTTCAAGAGGGCCCCTCAAACACCGAGCAAGTCACTCACATGCGAATCCCCAAACTTCGTGCTGCTCGAACTCCCAACTGTTAGGCTTAGTGCTTGATGCGATTTCCAAACGAACTGAATCAAAGAGCTGGTGCAGAAATCTGGAAGTCAAATCGTGACATGCTGTACCAATCCCCAACCCAAAGGCTATCATCGGGGGTGCCCTGGACATTGCATTGTTCTTCCCAGCATATGGGCTGCGGAGCGAGCAGCCAGAGCAAGTATGCCGGGCACTGTGGGGGCCAAACGGGTTGAGCATCTGACAGGTCCCTGGAAGTGCTGAACACTCATGTCTGATTCTTGCCTAGGGCCTAAGATCGGGAAGTTGGTGTTGACTTTTCTGAGCGCACAACCCCCTATTTTCTAGCACTTCTTGATCCCTGCTCCGACATCTGAAGCTTACTTCGTTGGGATGGCAATCGGTAAGAAATGCAAGAAGCTGCGGCTTAATGCAGAAAGCTTGGGTTGCAATAGCTGCAAGGCTAGGCTGTTGACGCATACAGCTTCTTTTGGGTTTATCGAGGCGGGACTTTCGGGTTCAGGGTGTGAGGGGCTGAGGGCATTGGGGAGTTTCAGTGGAGTTTCGCAGCCGTGCGCCCGTGTGCCGCAGACAAACTCGTTTTCCGCCCAAAAGTGGCGATTCAGATCACCTTTTCTGGTGATCCCACTTCTCTCCGTCAGTTCCCTGCCGCGCCTCTCGGCTTATGTTTTTTGATTGAGCGAGGGTCTTAGATTAGAACACCCTTAGAAGTTGGAAGCTCTCGCATGCGCACTGCTCAGCCATAACATTCCAGGTGTCGGCACGTCTGTCAGCGAGTTCGGAACAAGGAATTTCACAGTTTTTAAACACGCCTAGTTCCGAACTGTCGTTTTAGCCGCGTCTTTTGCGTTCCTGCACCCGTAACACCAGTCGTGCTGTATCATCCCCAAAGGCAGAGAGGCCCTGAAGCCGAAAAGCCACAAGCCGCTCCGCTCGCTTTCTGTTCTCCAGCACTCGCCAACCTAAGCCGCCAGTCCAATAAAGACCCAGAGGCCCGAAGCCGTAGAATCCGTGAGCACCTAAATCCGCGAGAGTTCTCGTGCACCCTACCGGCCCCGGCAAGACACAACAACCCGGTGTCTCCCAGGCCATGAGTGCCGCAGAAGTTGCCGTGCTTGAGGGGAGCGAGCCGATCCTTCGTCTGGATTTAGGGCGTCTGGTACCAGTCTAAATGCATGAGGCTTCAAGCAGGACTCGCACTGCGAATTGAGATAGTCTGTACACAGGTTGGGGATCAATCTGGCGAAGTAGTAAGGGTTTACACAGTGGTGTTTAGGCCAATGTAGGGTTTGTGTTTGAGTCTCCGATGCATAACTGACAATTCAAGCTTCATCCGTCTAACATCTAGAACACCTGTGTGCATAGGCCCATTTGTGATGAGCCCAAAGCCTCGCAACCAAATCTGCAGCCCACCGAGGTCTATGGCAAGGGTCGCCAGTCCCACCTCGGTAGCCGGGGCGGCCTGCGCCGGTGACAAGGTGGGCTTCTGATTTGTTTGGCACATGTACGAGTTTGGGAAACTCCGGTATTTCTGTTTTATTTTGGCTGGTTAGGCATAGTAGGGCTGTTGCTTTCCAGAGCTTGGGACAGAGAGAGACCAGACTTGACGAGGGTTCACTGCCTTGTGTGGCTTCGACCTGAAGGGATGCGGCAATCAGAGCTTATGGCTTAGACAGGGCAAACCTTGGCTTTGATGTCCTTTGCGAGACTGTTAGGACCGGATGGGTTGGTTGTTCAGATGTACTTTTCGAAAAGGTCAAAAGGGTGCAGACCTCTTAGAGCTCTTCGGGTGTTCATGTTCTCAAGTTTGTTGAAGGCGCTCCTCGGCGATTTGCATGAGCCAGGAAGGCTTGAACAGACGCAGTTCCGGTCAGCTCTAATACATCAGCGGGACAGCAGTTTCGACATGCGGATGGGAACTGTTCAGTTCACCATGAACATGTGCCGCGGAGAAGCGGAGTGGCCGCAGGTCCGTGTTATATGGCCAGCGTGGCGGAGTAGTGAATTTCCTGGAATAGAACTATACTACTACATAGTTCTCGACGGGAGCCTGGGGGATCTTGTGTGAGGACTACTATCTAGTTCGACGGAGAGCCTGTGGGATTTGTCAGATGCCGACAGCCCATGCAGTAAGTTTTTACCAAGCAGGTCGTGCAAGGCGCTGTGACAACCACACGCCGCACGATGAAGATCGCAGGTGGGCTGTACGCAGAGCACCAGAGATGTGATTCTTCTGTGGGTATGATTAAGAGAACATGGGCCGGGTAAGCACGCCCTAGACGGTATCCTGGTAATCCGAATTCCAACCAGCACGTACTGCATTCCAGTATGCTTCCCGTTCAGACCCTCAATTTGTGGCTTGAGCAATCCCTGTCCGATCCTTTTATGCGGACTACACAAGACCAAGAACTGGGAGAAGCTCCGCCAGCTAAAGAAGCAGATGTTACATGAAGGAGTGTTGCCCGAAACCCAACTCCAGTGATCTCCTAGCGAGGGCATTCCGCCTGTCGCACATGGTCGTACTGAGAAGAGGCAACATAGCATTATTCCATGCCATAGGGTTCCTTCTTAAATTCTGTTTTAACCCATCACCCCAACAAAACCCTGTTCCAAACATTAAGGCCCCTAACATTTATGTATATAACAAAATTACGTAGCAAATAGTTGTAACTGTACTACAATGTCTCCCACATCCCCAATCTAAGCATGATGGCGCTTGAAGTAACATTCTGTGCTTTGTCAGGTCTGGCCCATATTTGAAACCCCCAACCTTAAACCCTAACCCTAAACCCTACATTGATTTTCTGTGCCTTTGTCAGGTCTTGCCCTCTTCGCTCTGGCCTTTGCCTTCGCATTCTTCGGCCCCTCGGTTAAAGAGTTCGACTTCCTTCGAGGGTTTGTTGGATAAATTTCGGGTTTCTTGGTTGCGTTTAGGGCTGCTTCGGTTTAGGCTTTCCCTTGAGAAACTTTGGGCAGGTTTCGGTTTGTTAGTTACGTTTGTGGCTACTTGGGCTTTGGTTGATGGGGTCGATCGTCTTTGAGGTTCTCAGCCCAGCACAGTGGCGACTAATTAGGCTCTTGGAAAGGGCCTCAGCAGAAGAGAAGGTAGCCCTAAAATCTAACTGTTGGGGTGCTAATCCAGGACGTAAGGGACACATCTCTATGCCTTGATGGTACTGCATGACTTGGTTTCGAGTTTGCGGATTCTGCATGTGACATGTTCAATCTGGCCCACGGAGTTCTCAGTTGTGACCAAAGTCAGAGGGCAAAGTTCACCTGAAGCAAATCTCGAGCCCTTACTTCAGAACATTCCGGTAAAAACGATGCGAATTGTCGTAGCTCTAGGAACAAATCTTTCCGACGGCGATTGGTGAAAGATTGCGCTCTGCTTATTGATCGTCGGGGGCTACGCTCTGCTCATTGATCGTCGTGGGCTATGCCCACCCGTCTTGTCTTCGCCCGTCGTTCAGAGCTACTCGACTGTGAACCTGAACATGAAATCAGCATACTTGGAACAGCCTAATCCAAAAGGCTTCAATCCTGTTCCTCATCAGTGTTGGTCAATAGGCTTTATGATATAGGCCCTGAACCCTGCACCCGAAACCCTAAACCCCAAACCCTTCAGGTGGGTCCTTGCCGGGGGGTTTACAGGGTTTTGGGATCCCCTCCCAGGTTGGCCCACGAACCTCTTGGAGGATGCAGCCACGCACCGGAGGCACGCAGGATACTTTGGGTTGATGGGATCCGGGGTATGAAGGTTTGTAGACCTCATTGGGTTATTTCTCGGCCTTCAGAGGGGGTGTAGACACCACCCTAGGGTTTTAGTGGTATGCATGTCTAGGTGTTGTGTCAGACAGTCGTGGAGTCGCGCAGGCGCAAAGATGTTAACCTCGCCCAACGCCTCCCAGCACTCGCCCAAGTCCTGAGGGTCCTAGCAGCACTCTTCATCACCGGCATCACGCTCGTGGCGCTGGAGGACTGTTAAACTCTCGATCAGTCTGTGGGTGATGGTGGGTGTACCGGGGCCTGGTCAGGTTGTGCATATTGTTTGCTTGCAAAGTTGTTGCAGGTGTGCTAGGGTCCCTGGGTCCTGCATATAGTCCGCCCGAGCGTCAGGTTTTGCAGGAGAAGAACGTTTTGGGCTTAGGATTGTACCTTCGATAGCACGGTTGCTGACGTAATGTATCTCAAAAATCAACCTTCTGGGACACGGCATGTTTGCAAGATGCAGAAACAAGCAAGCAGAGTTTCAGACAAACCATGTCAATGTCAGAATCTTGTTTTTCATCCAGCGAAGGAAAAGCTCCGTCAAGTAACACTGTATCACATAGCGACCGAGCAGTGCAGTACGATGGAACAGGACTCACTGAAACGCCCAACGGGCCAGCAATGCAGCAGCTAAGTATATAAGATTTATGGGATCGCAAAGTTAAGCAACTGGTACGTACTAGGCAATACTAGGTAGGCAGAAGTATCACTTGGCATATCTTTACGCAGGTTTGGAAGCAACTTAGGTCTTTGAGGAATAAACTTGCCTCTAGAATGATTGAAGCTCAATTTTCAAGGAGCCTTGTCAGCAGTACCTCGTCGGATGTTCCCTGTCTGGGAGGATGTTCTGCGACTGGACAAGTCGGCGATCATGCTTGTCTTGGCTTCCGTGCCCCTTGACTGGGGAGAGACATTCCTAACCATGAAGGGGTTTTGTCCTAACCGCAAACATGTTCTGCCCTAAACATGCCAATTTTTCTGTCTTAACCTTTGCATCGGATTTGTCCTAACCCTTGATCGGATTTCCCTTAGCCGCCTGCACGCATTGTCCTAATCGCGAAGAGTGGTAGTTGGTGCACTGCTTCACCAGCCGCGAACCGCTCAGCGGCAACATGAGTCCTCATATAAGCCTAAATCTTTTAAGCGCCGAAGCGCCTAACATCCCTAGCCATCCGCATCGTATCCCCCCAACAAGCATGCGTCGTGTCTCCGCCAGGCCGCGTCGTATCCACCGCCAGCCGCGTCGTATCCCGCCCAAGCTGCGTCGTATCCCCCCACAAGCGCGTATCTCCGCCAGGCCGCGTCGTATCCACCGGCAGCCGCGTCTTATCCCGCCCAAGCTGCGTCGTATCCCCCCCTCCCAAGCGGCGTCGTATCTCCGCCAGGCCGCGTCGTCTCCCTCGCAAGGTGCGTCGTATCCCCCCCAAGCTGCATCGTATCCCCCCACAAGCGGTGTCGTATCTCCGCCAGGCCGCGTCGTATCCACCGCCAGCCGCGTCGTATCCCCGCCATGCAAGCTGCGTCGTATCTCCGCCAGGCCGCGTCGTATCCCCGGCAAGGTGCATCGTATCCCGCCGAAGCTGCGTCGTATCCTGTATCTTCCAATTTAATCACAATGCCACATCGTATATCCCGTTCACCCTATCCGGAAGCGCATCCGCCGTCGTATCCCCCGCCACAAGAGGTGTCGTATCTCCGCCAGGCCGCGTCGTATCTCCGCTAGGCCGCGTCGTATATCCCCCCCAACTACGTCGTATCTCCGCCAGGCCGCGTCGTATCCCCCGCAAGCTGCGTCGTGCCGCATCGTAGGTGCCATGTCATATCGCGAGTCTTGGTGATTGACTCTAAGTTGTTGTCACGTTTTGGCATGTGATGTGACTTTCGCCGGTTCGAGCGTTACCATGCACTTGCAGAAGCCTAAAAGACTGAACCGCAGCAAGCAGGTACGAGTGCGTGCATCTCAGGGTCCGTTCTGATTCTTCACCTGTCCCCGGAGGTGTGCACACTTGCAGAAAGGCTGCAAAAACGAACAGCAGCACGCAGGCTTTCACATGAGTTGTTCAGTCTTGGGAGACGGTGTGCGATGCGTGCGGTTAGGGACCAAAACCTGCACGCGGTTAGAAAAAAGAAGAGCGCTTTTAAGATGTCGTGTTCTCAACGTGGTTAAGAAATCATTCCTGACTGGGGCTTTGTGGATTCAAGATTCTTACCTAGACCGCCTAAACCCTGTTCATGCTATACCTAAACTCTTAACCAGGAGTAAAATGCAGCTAGTACCTTCGGGTTTGAGGGATGGTGAGCTCAGAGCGATTCAAGTTTAGCCTGAGTATTATCAGCTGTTGCGAATGCCCATACCTTCAGGGGAACATAAGCAATGCTATGTTGTTCTGAACCCTGGCCATACCTTCTCGTTTGCATCTCCAAAGATCCCCTTCAAGGATGTGGACGTACCATGCGGCGGGCATTCATGCCAGATCTGCAGAAGGCGGCTACCTCTTTCACGTGTTCGGGTTCAGCATTAAAGCTCCAAGGCCTTGTGTCTGTTTTGGGGCGACCATTATTCCTCAAGATGGAAAGTGCCGATGCGTGTTCATGGTGGGTCTAGACGCGACTGATTGCCGGGCTGCGAGAGGGTTCTGCACTGTGACACGGCAGACCGACATTCTGCCCTTCCTGCTCTGTTCGCGCAAGCAACTGTACTTCTATAACTCGAAGCCCCAAACGCCGCAAGCTCTGGGTTCCAAGGATCTGAAAGCCAATCGTGTCTTCACCAAAGCCCGGAACCGTCACTGAGCACTCTAAGCCTTAAGCTCCTGACATGACATGGAAACCAGAGGGCCGAAACCTGCCCCAAAAACTCTGCGAATAATTCTCCAGTAATCCTCCTCTAGGACCACCCTAAACCCTAAACCCTAAAGCCTGAACGTCAAATCCTACATCCTAAGCCTCAAAAAATTTCACACCCAAATTTTGTGAATCTCTCCTCATTAGGACAACCCGAAACCCTAAACCAAAAAACCCTGACTAAATCCTGTCACCCGAAGACTCTCTGAGTCTCTCCTCGTAGGACACGAGCTCCTCCAGGAGGAACTGATGAAAGGACTCTTCGAGGCCCCGAGAGTGAAAGCTGGGTTCAGGGTGGTGGGTGCTGGGTGCTCCCTCATCACACCCTTAAAGCCCTACAACCGAGTTTGTGCCGGTGCAAGATTTCAGTTTTTGGGTTTTTTCAAGTTTCTTGGTTTAGGGCTTTGGACTTCGCTGTCGGTTTTAGAGAGTTTTTGGGGTGTCAAGTTGGCAGGAATTGCAGGGATTGGGCATTGTGGGCTTCCAAACGCAGGTTTGACCTTGTTTCCATGATTGGGTGAGGCTGTCCGCACAACATCTTGCAAAGGTCCAGGTGCGCAAGCCTTGCACAAGTCTGGTACGATGTCTCTCTCGACATCTGCCCTATCACGGTTTCTGAGCCTCAAACCCTGTCCCTACAAAAGAAGTCAGAAATCTTGAGCAGGTCGGCAGCGTCATCTTGTTTCTGTTGCCTGCCATGTGCGTGGTGGAGTCCATCGATCACATGTGCCCTGAGCAAGATTTAAGATGCGGTAGAGCCGGGCTTGCGGGAGAAGGTCCTGTGCCATATCTCCTATTACTCCTATTGCCATGAATCCTCTGCTTAATTAGTCGAAGCCAGACTACCCGAACCTCTTCCTGGAGTTTTGGAAGGGTTCCGGTTTGGGGTTTAGGGTTTGGGGTCCCAAGCCGTGCGGGCGCCTTGTCTCTCCGAACCCACGCAGAAACCGTGTTTAAGTCTGCGAGCTTCAGCAACTGCAGGGCCCTTCTAGAACAGACCCCAAAGCACACAAAGCTGATGTAGGTAGACGGCTAGCGTAGAAGCCTCCGTAATCCGAGTCCAACTATTCAGGGATTGGACCAGACAATCCTCCGAGTATTGAAAGACCACGCAGACTGGCAAAGACTCAAGGAATGGCTTCGCAGTTGTCACGGCGTTCATCGTTCGCCAGACGCAGGAGAAGGCCTGTAGCGACGGAAGCAACTAGTTGTGCACGTTATAGAAGCCGGAATGGTGACCAATACTATTTCTTACTTGGGCTTCTCCGTCATATTGTTTAAAAATTTGAGCATATACTCATAATTCACCAAATTCAAAACCCCATTCTAGTTCTTAAGGCCCTTATATTCATCTGGGGAGTTTCAGTTGGAGTTCTGGGCTGGTCGGAGCTGATTGGGAGTTTATGGATGCCAAGAATCGGAAAGAGGAATCATGACGACCGCAAGCCCCAAACCCCGGACCCTCAATCCCCCTAAACCCTAAACCCTAAGCCAAATTGTCCGTCTCATGAACTGTATGGGGAAGGGACCCTCTCGCAAATCTGACCCCCCGGAGGGCGGGCGGCTGATGCCCATCGTCATCATATCGCCTTCCTCCCGGAAGTGAAGCGTTGGTCCGAACAGCCCCAGAAGGCACGGCGAGTCCCCGAGCTCCTGCGCCATCAAACAGCTCTAGACCGTTCAGAGTGATGATCGTGAGTTGTAATATGACGCGTGACGCATACGCCCCTTCAAACCAAAGCAAACCCCTGTAATACCCTTATGGGAGCCCTTATAATAGGAACCCCTTGGAGGAGCCCGAAAAGAATCCTCAGAGGAAACCCTGAACGGAGCCCTGATGGTAGGAAACCCGTGGCCAGGTGATCGACAATCTCACTGCCACCATCTTCTGCGTCAAGATCCTGCAGCGGGTGGTGCCCCAAGACCCTAAAACCTCCAAAGCAAAAGAGCTTAGAGCCCTACCAGATACCGGATCCTACGCCTAAACCCCATTGCAAAACTCAGCAAAGTCGGTGAACACAGCGGTGAATGCAGGTGTCCTCTGCACGTCCAAACCAAATTCCAAGGGGTTCTTCTCAGAAAGACACAATGCACTTCGACAGCGATTGTTATACTCCATGCCGGCAAACCCCATTTTTATTCGCAGAAAACCAGCACAAATTTCAGACGAGGTCTGAGCCTCTTTTATTCGAAAAATAGAAAGTACGGCCCTGACCCACCTGACCCAGAGCCGCTGAGGCACGGAGGGCAGGGCAGGGCTGACTGTGGGAACTCGGGGTGGCGCGACGTTGCTCCTGTAGCCGTGCGGTTATTAACCTTTTCGAGCGAAGTGGTTTCGGGTGCAGACCTCGACCTATCCAACCCTCTTCCAGTTCTCCGTAAACCTTAAAAAGCCTAAAGCCACCCTTATAGCAATGTGGCGCAAGCCTTTTAAAGAGCCCCATTAGGAACCCCTCTAGTAGGAAGCCCTAAAGAGCTGACGACAAGGCGGCGGCAAACGCCGGAGGCGCCTGGAGTCCGCCACTCGCCTCCACTTGTTGTTTCAGGCTCTTGGGGTTTTCTTGGAAAGGTTCCTTAAAAGGGTGTTCATAGATTTGGATCTTAGTAAGTATAGGCTTCTTGAACGGGTTCTTTTGAGGCTGCTTGAAAGGGTTGCGATAACGGGGATCGTGCGCCATAGCAGTATAGGGACTCTGAGGGGCATCTCATTGTTTGCATCTCGCCGGAAACGGCCGCCCTTGCAAACCTCATGGTTCCTTGGATGCGATGAAACATGCAGAAGTGGGTGATGGTACGAAGGTGTCCAAGATATTCGGCCTGCTTTAGCATCGCAGTCTTGCTTCGGTGTTGGTCTTGGGTTTTTGCTGGTTTGGGACCTTTGAAGAGTGCAGGCGATTCAGCCGACCACACTGTGAAGCGTCCGAAGCTGAAGAGGCGCTCCGCCGGAGCTGCGTGCTTGCATTCCCGTCTCCTGCGGCCCAAGTGCTGTCACAAGGCATCCAAACCAGCCCTGTAAGGCTCAGAAAGTCGATCATCTGAACGTCTGTGCCCTGACCCTGAACCCTCAAGCACCGAGCAAGTCATTGACATTCGAATCCCCAAACTTCGTGCGTCTTGAACTCCAAACTGTGTGGCTTAGTCCCTGATGCGATGTCCAAGCGAACTGAATCAAGGAGCTGGTGCAGAAATCTGGAAGTCAAATCGTGACATGCTGTAGCAATCACAAAATACAATGGACATTGCGTCGTTCTTCCCAGCGTATGGGCTGCGGAGCCAGCAGTGAGAGCAAGTGTGCCGGGCACTGTGGGGACAAGAGTATTGGCCGCTTCTCTGCTTTTCTGACGTAACGTAACTCTAAACCGACCCCTAAACCCCAAAGTGTTTTTCTGACAGATTTCGCAGTCTTCTGGCAGGATCACAAGTCCTGCGAAAGCTTGGGGCTCTGATGTTCGGGTCGAGACGGGTTGAACTTTTTACAGGTGTTTCATGACCAGAAGCGCTGAAAACTCATGTCAAATTTCATGCTTGCCTTGGGCCTAAGATCGGGAAGTTGGTGTTGTTTTTTTGTGGGTATGTCACCACTTCTTTGATGAGAGTTTCTGAGTGATTCGGGTGCTAGAGACCGTAGGCTGGATACTCTGAATTCTACTGCAAGCCGGAAAGTCAACACTCAATCTTCAACTTGAGAGGGGCGAGCAGTGACCCAAAGCTTCCGTACAAAACGTGGAAGATCATCGATGTCCAATCCCGTACAAGCATGATCTCCTGTACAACCCCCTGGTTTCTAGCACTTCTTCATCCCGGCTCCGACATCTGAAGCTTCGTCGGCAGGGCAATCCCAGGCAAGACTCTTCGGCTTAATGCACAAGGCTTCGGTTGCAATGGCTTCAACTTCGTGGCTAGAGCTGTTGATGCCCATTACTTTCGGATTCTAATTGGGGACTTTCGGGTTCAAGGTGTGAGGGGCTGAGGGCCTTGGGGCCTTTCGTGCGCCCGTGTGCCGCAGACAAAATCGTTTTCCGCCCCAAAGTGGCGATTCAGATCACCTTTTTCAGTGTCTTTGGTTGGTGGCGTCCATGGTTTCTCAACATGGACAGTACCCATGTGTGATTTTATTGGGGTCTATAGACGTACTTCAGAAAGAAAGAGTGCAGTTCACACCAACAGTATGTCTGTAGTAGTATGCTTCAGTGCGTTGGTGAAAGACGTGGAAGATCACGTATAAATACCGATGTCTGACCCGAAATGCGCGAAACTGAAAAACCCTCAGCCTTGAAGCCCTCGAAATCTTCGGAGCTCAAAGATTCCCGAGGCGGGGAAGGGTCGCCGCAGACGGGTTTGAGCCAATGAGAGGGGATGAAAAAGCGTGTGTGTTTGGGAAAGGCTGGTCGGGGGCCAGTGGAGGGCCATGGAGGGCCCAAGGTGCTAGGACTTCAAACAGGCTTGCGGTAGTTTGTGATCTTCTTGTCAGAGTTTTGAGGGGTAGGAGTCGGGTCTGTCCTTGAGGCTCCACGCACTTGCTGAGGGGATTAGAACTTTTGGTTCCCACGTCTGGAGCCTTCGTGGTCAAGGGCCATGGACCATGGCCCTGCTGGTTTCACGCGGCTCAAGACTTGCCACAAAATTAAGGCATGCCGAAGTCTAATTGAACCGGTTCATCCCGAGTCTTCGAGACTCGAAGCCTCCACAGCCTTGCCGGAGATTTTCAAGAAGTCTGTAAGAGCACCAGTCATGCTAAAAATAGTAGTGACAACAGTAATGGTAACCAAAGCTATGGTAGTAATGGTCTGTCAACAGCGTTACATCATCAGGTTGTGAGATTCTCTTGTGATCGCTGCTAATGGTCGGCATCAAGCGAATATGAGGCTCATGGAGGGGAACAAACAACGAACTAGCGGCCGCTTCGGCTCGAAGTGCTTCACGCCCATCCGTGACTGACATTGGTTATCATCCACTACTTGGCCATCGTGGCAGCAATGAAGCATCCGTCAAAGCCTCGAAGCCCCATGTAAGTCATGCACTGGAGATATTACAGCTCAGTCTTCAAGAGGATCGACACCGTCCTATTTTTCCTGTCTCTTTGGCCTCCCAAGCAGGAGAGCCAAGGCCAGCCGAGTTCGCTGATTTGCAGAATTAACAACCCCCCCCTCCACAACGCTTCGAACGGCCCTCGATGGTTTGTGGTTGTGGAAAAGGCTTTGGTCGCGATTTGTTCAGGCTCTGGGATTGGTCATTTCTTTTTCTCTTTGGCCTGCATCTTTGGCCTGCATGTTCACGATCAGGCGCCACCTTAGACCAGGGAGCTTGTCTCTTGTGTTCGCAGGGTACAAACTAACGTCATTTGAGTGTTATAAACAGTGCAAGGCTCCGACACCCTAATCCCAACTCCTAAATATATATATATATATACACACACACATACATACATACATACATACATACATACATATATATATATATATATATATATAGAAAAATACTAAAGTCCCTGAAGGCCTAAACCGAGCTTGTTAAGATGAGGCCCATACAAACCAACACATTGAGACCTCGTGGATTTGGATTCATGCGTACAGGGCACAACTCCTATGCCTATCTGACAGGTCTTGTTGTTTTTGGGTGTAGGCTTGCTCTTTTTAATTTCGGGTTTAGGGATTTAGGGTTTCGGGATGTTGAGGGATCTTTAGGGCTTTTGGAGAAGTTTCGGCATGTTTAGGGATTTCAGCAGAAGGCTTAAGGACAGTTCTTGGGAGTTCTCGAAGCCCTCGGTTTTGGAGTTCCGAAATTTCCCGGCTGTCTCCGCAGCACCGCTTGCATTTCTCCTGCGCCGGCGGCCTGGGAAGCTCCGGGTTTCAAGGGCATAAATCTTGATCATTGAGGGCTTTAAGGTGTATGGGGTTTATGGTTTGGGGTCTGCAGGGTTTGGGGTTTAGGGTTTGGGGTCTGCAGAAGTTTAGGGTTTGGGGTTTAGGGTTTGTTTAGGGTTTGGGGTTTAGGGTTTGGGGTCTGCAGAAGTTTAGGGTTTGGGGTTTAGGGTTTGGGGTCTGCAGAAGTTTAGGGTTTGGGGTTTAGGGTGTATGGAGTTGAAAGTCGCTGGGGCTATCGGTTTGGCTTCTCGCTTTCGGTAGCAGGTTTAGCGGAGCGACATTTCGGTGGACTGGTAGCAACCAGCAGGTCAGTCTCAACAGAATCGAGGAACCAGAACTTGTGTCGACTGCTGTGGCAAGCTCCGATTCTTCTAAGAGTGCAGAACACATCAGAGACAATTGGCTGGAGAAGACAGGGGTTCAAGCAGTGTGTGCGTTAAGAAAGCCGGGCTTCGGGCGACGCAGCATGTAGTTGACGGAACTCCGCATGGGTCCTGGCTGGTCATGTCCGACTCCGGCGAGGAGGAGGTTCGCCTGCTGTGTGGGGCGGAAGTTGAGTCAGAGGACGATGAGGAGCTGGTGCTAGAGGGACGCTTTGCTATCAGGAACCCTAAGACAGTATACCGCGACGTGATCCGAATAATGGTTTCCCCACATCCAGGATTGAACAGTTATGTCAGCGTGTTGCATCTCAGAGAAATTGAAAGAATAAGCGCATTGTGCTGAAAATAAGCCGACATCTCAGGATACAGAGATGGGATGCTGACCGAGTATGTGAACGGCAGGGGTGATACAGTGAATTGCATCAACTCCATCAAGGTTTACACGGCCATGAGCACGCACAATTTGTGGAAGGTCGATGACCAGCTGGAGGAGTTTCACGTCTCCTTTGTTTTGAGGTTGAAGTGGAAGGATCCGAACTTGAAGTATTTCAGAGCCAAGCTCACTCTGCAGACGCCGGCGCCACATCAACCTGTGCAGGTTCATTCCGATGTACGAGAACTGGAAGTCATCGTTATCCGGAAACATCTGAACGGGGACTTAGAGTACATCGAGGTAGGTCAGGGCGACTTCTACCACACGATCCGGTATGAGGACTACATGTCCCTGAGTGCTCCAGACTGGCAGCACTACTTCTTCCCGAAGCACAGCTTTACGAACATGCGGCCGGAAGAGAAGCTGGTCTTCGAACAAAAGGAAATCCTGTGGTCTGATGAGACGGGCGGGTTCGTAGAATACAAAGTGAAGTATGATGCGAGATTTTCAGAGACCTTGGAACTTCGAAGCTTCCCGCTTGACCGGCAAATCTGCAGGATCAAGTGCTCGGCCGAACTTCCAGCGGAAAAGTTCCAGTTCGTCCCAGAAGCCGGCAGCTCATGGGAAGGAATCACCACATGCGACATGTGGTGCCCGGGAAGCGATCTGCCAGGCGGGAAGAAGGTGAGCTTGCTCTACGTTCGCTACTGCGACAAGCACTATGCATACCCTATACAAAGATCCTGTGCCACCATTCTGATCCATTTGGACCGTGATGGATCCTACTACTTCCATAGTGTGCTGCTCATGGTCTTCATGGTGAACCTCGTCAGCCTGTGCGGCTTGCGCATCTCGCTGAGCCACCTAAGCGGCCGCCTGGGCCACCTCATCACTTGCTTCCTGGCTGTTTTGGCGTATCGCTACGTCATCGACGATAAGCTTCCACAAAAGCAGTACATGACTGCGGCCGACTGGTACATACTCTCAGCTTGTGTCTTTCTTGTGCTGCTCTGCATTGAGACAGTCGTTCTGTCGGCTTGCGGCAGGGAGGGCGTCCTGACTTGGTGCAAGACCTCGGATCAAGACATGTTGGATCGATATACCGGTTTCGGTGCGGCAGCGGCATGGATCCTGGGCAATGCCATGCTATACTTTTTGTGGAAATGCGGGTGTCGGTCGAGCTGGAGCAGCGTCTATGCCGATAACGAAGAACCGTACTTCCGTGTCTGCGAATGCCCAGAATGTAAGCATCGTTGGCTCCGCAAGCAGTTTGGAAACAACGATGGGAAGTGCAAGGAACCAGCACACGCGCATGTCACCCCGCGATTGCTTTACCACACGCCTCTAGACCACGATCCGGTGGTGCAGCCACAGCCGCTCCCAGAGATTCCACAACACGTTAAGGGAGTAAGCTCAACTGGATCGCAGAGCTTGCGCCACAGCGAAACGAATAAAAGCAAAATCTGTAGAGCTGAGGCAGAAAGCTTTCCCAGGCTGCCGCATGCTCGGGCACCTTCGCTTACCGAAGGACAGTATTGGGAACGCTCTGCTAGTAAGCCGACCCCAACTCGCTAGCACTACACCATTCAAGCAGTCTTTGATAACCCCAAGCGCCTCGGCTTTGTGACTCTGAAGCCCAAGCATGACACTACACTCAGCCTCAAAAGCCTCGGTGCCCAAGCAGAGTTTGATCGGCCTCTCGCCCGTGGGGAAGGGAAGAGGAGTTTTCGGAGGGGAAGTGCATTCTCTCAGCTGCGCAATTGGCTTAGGTTTGCCATGAAGCTGCAGGCTCGCAGGGCGTGAACTTGGCATCTGCTAGGAGCCAAAGCCGCACATATGGAGATGCTGCTGTCTGCCACAAGTCCTAGCAGTCCGCTAACATTTGCCGCTTTTCACGACTCGAGGTGCAGTCGAAACCTCGTGGGTTGCGGTCGCTTGGTATAGTAAGTTCCGTAGTTAAAGTTGATGCTGGTGCCATGTCGAAAGTCTCCTTGTGTGCCGAAAGCATCTCGCTTACCACCTACGACCTACAGCTTAATATGCCAACACAAGACGAAACAAACGTGATACGAATATCCGAATCTGGCCTGGGACTGTGGATTTATGCTTCGCGGTAGAGTTTTTCTGTTGGGGATGTGCATAATGTGGCTTTACGGAGGCTGCAGTATTCTACACGGGATCTACGACACAGCGGGGAAACCGCTCAAACGGGGAAGCTGCAGACTCGCCCGAAGCGCCGAGTTTCCTTGCAGGCCTCCTCGCCAAAGCCGGCGGAAGGATCACAGACTTGGACGTTTGATGGCTGCAGAGATGAAAAGACGGTTGCAACACAGAGTCCGTGAGCGTACCTAAACCCGAAACCCTGAAACTGCGGCTACGAGCCCTTCAGCTTCCGCTTTGGTACCCGTCGGTAGCTGGATGCTATACTACAACTAAAATGCCACAATAAGTATTCATTATCAATTATGAATGATCATTCGTCTCGACTCCATGCCCGGAGCTCGCGAAGAATAAAGCTTTTGGTGCAGCGCTCGCACGAGGAGGCTGCCAACCCTTAGTTCGGACCCCGGAGCTCCGAAAACCCAACTACAACCATCCCGAAGCACTCCTGAAGTACCACTAATCTACTAGAAGCTCTGCGACTCTGCGCCCGAGCTCCCCAAATACCTCCAACCCTGCCCTGAAACCATGACCCAGCGCTGAAAACTTAGAACATTCAATCTTAAAGTCTTGGCTCCGACCCTGGTCTGAAACCTAGTCTACGTAGGGTCTAGGATCAGCGGTCTCGAATGTCTAGGAAGGGTCTTGTTGAAGCCTCATTCGCAGAACGCAGAGATGTTTTGCCCGAAGATTCAGACGGACCATTTCTGAAGAGTCCTTGGACGGGCACTGCGCTTCAATTCTCCTTAATGCCCGGTGTGCGCCATGCTATGAGACTCTTCCTCTTCCCCGGCCTTGAAGACCCGAAGCATCCACACCCTCGCCCGAGAGCCTCAAGAAGTGAACAAGCCCATGTCTGCTATCCCTCGACTCATTCTGAGGGGAGGGATAAACGTTCCGCTAGCCCTCTGGGTGCTGGTTTTGAGAGTCTTGGGACTCCAACTTGTTGGGGACGCACAAGGCCTACCCTCTAAGCCTCATCCTAGTCTCAGTGTTCCTTCACCTCCCGAAGCTCTTCCACAGCGCAGATGTGTTTTGTTCACTGTCTCTAGGAGTCGGCATGAAGATTAGGACATCGGACGTGGCAAACAACGAACTCTCGCGGACTCTTCGGCTCGCAGTGCCCCATGCCCATCCATGACTGCCTTAGTTGCCAGTAAATGATAGTTGGCAACTTTCTAAACAGCAGCCATCGTAGCACGTGATGAAGCATCCGTCAGATCCATGGAGCTATTACAGTTGTCAGGGCGGGGCAGGTTTCCCTCCTCCCGGCGTCCGAACCAGGAGAGCCAAGGCCAGCCGGGCCTGCAACCTGCGCATGCAAAGACTTGCTTGGCTCCCCCATCTTGCCGGCATGGTCTGTAGAACTGTTCCCCAAAAGCTGAGGAGGCACCTGGACCGCTAGATCCGGGTCTTGCGCAGGCCTTGGCCAAAGCGGCCGGGCCTGGGGAGGCCCGGGCCTCGGACCGCTAGAATACGGAACCCGACCTGACTGATGGAGGAAGTCGGAGTTGAAATGTTCTAGCTGGTGGCTATTCGTCGGCGTGTGTTCCGGCCTGTTGACCAAGCATCGGTCCATCGCCACTTGAAGCCGCAAACCTCGACACGATTGACCCTGAAGAATCTCGGACGTGTAAACCCCGAGGACTTGACAAGGCTCTCGGAGTGTCCCTAACTGTTTCTGCTCTGATCCCCACAGGCCAAGAGTGTCCCTGCAGGTCTTTGCACGGGCCAGTCCAAGCGGCCAAATTTATCTCAGCGGACCAGGCTCCACCGCTTGCTTCAGGGTGCTTCCGGCTCGGTACTGTAGCTCGCAGCTGTGCTTTGTTGACCGCCTTCGGGTTTAAGGTTTAGAGAGTTTGGGGTTTAGGGTTTAGGTGTTCTCTTCTCCTTGGCTTGTGCAGCAGTTAGCAGCTGGTATCAACGGTTTTGGTCGGGGGCCCCATCCCCCAAGCACCAAAGGCGCCCGAGTTGAGATCGTTGCAACGGCAAGTCAGCACGTAACCACCACCTCCACCTCCGAATCTCAGCAACCTCTCAAGACTAGTGAATCCCCACTCCTTTTCCCGAAGCCAGACACAGCTTGCCAGAAAGGCCGAAGGCCAAAGCTCCGATGCCGAGTGAGGCGCGGGGAGGGCAGGTTTTCGCCCTTGTCCTCCTCTTTCGGGTTCGTGGCGCCGCAGATGTTCGGGTTCCGGTGAGTTTTGTCTCTGAAAAGAAATGCATGAACGGAAGCGCATCGCGGATGTTCGCACCAAAAGCACCCTGTTGTGTTCCGGCCCAGCCCTTGAACATCGAGGAGCTGCGGCAAAGCCGCATTCCGAATTCCCGCTCGCCAGGTTGGCCTTGAGCTGGAGAGGGTGTCCGTAGAGACCTTCTGCGACTTCATCGTTTGCCTTCGAGGCAGACTTTCGTGAAGCTAGGTTAAGAGTGCAGTGCGGGGATGGTGGACTACGGCCAAGGCAACTCCATCACCGAGGAGGAACTGCAGGCCCGAGCAAAGCCCATCATCGGACTTCTGTTGTGATTGTTTCTGGCGCTTGGAGCCCAGGGCATCTTGCGGGAAGTTCCCATCGATAGCAGGAGACTCAGAGCTCGCGATGTCTCTCCAGGGATTGTGCTCGCAGAGGAGACACAGAACCCAGGCTGATGACTCCAAACATCGCTGAACCTGCTGAGCTGCCGGAAGCTCCTCCGGTGCCTTCAGCGCCGGACAAGCGATCGCGGGCCCGCGGGTCTCCTGAGCCGGGCCTTTGCGCGCTGCTTCCCGGGTCGCCCCAGCGAGCCGACAGAGGCCCGGGAGCGTTCAGAGCTCCAGTTGTGCGGGAAGGGAAGATTCGCCTGGAAGCTCTGCACCGCAATGGAGCTGCTAAGCAGCGTCCACCGTGCAAGGTCGTCGACCATGGTGTTGCCGATCAGGCACTTCGGGCCGGGACACGGGAAGTGGTGGGAGGAGCATGTTTTGGGAGCATGAGCATGTCAAGTCAGGGCGTTCTGCCACAAGTAGCTTCTGATCGCCGGACACCCAGTCTGTGCCCGCAACCTTGGACTGTGTTAGCGGAGAGGTCTGAATGCGCCCGCAAGCCTGGGCAGCCTGCCGAGGCGATGGCAAGGAGCGGAGCTTCCAGGAACTCGAGCGCTCCCTGCCGGATCGCGTGCATCAGGAGGCCACCGCACAGCAGGGCTCGCTGTCTGCGGTCTGGTGCCGTCGCTCGGGAGATCCGGGGGATTGAACCTGCACCGAGGGGCCGACGGACGAGAATCCGACGGAGTCCAGCAGGCTCGTGAGGCGAGGATCTCGCCTTGGATGTTTAGAGAATTTGCTCCGTTCACTTCCGCGGTTTGCCAAGGAGCAGTTCATGCGACCACCCAGATCCAGGCATCTCAAAGAGAGCGGAGGTGCCGCAAGTCCCCCGCATGCGTTGACTCGCACAAGATCGGCATCGGTGCATGTCAGCGCAGGCGAAGGAGTACGACCTAGCCGACAGGAAGAAGCTGGCAGACTTCCTCGAAGACGCTGACATCCAACTGGCGGCCGTGGGCTGAGGGTGGGCGAAGCAAAGCACACCCTGCAAATAACGTCATGACAGGAAGTTCAGGCAGCACAGGCTGGCATCTGCAGCTATGTTTAGGTGGCAGTAGTGCAGGATAGCCTGGTCTACTATTTTCCAGGCTCCGTGACCCGGAACAGATTGGCTGACTTTGCGCCTACTCCATCCTGCTAACCCATCCCGTTCGTTGCCTGATCTCAAGCCTCCGGGTCGATTGCTGTAGCTTCCGCGTGATCGGTCGACTGCGGTGTGGCGTGGGTTTGATGAAGCAGCGAATGGTAGCAAAAAGCAACACATGACGACTGTTCCACGATCATGGTGCAATGCTGTTTCTATGGGCCGAGGAGCTGTTGTTCTTGCCCCCTTGTCTCCTGCCAGGGTGGCCCTGGCATGCGGAGGATCTCCAAGGATGCCCTCCGCATTATCGTCCGGAACCTTCAAGGCCAGAATCCCAGAAGATGAGTCCCCGTAGCTGCCTTAGCCGCTGCAAACTGAGACCCTTGCCGCATGGTTTGTCGCACATCTCGCATGTGCAACAGGCTAAAAAATTCTAAGTCAGTTGCAGGTTCAGGAGTTATGCGACTTTGCGGATAATCGGCAGCATGTGGCGGAAGTCAAACATTACAATAGGATTTCTCCGACTGCTGAATGGCTACAGTGACATCTCTGTATAAGAACCCCATTTCGCGAGAGCTACCCTAAGGCCCCCTTAGCATTACCTCTCTCTGATTTTTCCAGCTGAGAAGTTAGGGTAGGCTGAGGGTTCTTATCCATGTTCTTATCCAGACGCAGCGTGTACCTTGAGCCAAAATGGCTGCAGTACCCTAAACCGAATTAGTGTCTCACGTTTGTGCCTTTGCCCACCCTTCCCAACCCCACACCCTACCCCTGCCTGTCGCTGCCCCGGGCAAAAGCGAAGTCGTGTCTGCCACTAATTCGTTTTTGCCTTTGCCAACCCCTGCCCCCAACACCACCCCTGCCGCTGCCAGGCCAAAAACGAAGCTGACACTAATTCGTTTTTGCCTTCCGCCCCCACCCCCACCCTGCCCTTGTCCCCTGCTCGGGCCACCGAAAATCTCGATTCTGGGCGGGGGAAGGGCCCAAACGACACCGCCGGGAATCGAGCCCATCCGCAACAAGGCTTCTGAAGCCAGAGTGTTTTCCACTCAGCTAAAGTTGTAGTCCATGCTATCGAACCTAGGGCAGGAAATTCGACCTGACCTGCGGGCACCATCTTGTGAATGTCTGTGCTTGCCGTAGAAACTGTGTACGCATTCTTGAACATGGAAGATTACGATCACCAGAAGCATCTCCCAGCTTTCGGAACCTCCCCTATAATCGGATCACTGCCATGTTGAGTCCCAGAACTTGCCTGCAAAATATCCTGCTACCTTGACGATCCCAAATTGACACAAACACAGAAACCCCAAAGCCTGAACCTTAAGCGCAGCCTCAGCCCCCACATAGCCGCCGAGACATGTTTCAGGATCCGGATTCAGGATGCATGTGGATCCTTCCCAGTGTATGTCAGGCGATCGTTTCACCGTGGCCATGCTCCAGGCAGAGACTGCGTGCCCAGTTTGTGGGCAGAATGTGCCGGAGCGACTGGCCAGGGCATCTTGCAAGAGGTTGTCCTCGATGGTCGGCAGCTCAGCCGTAAGAGCACCGACAGAGTCTTTGTTTGCTGTTTCCGAAAGATGGTCCGTGCTTCCGCGTGCGGAGGCGAGGGCCTGCTGAGCTGCGAGGAGTTGGCGCGCTGCCTCCGCCGCCCGGATCCAGCTCCGGAGCCGCAAGAGGCCAGAGCATGGAGTCAGCGAGCAACGTCGGACAAAGTATTTGCCAGGCCAAACGCTACGACCTCGCTGAGAAGAAGGGGCTGGCGGGCTTCCTGATCGACGCGGACATCCGCCTGGTGCGCACCCTATCACTGCTAGTATGTCATGAATCATTGCTAGTATGTCATGAAGACGGATCAGACCTCTGACAAGCTTCCTGAGCGCAGCAGATCACTGCGGTTGTCGAGGTGCGAGCCGACTTCATCCTGAAGCTGCAGCGGGAAGGACAGCGCCTCCCACGCCGCCAGGAAGCAGAGTCCGCCTACGTGCACGGCCGCACGGCCCTCGTCACCCACGAGGAGGTGCGGGGAATCTGCTGTCGCGAAGTTCCAACCCCGTCCGGAAAAAACATGGCAACGTTCCTCACTGCGCCCGGCGCTCTGCAGATTCCTAGCCTCCTCGTCCCATTGCAGCCTTGCTGTTTGTTAAATTCTTGGAGGTGCAAGCCTGGGCAGATAGCGGGGAGCCTGAGGACAACGCGATCGTCTCCGTGTCTCACTGTTGGGAGTCGAAGGAACACTGTGACCCGTATGGCTATCAACTAGCGAGACTTGCCAATTCCCTTACAGGCAAGGAGTGGTTTTTCATAGACTATGTTTCTCTGTATCAGGCCCAGCGCCTCCTGCGGCAACAGAATGTCAGCTTCGGGCGTGCGATGCAGAACATGCATGTGCTCTACTGCCATGACAAGTCAAGCACGCTCCGAATTGAGTCCCTAACGCCGGAAGCTGACATAGAAGAAGCCGAGCAGAAGCATGAGTGTGTAAGCGTGTATAACCCCGTCAGTGGCCTGGTGAAAACAGTGCCGGTCACACAATTGATCAAGAACCGCACCCCTTACAGGGAGCGAGGCTGGTGTGCTGCGGAGAGGGAGTGGTCCTGTACGCGGACGGCCACCAACCTTACGCGTGAAGTAGACACTTCGGAAGGTGAGAAGGGGGGAAGCGCCCCTATGGCGCCGGAGGCATTTCGAGAGAACGTGGCACACCGGCTTAAATTCACGCATAAAGCTGATGTAGAGACCGTCTGCAGCTTGCAAGCGGAAGTGTACAAAGAGAAGGCAAAGGTGTGCAGGAGCCTGAGGCTCGTAGACTTGGGTGCAGATGCACTGGACATCGCCCTGTCGGCTCTCGAGCACTACCCGGCCCTGGAGCGCCTCGGCATGCAAAGCACTGCCCTGGGCTTGAAGGCTTGAATCGAAGGCAAGACTAAAGCGGCCTTCCGACTAGACCGCCGTCGCTTTCAGGAGCCTGGAGATCGTCCACTGTGAGCTCAGCCCCAAGCTCCCGCTAGTGCTGAAGGCCGGTGTTTCCTTTGTGCATTTTCCGAGCATTTCAGGCAGAAGCCAGCGCAGCCCAACCACTTCTGAGCAGGTCCTGAAGGAGAAGAAGCTTCCACAGCTCCACCTGCAGCACAACGAGCTCTTGGCGGAGGGCACCTGCCAGGTCGTTGAGGCCCGCCGCCAGATGCCGATGTGCACTGCTGGCATGGTCGCTTACGTTGAGCGGCACTTTAGGATGCATCATGGAAGGTGAAGGCTTTTTTGGTGTGCGTGCGTACTGCGGCACGACGATGCGCTCCAGGCCTTGGCTGTGCAGCTTGCGGCACTCAGCCTCAGCCACGACCGCATCGGCGTCGCTGGTGTCAAGGCTTTGGCAGAGGCCTCGAGCTCGAAGAAAGCGGGATCGGATTCAGTGGCCTTCGGGATACAATTGCCCGCCCCGATCTTTTGCTTCCCTGGAGAAATTGCAGACTGAAACATGCCTGCAACTCTGCACGTAGGCTCTGCGGACGAAGAAAGCTCTGATCGAGCTGAACCTGAGCCACGTGTGCCTGGACGGCGATGGGGTCAGCGCTCTCGCAGAGGCCCTGGGACGGGCTGTTGAAGGTCTTTCAGGGTTGTGCTTGCTGAGGTTGCAGGGACACAGGCTGCTGAGACGGCTTCCGCCGAAAGGAAATGTCGCGGTAGGAACGCAGCACAGTGGCCTCGAGCAAACTTCACAGAGCTTTGGCTCCGCAATTGCCAAATCCTTCCGCGCAGTCCTTGCTTTGTCATTATGTGCAGGCAATCACGCAGAATCGCACGCTCAAGCGGCTGAGCATTGGAGCCAACCTTGAAATTGCGGAGGAATGCGCTTTCGCCCTTCTTGAGGCTGGCGGCTACTGTTGTACTTGCCACAAGCTCACCGCCACCCCAAGGCATCTTGAACCTCCTCCCAACCTACAGCTTGCGAGCAAGTGCCCGTTGCCCTAAACCCTAAACCCGCTCCCTTTTGCGGGAGTCTAAAGTCTAGAGCGCCGCCCTGCAGGCGCTCCGAGTGAGCGGGGTCGAAGCCCAGCTCCAGCTCGATCTGAAGGACAGCGATTCGGGCAAGGCCGCCGTGGCATTAGCCAGGGCCCTCCGGACCGGCCAGGCGGGGTAACGAGAGCTCGTGATGCTTCTTTGCCCCCTCTCTTTCTCTCACATCTTCCCATCTTCTGCGACTGTCGCTGTCCGCAGGTGAAGGGCACCGTCACCCACCCAGCCATGGAGTTCCTGTGCATGTTGGAGGCTGGCGCGTTAAGTTCTTCACCCCTTCGGGCCCGAATTGACCGAGTGAAGTCGACGGCAGGGTTCTTGGGGGCAAAGTCTCTTCCAAACAATCCAAAGAAGCCTGGAAACCGGGAGCCAAACAGACCACTAAACCGGAGGCCAAACAGACCACCCCCGGTGCGACCTTCTAACCATCCCTTTGCTTAGCACGACCGCTCGTTTCCCTGCGCGTCACGGGATCTTCGGGCAGTGCCCGGAGAGCCACGGCCGCCGCCGCCCGCGCAGGACTTTGAATTCGAAAAGCTCGAGGAAGCGCCGCAGAAGTTTTTTCTCGATCTCAACCACCTCAGCCGGCGGCTCAGCTCCGGAGCCGAGTCACCGCCCACGGCCCACGTGCGCTGCCTTCCGAGGCCACGGAGCCGAGAGCTTCCGGCGGCTCTTCGGACCGCTCTGCCGGGCGCTGCCGAAGCTCCCGGAGCCGCTCCGAGAGCTCGAGCTCGACCTCCACGGCCACCGCGACGCCTTCGGCCCCGGCCCCGGCGCGTTTCGGAGCACGGGCAGAGCTCCCCGCGTCTTTTGTGCAGTCAAGCACTCTCTTCAACACTTGTTGACAGTTCAACTGGAAGAGCCCTCGAAACACGAGAGCCACAAAGACTGCAGCCCGAGGCACGGAGGGTGCCGGTGCCCTCGCCAGTGCCATCGGCGTGCTGGAGAATCTTCAGAAGCTCAGTGTGAACCTGAAGAACAACAAGATCTGCCTCGGGCCGAGATTGTGCTTCTGCAAGGCTTTTCAGGCATTTTCCGGAACAGTTTGTCGCTTGGCTATTCAGTCCGACAGGCCTTCGTGACATGACACAGAGCCTCCTCTGGAATCGATATCGTTCCACATCGTCGTCTTTACTCCAAATACTTTCCGAAACAACAGCTTGCTGGGCATTACATTCAGGGGTGTCCGGATTCCCAAGACGCCCATAAAACGTGATGTCAAGTTAGATGCCTTCCTGCAGTGTTTCTGCGACAGTCTTCTAGGAAGGTCCTGCTTCGGTGGTCGCCGCCAGAAAAGTGTTTACCGGCTTCACCAGGCACGCATTCCTCATCTACAGAGCTCTCGTCCCGACGGAGTACCATCACGACACAGTTGATGCAATCCCCACTCCAGCGATCCGCAGAGCACTGTTCTGTTTGTCGGCCCAAGGCCCGCCGTGGAGCCTCCTCCCATGCACCGATCTGCGCCGAGGCGATGCCGGGGCGAAGGCCCTGGCCACGGCAGTCTCCAGCCTGAAGGAGCTACAAGATGTCTCCCTGAACCTGGAGATGTGTGACATGGGCCCGGGTCTCGGAAGCCCTCGGAGTGGAGGCTGCAGGGGAGGCTTGTGGAAGAGTTGGAACAGAGCATGCCTAGCAGGACCAGAATGAGAACAAGACACTCTGTCCGTTCATGCTTTGGAGACAGTTTGAAGCCTGCTTCAACCCTTGCAAAATGGTATTGACAACAACCACTCAACCAAGAGCCAGACAAGTGCACGGCGGATGAGAGCATGTGACTAGGTTGGCACCGTATGGGTTTGTGCAGTCAAGCACTCTCTTCAACACTTGTTGACAGTTCAACTGGAAGAGCCCTCGAAACACGAGAGCCACAAAGACTGCAGCCCGAGGCACGGAGGGTGCCGGTGCCCTCGCCAGTGCCATCGGCGTGCTGGAGAATCTTCAGAAGCTCAGTGTGAACCTGAAGAACAACAAGATCTGCCTCGGGCCGAGATTGCGCTTCTGCAAGGCTTTTCAGGCATTTTCCGGAACAGTTTGTCGCTTGGCTATTCAGTCCGACAGGCCTTCGTGACATGACACAGAGCCTCCTCTGGAATCGATATCGTTCCACATCGTCTTCTTTGCTCCAAATACTTTCCGACACAACAGCTTGCTGGGCATTACATTCAGGGGTGTCCGGATTCCCAAGACGCCCATAAAACGTGATGTCAAGTTAGATGCCTTCCTGCAGTGTTTCTGCGACAGTCTTCTAGGAAGGTCCTGCTTCGGTGGTCGCCGCCAGAAAAGTGTTTACCGGCTTCACCAGGCACGCATTCCTCATCTACAGAGCTCTCGTCCCGTCGGAGTACCATCACGACACAGTTGATGCAATCCCCACTCCAGCGATCCGCAGAGCACTGTTCTGTTTGTCGGCCCAAGGCCCGCCGTGGAGCCTCCTCCCATGCACCGATCTGCGCCGAGGCGATGCCGGGGCGAAGGCCCTGGCCACGGCAGTCTCCAGCCTGAAGGAGCTACAAGATGTCTCCCTGAACCTGGAGATGTGTGACATGGGCCCGCGGGTCTCGGAAGCCCTCGGAGTGGAGGCTTGCTGGAACAGCGCATTCCACCTGTACCCAAAATGACGAACAGACGCTCCGTTTGTGCAGAGCAGACTTTTGAGCCGCAGTGGCAGCCACTACTGTAATTAGCAGAGCCTGTGTAAGACCCTCGTCCACACATTCTGTGCTTCGAATCTTCTTGCCCGACTGCGCACGTATCTAAAGTTCTGCATGCCCGAGCATGTGTAATTGATTGTGTCAGTTTTTTCAGAGGGAAGCACGAGCTGTCCCCAAGGCGAGGAGGGCTTGCTCTCCTTGCTGGAGGCGGGCCACAACAGCTTGTGTGCAAGTTCTCGGCCTCCCAAGCCCCTGCTTCCGGTCGAGTGTCGATGCCTCTGGGATTCTTTTGTTTTCTTGATCCTGATGCTCTCGGGAGTCCCGCAGGCCCTCCGAGCGACCAGCCCAGCGTCGACCCAGCTCGACCTCGGCGATTTGGCTGAGAACGACATCGGAAAGGGCGCCTTCGCGCTGGCCAGGGCCCTCCGTTCCGGGGAGGCGGGGCCTTCCGAGGCGCTGCAGAAGAGAGATCCCGACATTGTTTCTTCTGTGCCACACTTCTTCTCTCTCTTCTGCGTCCCTGTTTGCAATCAGGTGAAGGGCCGGGTCACTCATCCGGTGGTGGAGTTCTTGGCCGAGTTGGAGGCTCGCGCTATTTCTTCGAAGTGTGGTAAGTTCTTCATTTTCCCGGGGTCCGCCGAAAGTAGTGCTGAGGGTTGTTGCCCGTCGGCCATGCCTCTGCCAGGGATCTCAGCGAGGAGCCTTGGGGCAAAGTATCTTCCAAAGAGCCGGAATTCCCAACCCTGGAAATCGGAAGCCCTTCCAACCCGAGCCACCTTTGCTCGGCACGCCCGCTCGTTTCCCTGCGCGTCATGGGCTCTCTTCGGGCAGCGCCCGGGGGTGCGGGCAGCCACGGCCGCCGCCACCGTGCAGGACGAACAACTGAAAGAGCTCGAGGAAGCGCCGCAGAAGCTGAAGCTCGACCTCAGGGGCTACAGCCGGCGGCTCAGCTCCGGAGCCGAGGCACCGCCCATGGCCCTCTTCCGAGGCGAAGCCGAAGCCGAGAGGTTCCGGCGGCTCTTCGGACCGCTCTGCCGGGCGCTGCCGAAGCTCCCGGAGCCGCTGCGAGAGCTGCAGCTCGAGCTTTGGAGCCACGGCGACGCCTTCGGCCCCGGCCCCGGCGCCTTTCGGAGCGCGTTTCGCAGAGCTGTTTCCGCCTTCGGCAGGCGCTGCCGGGGCCCGGGCCCTGGCCGCGGGCCTCCGGCACCAAAAGGAGCTGCAGACGCTGACGTTGTTTCTGGGTAACAACTTTGTGGGCCGGGGGCCTCAGCTTTCGCTCCTCCGTCGTCCTTTTTGTTGTGTAGCTCTTGTTGGCGGGTCCGCAAGCCGACCCCAGCCATTACTCCGTTTCTGTGCTTACGAGCTTCTGCTTTCCACTATCAAATTGCACTCGAACGGACTCGACTCTCCGTGATTTGCAGCAGAGTCTTGGATTGCCGCGGCGGCTCCCGTGAGACGTCGTCCGAAAACCCTTCTGCCGAGATGCCCGTGCCCGTGCCCCTTTCGGGAGGGCCGCAATTTGCCTCGCGACTTTTGCAGCTGACGGGGGCGCGCCCCCGGGGCACCGAGGCCAGGAGGGCGCGAAGTCCTTGGCCTCCGCCCTCCGCGAGCTGACGCAGTTGAAGACGCTCGTGTTGAGCCTGAACAAGAACAACATCGGCCCGGGGCCTCGGAGGGAGTCGAAGCCACGTTGCCGCTTTACCCGGCGGGCCGATATCGGGAGATACCGTAGATCCCTTCTTGGAGTTTGATCTTCATCCAAGCCTTGGATTGTCTACACTCGCAGATTCTTGGCTGGCCCCTGTCTCCCGGCCGAGGCTCTGCCGGAGCCACCGCACTGGTGGAGAGTTTGCGGGAGCTGCGGCAGCTCACAAACCTCCTAGTTGATCTGCAAAACAACCGGCTCAGCCCGGGCCTCGGGCGAGATGAAGCGGCATCTTCCGCCTTGCCACAGAAAAACCCCTCCGGCCCAGGCAAGGAGGAGAAGAAGAAGCTCCGGGCCGCCTTGAACGCCCTCCCGGTGGCCAAGAAGATCATCCGCCTTTGATCCGAGGCCCGGCCGGGGCCGTGCGGTCGTGGCTTCTGAGAGAAAGCTCGGGGATCTTCGACTCTCCTGGCTGGGAGGCCTTGGCCGCGGCGCGCTGGCGGTGGGTGGCCTTTCTCCGGAGCGCTTCGATTCTGCTGTCTGCTGCCGAAAAAGCAGAGGTCGCTGCGCGCCGTGCTGGAGTCCGAGCATTCAAACTTGTCTCCCTAGCATCGCAGTCTTGATGCGGTGTCGGTCTTGGGTCTTCGCCGGTTTGGGACCCTTGAGCCATTCGGTGTCTTGCATCCGAAGCTGAAGAGACGCTCCGCCGAACCTGCCTTGCATTCTCATGGTCTCGTGCGGCTCAAGTGCTGTCACAAGACATCTAAGCCAGCCCTATAAGGCTCAGAAAGTCGATCATCTGAACGTCTGTGCCCTGCACGATCCAGTTGAGCCCAGGAGGAGCTTCTGTTAGACACCTATGTTATGTTCAAGAGGGACCCTCAAACACCGAGCAAGTCACTCACATGCGAATCCCCAAACTTCGTGCTGCTCGAACTCCCAACTGTTAGGCTTAGTGCTTGATGCGATGCCTAGTTTCGATCGACTTCTCCAGGAGGGCGAGGTCGACTTGGCATGGGAGCTCCTCTCTTGGAAGGGTGAGCTTGCGCTTGGGGCCGAGATTCCGGATCGTTACCACCACCGGGGCTTGTGCTGGGACCCGGTCGCCAAGAATACGGCTCAGAGCAAGGCAGGACGGGCTGGACATGAATCCAGACACCTTCGGCTTCTCAGGCGGCTACGTGGACAGCTCTTTCAGTTGCGGGCCCAGCCTCACTGCCCACAACTTCGGAATAGAGCATCGCAGTCGGTCGCCAAGCTGCGGGAGTTCAACCCAGGGCTCCCTTACATTGACTTGAGTCACTACAACGAGAATGCGGAGTGGATTGAGGAGCTCTACACTAACCAAGCCGCCCGGGAGAAGCGCGACCGCATCAACACCTGGAGACAGGACATGGCGGCCTCGCATAAGAGCACGGTGTCTTGGATTCGTAGGGCGGCCGCGACGGCCCTTGCTTTGGAGCAGGCCCCGCCCGAGGTTCAGCGATCCACTTCTGCAGTGCATCCGGCTCGGCTTCTGCAACAGCATAGCCACATTTGGACTACCAAGTGGGCGGCCCCTGAGAGGCCCCTCGATACTGTTGCTTTAGACAGGCTCCTGGCGTCGCTCCCTCCTCGGCCGGAGCACGATGGCTCTCTCTCCTTCACTCCTGAAATTCTGATTGCAGCTACCAGGCGCATGCGAGGCAAGTCCCCCGGGCCGGATCAGTGGACACCGGAACTTCTGCTCCGGCTTCCGGCGAAGTGGTGGGCTGCTTTGGCCAACCTTTGGCAACACATCTGGCAACACGGTCAGGTTCCTCAGACTTGGCGCCGCTCCATTGTGGTGCTCTTGGAGAAGCCCAACAACGAGTGTAGACCGATCTCCTTGTGCAGTGTGCTTTGGAGGCTGGGGGCCCGCGCCATCAACAAACAGCTTCGAGGATGGATCTCTGATTGGCTGGGTCATGAAGCCCTTGGAGCCGCCCCCGGCAGGGGCACCCAGGACGCACACGCCAGAATCTTGATTGCCAGGGCTGCGGGCCACCGGCACTATGTGAAGCAGGACATCTCGGCTTTCTTTGATTCGCTACAGGTCCCGGCACTTTGCATGTTGCTTCAAAGACTTGGCGCTCCCTCTCAGTTGCAAAGATTGATCTCTGCCTTTTACCAGCACTCTCTTCGTTTGTTCAAGCATGATCGCTACTTTGCTGCATCTTGGGTGAAAGCAGGGAAAGGCATCATGCAGGGCTGCCCGCTAAGCCCGACATTGGCACTAATGGTGAGCCACTTCTGGGCGAAAGCCTGTCTTTCAGATGGATGCCGTGGCCTGATGTTCATCGACGACAGGGTCTTCTGGCCTAGTGCTCAGGGCCCTCGCATTGCCACGGAACTGCAGCTCGCTCTTCAGAAAAGCATGCATTTTGATTCGGTCTGGGGCTTCACTTGCAAGCCGAGTAAGTGTGCCATGGTCCAGCCTGATGGATCGCGCGTCCTGGACCAGCTGGCCGCCGTCTTTCAATATGGTCGAGAGACTTGCTTGGAGTTCTTGGGCCTCACCTTTTCAATGCAGGATTCCACGGTGTCGTTGCTCAAGTTCAAGTTTCGGCTTCTGCAGTTGCGGCTTCGCTACCTGAGAGCAATGAGGTTGCCCATGCGGGCTGCCTTTCTGGTTCTGCAGGCCTTGATCTACTCGACGATGACGTGGGCTGCCGGTGTGGCCCTCCCTGAGGAGGGCCAACTTCGAGACCTGAAGCTTGATATCAGGGTCACTCTGCAGGCTTTCTTTACCAATGAGGCGCCCTCTACGTTGATTCACGCGGCCCACGGCTTCCACTGGGACCCTTTCTGGCTGGTGGCCTGGCGATCTTTGCAGACCGCTCTTCGGATGTGTAACAGGCCAGGCCTCTGGAGGGATACTGCTGGTTTGGATGAGGCGACGGCCCCATGGTACATCGCGGTGCCAAAAGCCGTCCACACGCTTAGCGACTTAGACTGGCACTTGTCACCGGATGGCAAGCAGATCTGGCGACGTGATGATCAAGGCCGTACCCGGCATTTCTGGATAGGTTGTGAGTCCCCTCGGATTCTTCAGGCATGGCTTCGTGAAGAATTCCAGCACCGGCAAGTGCACGCGTGTGGTCGGGTCAAGCGCAACTACCACCGCACGGAGGAGGATCTCGCTACTGGTTTAGTGCTCCCTGCCCCGGGTGCTCAGGTGCGATACGCTTTTCGAGGCCACGCTGCCCTTGCCCACCACGATTCTCTGGATGTGAGGCGGGCTGCTGTCGGCACCGGGGCGACTGCATGGTATCATCGATGCCGCCTGCGACTAGCCAAGGATGCTGTGATCACCTGCATGTGTGGCAAGCTTACTCCGAGCCGGCCACATGTTCTCTGGACTTGTGAGGCCACTCATCTTGCTCGTGCAGGACTCTCGCCGCCAGCTGATCGAGTGCAAGAGCGGCTTTTCGGCTACCGCATTCTTGAGTTCCCGGCGAGCCCCCCGGCATTTGACATGGACGACTTCTATGAGGAGATCGGCGACTACGTGACCGCGGGCCTTCGGGATCAGAGTTCGCTCTGGCTCGCGACTGACGGTAGCTCGAAGGACGATGTCGGTGCTGCTGCCATCGTGGGCTCCGCCTTTGAGCTGGCCACTGGCGACTCGCTCGAGGATCAATGCGCCTTTCGCTATGAGCTCATGGCATTGCTTTGGCTCCTGCGGGGCCTCTGGAGGCATTGCGCTGCCTGCTCTGGCACTCTCCATGTTCTGTGTGATTGCCAAGCTGCGATCGCGGTGCTGGACCGACCCGCGGGCTCGGACTACGAGGTGATGGCGGCTGAGGCTGCCTCTCTTCTGCAGCGTCTACGAGGTCGGGGCCTTGAGTTTCGACTCCACTGGATCCCTTCGCACGACAAAAAGCCGCAGTGGGTCCCACCTGATGGAATCCAGGGCCCTCGTGCCCGTGCACTGAATGCCAAGGCGGATGCTGCGGCGAATGCTTGTCGCAACCGCCGGAGCAATGGATCGGCTCGTGTCGCTTGGCACCGGGCTTTGCGTCAGGCTACGGACTGGGAAACTTCGACCATCCTGGCGGTGGCCAAGGTCTCTGCGATGCTCTCGGAGCACATCCAATCTGAACATGGCCTGAGTGCTGATGGCGAACCCAGAGAGGCGGCTGCTGCTGGAGGTTGAGGTTCTCTTCTGAGGCTCCGGCCTGCTGCTGCCGCTTCTCCTCTGCTCTTCTGAGCTCCTTCAGCTTCTTCCACTGAGTGTCGCTCTGTGCAAACTTCTTTCCAGCTGCTTCGCTGAACCTGTTTCTTTGTCTCGCAGTCTCTACTGCTTGATTGACTTGTATAGATTTTGCGGCTTCCCCTTCGCTTGGCATGTTCAGGCCTCCGAAGGGATCGCCACAACTCGTCACACGGTGACGTTAGACGACCCTCGTGCGGGACCTTTAGGCCCGCAGGAGTTGTACCGTTTTGTTTGCTTGATGCGATGTCCAAACGAATTGAATCAAAGAGCTGGTGCAGAAATCTGGAAGTCAAATCGTGACATGCTGTACCAATCCCCAACCCAAAGGCTATCATCGGGGGTGCCCTGGACATTGCATTGTTCTTCCCAGCATATGGGCTGCGGAGCGAGCAGCCAGAGCAAGTATGCCGGGCACTGTGGGGGCCAAACGGGTTGAGCATCTGACAGGTCCCTGGAAGTGCTGAACACTCATGTCTGATTCTTGCCTAGGGCCTAAGATCGGGAAGTTGGTGTTGACTTTTCTGAGCGCACAACCCCCCTATTTTCTAGCACTTCTTGATCCCTGCTCCGACATCTGAAGCTTACTTCGTTGGGATGGCAATCGGTAAGAAATGTAAGAATCACCGGCTTAATGCAGAAAGCTTGGGTTGCAATGGATTCATTGCTAGGCTGTTGACGCATACAGCTTCTTTTGGGTTTTATCGAGGCGGGACTTTCGGGTTCAGGGTGTGGGGGGCTGAGGGCATTGGGGAGTTTCAGTGGAGTTTCGCAACCGTGCGCACGTGTGCTGCAGACAAAATCGTTTTCCGCCCAAAAGTGGCGATTCAGATCACCTTTTCTGGTGATCCCGCTTCTCTCTGCCAGTTCCCTGCCGCGCCCCTTGGCTTATGTTGTTTTTGATTGAATGAGGTTTTTTGGAACACTTGGAAGCTATTGGAAGCTCTCAAGTGTGCACTGCTCAACCAGAACATTCCAGGTGTCGGCATGTCTGTCAGCGAGTTCGGAACAAGGAATTTTACAGTTTTTAAACACGCCAAGTTCCGAACTGTCGTTTAAGTTGGGCCGCGTTCCTGCACCCGTAGCACCAGTCGTGCTGTATCATCCCCACATGCAGAGAGGCCCTGAACCCAAAATGTCACAAGCCACTCCACTCGCTCTCTGTTCTCCAGCACTCGCCGACCTAAGCCGCCAGTCCCATAAAGACCCAGAGAATCCGTGAGCACCTAAATCCGCAAGAGTTCTCGTGCACCCTACCGGTCCCGGCAAGACACAACAACCGATGTCTCCCAGGCCATGAGTGCCGCAGAAGTTGCCGTGCTTGAGGGGAGCGAGCCGATCCTTCGTCTGCATTTAGGGCGTCTAGTGCCGGTCTTCAATCCCAAGTCAAAGGCTTTTCATCGAATACCTCATCGAACATTTTGATTAAGCAAAATTTATTCGAGCTGTTGTTAAAATAGTGGCAGTAACATGCAGTAACCCTAAGCACTGGCGATAGCTTTTCTGCCGCGGTCCAAGAGACTCTGGGGCACAGTGATAGAGATGTTCCGTTGGGCAACGCTCAGCTCGAGACCTCGAGTAGCGTACGGAAGTCGTACCAGTCTAGTTGAAGCTTCCAGCAGGACCCGCACTGCGAATTGAGCAAAGGTTGGGGATCAAACTGCCGAAGTAGTATAAGGGTTTACACAGTGGTGTCTAGGCCAATGTAGCGTTTGTGTTTGAGTTTCCGAGGCATAACTGACAAGGGCATAGCTCGATCTAACATCTAGAACACCTGTGCGCATGCCCTCTGTTGCGATGAGCCCAAAGCCCTGCAACCGAAGCCGCAGAACCCTCTAAGGTCCATGGCAAGGGTCGCCAGTCCCACCTCCGTGGCCGGGGCGGCCTGCGCCGGTGACAAGGTGGGCTTCTGATTTGTTTGGCACATGTACGAGTTTGGGAAACTCCGGTATTTCCGTTTTTGTTTTGGCTGGTTAGGCATAGTAGGGCTGTTGCTTTGAAGAGCTTCGGACAGACAGAGACCAGACTTGACGAGGGTTCAATGCCTTATGTGGCTTCGACTTGAAGGGATGTGGCAATCCAGGCTTAGACAGGACCAAACCTTGGCTTTGATGTCCTTTGCGAGACTGTTAGGACCGGATGGGTTAGTTGTTCAGATGTAGTTTTCGGAAAGGTCAAAAGGGTGCAGATCTCTTAGAGCTCTTCGGGTGTTCATGTTCTCACATTTGTTGAAGGCGTTCTCGGCGATTTGCATTGAGAAGTTGAGTCAGGAAGGCTTGAACAGACGTAGTTCCGGTCAGCGCTAATATGGTGTCAGATGCCGACAGCCCACGAAGTAAGTTTTTACCATGCAGGTCGCGCAAGGCGCTGTGACAACCACACGGCGCACGATGAAGATCGCAGGTGGGCTGCACGCAGAGCACCGGAGACAGAAAGGACGTGATTCTTCTGTGGGTAGGATGAATAGAAAATGGACCGGATAAGCCTGGAACTCTGCGACCCTTAAACGCCCTAGACGGTATACCGTTAACCCCAATTCCAACCAGGTAGTGCATTCCAGCAATTGGTAACTTAGTATGCTTCCCGTTCAGACCCTCAGTTTGTGGGCTCGAGCAATCCCTGTCCGAGCCCTTTATGCGGACTACACAAGACAAAGAAAGGGGAGAAGCGCCGACAGCCAAAGAAGCAGATGTTACATGCAGGAATGCTGCCCGAAACCCAAGTCCAGTGAACTCCTAACGAGAGCATTCCACCTGTCGTACATGGTCGTACTGAGAAGAGGCAACATAGCATTATTCCATCCCGTAGGGTTCCTTCTTACAGTATTCTGTAGTAACCCATCATCCCAAAAAACTGTTCTAAACCTTATGGCCCCTAACATTAATGTCGCATTAACAAGTAGTTGTAACTCTACTACAATGTACATTCTATTCATTAAGGCCCCTGAAGTAACTTTCTGTGCTTTGTCAGGTCTGGCCCATATCTAAAACGCCAAACCCCAAACCCTGATCCCCAAACCCCAAACCCTAAACTCCAACCCTAAACACGACATTGATTTGCTGTGCCTTTGTCAGGTCTTGCCCTCTTCGCTGGTCACAGACGGCGGGGCTTTAGGGTTTGAGCAGCCCTTCACCAAGATTAAGGGATTTAGGGGTTAGGGTTCAGGATTTTCAGGATTCAGGCTTTAAGGTGCAGAAGTGGACTCCTACAAGGCGAGCACGGGGAGACTCTGAGCTCATGAGCCATCAAAAAGCTTGAACGGCCTAAAGCGAGGATGTTGAATCGTTACTATTACTATGAGGCATATCAGACCCTTAGAACCAAACCACACACCTGTAGTACCCTTATACCCTTCTGGTAGGAACCCCCCTGGCAGATGATCGACAATCTCACGGCGAGCATCGTGTGCATCAAAATCCTGCAGCGGGTGGTGCCTCACAAGCAGGACGACCGAACTCCTAAGTCCTAACCCCAAGCCCTAAGCTGTGAAACCCTAGAGCCTTAAACGCCTGTTAAGGCGCTACTAAACCCTCCCAAGTCGGTGAGCGCAGCAGTGAATACAGCGAATTCAGCTTTCTTCTCCCTGCCCAACCCAGATCCCGATGGTCTAAAAGGGGTTCTTGGAATGGAATCTCCTCCGAACGCAACGGCGCAAGGCACTTCGACAACGATTGTTGTTGTTTGCTGCACCCTCAAACCCGAAACTCATCTGCAGGAGATCGTATCAGATTCCACACGAGCTCTGAGCCCTTCATATCCTGAAACTGACCCTGAAACGTGATACAGGATGTCGAGACACCGAGAGGACTGGCGCCACAGCTGCGGAGGCACAGAGGGCAGGGCAGGGTTGACCATGGGAACACATCTTCTCGAATCTGCCCTAAACCCTAAACCCTATAACGCATGGTTTAGGGTTTAACCTTCGGCCCCTTCGCCCCACGATGTTGCCCCTGTAGCTTGGCACTTCTGCGAGCCATGTGGCTTCTAGGCTTTGCGAGGGAAGTGAATTCGGGTGCAGAAGTCCTGAGGGTTCCTCAAATCTAGCTGCATGTTTTGCATACCCGCCTTGCAGGGAACCCTTTTAGTACCCCGTTGAAGAAACCCTAAGAGCTGACGACAAGGCGTCGTCGCGGTGGCTGCAAACGCCGGAGGCGCCTGGAGTCCGCCACTCGCCTCCGCTTTTTGCTTCTGGCTCTTGGGGTTTTCTTGAAAGGGGTCTTTCAAGGGTTCTTATAAGGGTTACTGTTAAGGGTTCAATGATATATAGGGATCTTAGTGACAATAAGCTTCGTGAGCGGGTTCTCTTGAGGGTGCTTGAAAGAGTTGCGATAAAGGGGAGAGTGTGCTGTATCGATATAGGGACTCTGAGGGGCATCTCATTGTTTGCATCCCGCCGGAAACGGCCGCCCTTGCAAACCTCATGGTTCCTTGGATGCATTGAAGCCTGCAGGAGCGGGTGATGGCACGAAGGAGTCCAAGGGATTCGGCCTGTAATGCATGCCAAACCCTGAACCCTAAACCGCAGGTCGTTGCGGGCTTCACTCTTGGATCAGATCCCGGGCCAGCATCCGATAGCTTTACGTCTTGCTCAGCTGAGTCTGAGGTGAGTAGAACCTCATACAGCCCAACGCTGAAATTTGCGCCCCTGGAGCGACCGCGGGGGCCCCTCCTCAGGGGATGCAGGCGCCGCAGCCGTGGCTGAGAGCCTGCGAAGCTTCCGGCAGAATTGGGGGCACTCTGCGACCCAACGGGAGCCATGCCCGGGCCTCGGGAGTGTCCGAAAGGATTCTCTGTTTAAGGACGCAGTAGCTGCGGTGGTGCTATCTTAGAGTGGATCGTCCCCTCAAACTCGCAATTTGCGCTGGGGCAAATCAGCTATCCCTACCTGGTGGGTATTCTGAGCCATCGGGCAACCTCAGAGTCATATTTCATTACTTTAGCTGCTCTCCTCTCTAGCCGCGCTCTTCCCGACGTCGCATCTTGGGCCCTTCCCACACAAACCTCGGCCCAGGCTTGGAAGAGAAGGAGAAGCTCCGGGCCGCCTTCGATGCGCTGCCGGTAGGCGCGAAGGAGCTCCTCCTTTTGGTGATCCGAGGCCCGGGTGCTGCTGCTCTGAATTCCTTTTCATTCAAAGAAGGGCGTCGATGTGGCGAAGTGGAGGCCCCCCAGTGATCCCACCTGTGCGGCTTCTGATTCTGAAGGAAGTCCGTCCGTCAGGGCTCCTCGTGATCCCATCCATGCGAGCTTAGAGTCATGCGAAAGATGCCCAAGAAGCCTCGTAGAGAGGTGCGGTACCGCTGTACACACAGAATCTCCCAACTTGGCGCTCCCCTGCTCCAGCCGAGCTCTTCCCGACTTCTTCGGTGCGCCGCTGGCGGGTGGGCGCGTTGGCCTTTGATCCGAGGTCCGGCCCGGAGTGGACGGTGTATGACGCTCTTTTGGGGGAGAGAGCTCGGGGCTTCCACTCCTGGCTAAACAGGCCCACGGGGTTTTCTGGTGGCCTTTTCCTGAGTGCTTCTGGGGGCTTGCCGACAAAGCAGAGGTCGCTGCGCGCCGTGCTGGAGTCCGAACATCAGCACTTGTCTGGAGTGTAGATCTCACCTTCTTCGAGCGCAGGCTCGCGCGTTCAAAAAGGGGCCACTGCTGTAGCATATATGCAATTGAAGGTTTTGGTGTTTCTCTTGCGTCCGTTGTGGTTTCGGACCTCGAGGACTGCGCTGATAATATGTTGTATTTTGCATACTTCATGTGATTTTCTGTTGCATTGTGCTGCGCTACTGTCTACCAAGGCAACGGTGAGAAGTTCCCAGAGCGGCTCCTCGAGGCGGCGGCCGGCAGCTGCAGCGGGCGCGATCCCATCGCGTAAGCAAAAAGGGCCTGCACCTTTCTCTTTCGGGCTGGGTGGGGCAGGAATGCCAATTTTGGGGCGATTTTCGGCTTACAAGCCACGTTGGAACCTGTGGGTGCGGCAACATGAGGTGCATAGTTGAAGAGGTTAGTTGTGTGAGGCTTGCGGGGCTCTGTCAGTATCTTTGGTTGGCAATTGAAGATGTTCAGGATCTGCGAGTCGGATATTTGGGCTCCTCCACCGAAGCATCGCTGTGGTCCGATGCATTCGCATGCTTCGCATGTCCGTCAAGTTTGACTCCGGCCACTGTCCCCTCTCTCCTCCTCGAAGATATTCTGATGTCCGGCTTCAACACAAGCCCAAGCCTTCGCCTGCCCTCAATGGCTCCCTGAAGCGGAAGCTTTGCCTTCGCTCGCTGTTTTGGCTCCGTCCAGGAAGTGAGACCTGCCCAAGGGACCCCATTTGAGCATGTTTTTCCGGCGTTCTCAACGAGCTTTCATCGGTGCTGGATGGCCTACATGTAGGAAGATACCAAAAGTGCTAGCACTTAGACGGATGACTTCGTCCCAGGGTTGCCTGCTCAAGCACTTACGCTCAGCGGGGGGAATCTACTCACAAGCATCTCAGTTGGTTGAGGGCTTTAGCTGCATACTTTATGATTGTGAATTGGCCGGGCAAAGGTCCCACTTTGAAAGCTCACAGAGGCAAAGATCCTCTGCAGCTTGAGGGCGATGAAGCTCCTTTTCATCGCTCTGATGGAGGTGGTGGAGTGCCTCCTATTCCCAGACATCACAGGCCGAGGGTTTGTCGTTCTCCTGCAAAGTGCCTCCCGGCAAAAGCACAATTGACAAACATCCTTCCGTTGGTTTGCAGCAGGATGGAACAACTTCACACTGGTCGAAGAGCCCTTCCTTCCAACGGTCAAAGAGCTAGACGACATGGAGGAACCCGAGACCACCGCGAGGCTCCGGTTGGGTTGCGGATGGTTGCAAGACAGGTGGGTCGCCCTGAGCGTGGAGAGCGCATGCGCATCTGGGGTTCATGTCCGGGGTTTGGAGGCCCGAGGTTGGAGCTTAAGTTCATGGTATTTGCCAGCTCGGGGATTGGCAGCGAGAAGAGTAGCAGCTGAGAAATGCTGAAGTGGTTCACTTTGACAGGATGCAAGAACGAACCGAACCCGAAGCCAGCTTGTCACCTTCGGACGGATATTTTGAATCACATGCGCTCAGGTGGCATGTTTGGACGCTGATTATGCTTGGCATCGCCTTCCTTGTGGCCGTCACTGGCACGTTGATCCTGAAATGCGCTGAACGTGGGACACAGACAGATCCTGCCAGACCAGGCTGGGCTCGGGTTTGGACGGACCGGTTCCTTTGAGTAGGTTTCCGACTAAAGGCTACGTCATGTGCAGTCTTTAGATATAGACTAGCGGCGACTAGTTTCGGTTGTCAGCAATGTCGTGGTTCGATCCGTTCCCAGGTGTATGTAGTCAGTCCGCTCAAGGGAGCCACGTGTTGCTTACGAATTCTCGGGTGCAGCACCGAAGTCCCTTGGCAGTCGGGGCGCATGTCCTTGGTCGTTTTCTAGAAGAGAGAGGGAGAGTGCACCGCGACAAGATATTCTGTGACTCCGGCCACGCCGTGGCGTTGAAAGCTTTGTAATGCGGCAGTCTTCTTGTCGTACTGGTTTGCATCGGATGGAAAACTGGGAGGCAACAGAAATTACCATTGAAGCTTAGGAAGCCCCTCAAGCTACGTCAGGCCATGCAACTCGTAGCTGTCATTGCATCAACCTGGCACCTAGCAATGAACGTTTGAGACTTGAGGCTTCAGACTGATTTGGCAAAGCGGCATGACGAAACTCACGTGTGGCTCACGGCCCCAGTGTCCACCAAAAGGCCCCTAGCTCTATGAGTGGCTTCTGAGAGCAGATCGCACCTTGTCCCCTCTCAAGGCGGCGATTATGCTACCGTGAAGGTGGCCTCGCGCATGGTCTCCCGTGCAGAGGAACAGGACAATACAATTGAGCGATCCACCGTGGCCGTGTCCTTCAAGCCTCGCACTCTCAAGGTGGGGCTCTGCGTTGTTTAGTGCTTGCAGAGGGGATTGCGGCCACCACCTCTGACGATGGTTGTGCATGGGTTCTTGCATTTAGGGTCCTCTGTGTCCGTTAGCTCAGCAGCATCAGCGTGCATCTTTGGAACTTGCCCCTCTCGAGATCGCTCTCCCGCTCTTCACCCGCTGGGCAGGCTTTTGCCGCGCATGGATGCTAATTCTTGTGGGACCAATATCGTTGTGCTTTCATGGGTGACCTTGCGGGCCGGCAACTGCCATTCGAGCTCCTGGGTCTAGGCATGCTTTCGCCTGATATAGTGAAAAAGATCGCAGGAAGATGAGCGAAACAGCACGAAGCTTGCGAGTTGTAGCATGTTGTAGCACGGTCACCCACTTGTGTTGGACCTCGTCCGTACACATCGGAGCGGGAAAAAGGTTAGGGCGGATGGCGGATGTCCCCAATGCGTCCTGTGGGGCTGCCTGAAACTATGTTCCTCGGAATTCCTCACCGTTTGAGTTCCTGCCTCGCAGCTGCGAGCTCGGGAGCTCTAGGCCTGCTCTATGCTCGGCTTTTCTCAACTCTTGGCCTCATTGCCCATTACGTACCCCTAGTAACCTCCTGACCTTAGAGGGGGGAAGCGGAGGTTCACGCATCAATGACAGAGGCAAGCCTTGCTCTGGCTTGAATGCTCGAATGTCTTCTGCCAGAAGAGTGAGTGAGGTTGGGGATTGTTGCGTGTTGGAGAGAAGCTCTCACGAAGACAGCTGTTCTAGTTGAGACGCAGCTAGGCGTGTTGGTGAGGCACGCTGTTTTCAAGCAAAGATGATTCCTCTTCGCTACCTCTGCGAGACTCACGGACCCATGCCAGCGCAAGCTTCAAAAAATGAAGTTTGAAGGGGCACGGAGCCGGGACAGCAAGCCCGTCTCCATTGGCCCTCTTACGTTGCCTGCCAGGTGCTCCTTGCGATTTCTCTGACGATCACTTTCTCTAGCTGCTTCGCCGCTTTGGCCTGGAGCAGCCGCACCGGGAGGCCCCTGCCTGCCAGGACGTCGTTGCAAGTTGTGTTTTCGATGTGCATCGAACCTGACCCGTCTCACGCAGTAACCTTCGTGATGACCGACTGCAGAGCATCCACCACTCTCTGAAGCCCGATCTGTAGACCTCCACTTGCTGGACAGTCTTCGGCACCAAGCTCCCATGAAGACTTCAACCCGCTCAGCGACCTGGGAGGTTGTCGAAAGACTATGGCGCCGACTGGGAGGCCATGTCGAGTCTTTGAGTTTCCTTCCTCTTTGTTGGTTTTCTGGCTGCTTAGGCTTAAATTGCTTCAGAGAGCATTCGGTCGCTTCGAGCTCGATATTTGCGAGGCAGTTCGAATTCAGCTTTCGTTGTGGAGTCGGAACCCCGGGATTGAAATCGTGGTCGGCCAGGGTTCACGGCCGCACGGAAACTCTTCGGAGGGGGCCGTTCAGCGATGAACCCCCAAACAAGACTCAAGACAAGACATGGAGACATGGAGACTTCAGAGGCTCGCGCGATCGACACGCAACCTTTAACTTGAAACCCTGAGAGGGATGTATTCTCCTGGTCAGTCGTCCATGTGGAGGCATGCTACATGTTCTCAACGCTCCTGGTTGAATGGATAATGCAGTCTTGGTTTTTGGCGATTTGTAGGCCCGTGGAGGCCTTGAGTGGATTCAGGTTGGATGCTCTGGAGTCGAATGCAGGCTAGGTCGCAGCAAACTTGAGCACATCTTTCTTGTCCGCTTTGATTTGAGTCTCAGCCCGTGGTTGTCAGGTGTATGCTGGCCTCCTCGCGAGCAGTGGCCTGGCACTGGTGGGCACCCGAATATCGAAGAGCCTTTCGTTGGGAAATCTCGTTCCCAGAGCAGTAAGTAAGGCACAGCTGTTATCGAAAGGGACAAAGGTTTGAGACAGGCTGGATTGTTCAGGCTGCAGGCAAAAGCATGGGCTCTGGCAAACCTTGAGTTTTGCCCGCATGGACCATGACCGCAAGTCTCAACACGCCTTACCTGGATGCTTGCGTCAAGCCGGAGCTCCCTGCACAGACCTGTGTTAAAGAGAGGTGGAAACATCGCAAGAAGGGACGTTTGCACTTCGCTGATTTCTTTGATGTGCAGGTCTTGCAGGCTCTGATCATGGCACGGCGCCTTCCTCCCGGCGAGAAGTTCGGAATTACTGCTTTCGCCCAGGCTCGCTCGGTCGCGCAGCTGTTCGCAGGGTTGCGAGGAAAATGTGGGACGGCACCCTTCGCACTAGTTCTCATTATGCAAGGGTCCGGGAGCCACGACTTCCGGATTGCAAGAGTTGAAAATTTGGAGCTCAGCGGTCTACAGTGATGTCATGATGTAGGTAAGAGTTCTATGCATTTTGTTTTACCTCTTTGTTGTTCGTGTCCTGCAAACATACAAGTGCCAGGAGGTTTGGGATTCGTTGCCATCATGTCTCTCGCCAGCTTCAGATACACATCGTTCCATCAGACAGCCTTCCGCCCGACCACCACAAGCTGCAAGAAAACTGCCCAACCCGAGACTGAATCCAAGCTTGGGCCCTGGAAGCTTTGCCTACAATCCCCAAATCCGGAGGCTTGGATTTTAAGACCTCCGTAGCCCCGAACCCCCGAATCGCAGGCCTGCATCACCGGCATGGCCCCTGTCCTTTCGGACCAATACGATACCATGAAGGATCGGAGTGTCGTTGCTGAAAGGCTTCGGCTTTGCGAAGTTAGAGAGTTCACTTCGGCAGGATGTTGTGGCCAGAGTGTGATAAAGCAAGTCACTAATGGCCCGAAATCATTAGTTGCAGGATTTCGATGTGCAGGTGCCGTGACCAGGGTGGGATTACCATCTCTATGGGATGCTGAGCTTCTATGAAGACGAGCGAACAACTTAGGAGACCACCAGGGCGAGCTAAACGGAAGGGCAGGCTTCAAGTTTCTCTGGGCTGCCGCATCGACAAGTCTGCGAAAGTGAGGTGTGCCTGAGGCCTTGGAACCCCAAGCAACATTGCAACGAGCAGTGGCCATTGTACTTCTGCTGGTGTTTTATCCGTGGAGTCGCAGATCCTCACTTCCCAGTCGAACTGTCAGTGTGGGGGATGCCGGGGTTGGGGAGTGTGGCGTCGCATCGGTCTCCTGCGCACAGGACGTCATGTTCGCCTTTCTCTGCATGGAATCCGAGCATGTGGAGATTCAAGCCATGGGCGTTTTCTCCCTGCTGTGGCTGGTGGGCGTCCACGTGGTCTGCTTCGCCTACGAGGACGCGATGCAAACAGTTACTGTAACGACCCGGAAGAACAGCAATCGGACCCCTCATGTCAGGGCGAACTTTAATCAGAGTTGAAGACCTTCTCACCCGACTCACAGTCCACCCTCAGAAGCACCGGCAGGACACTACAGCGGAGCTTCTGACCTCGCACCTCTCCGTGTTGCTTCTCACTCCAGACACAGGCTGTCGGGCTGGTGTTGTCGAGGGTGTCTTTGCTTTCAATTTCTCAGCAGAGTCTCGCCGCTTTGAAGGAGCCGACGTGGCTTTCCGGGACGAGCTCCGTGTGCTGCTGTATAAGCAGCTCACGCCAACAAAAAGGCAGTCGCAGTCGGCATTGTGTTGCGCGTCATGGGAGAGCACTCTTCCTTTCGGTTCCCATAAGCTGCCGCCCACCTTCTTGCCAGGTTCCTCCTTCTCCTCGAGAACGTCCCACAAGCCATCTGCGCCATCATCTTCTTGCGCTGCTTGTATTCATATGTTGCAGGAGTGCCAAAGAACAACATCCAGATGTATTCCGAATCCAGATGTGTTTGGGAAAGTGTTCATAGGGGCAATCAATGCTGTTTTCGATTTTGGCTGGCGGCTAGATCCCTCACGCAACTCCTAGGCTATGAGGGAGGATCCGTCGTCGTGACTGTGTTGAGCTTGGCAATTCCGGCGCTGCAGGCTGGGAGTGTCAGCTGCAAGGGGAAATGTAAAACAGAGGCTGCAACACTCGGAATTCCACATCCACATGCTCTCTGCCCGCTTCCTCCATGTTCCATCACAGTCCTATGTGGATCAGCCAGACCTCTCTTCTGCTGCAGATTGGGCTGGCGTTCCTGCTTTACAGCACGGTCCGTGCGCAGGCGCTGTCAGTTCTGCGTTACGGGAATCGGGCTACACAAGGGAACCAGATAACAGCATCAGGAAATGCGGGGCTTCGGAGCTGTTGGAATCAGACAGAGCTAGAGAGAGAGAGAGAGAGAGGCCATACAAAGCACTGAGTTGCCTTCAATTTTCGAGATCATGATGCAAGCAAACACACGGCCCTACTGGGCACCTTTCTTGCGGGGCACCCACTGTTGTGTCCAGCCGAGCCCATCCCTTTGAAAAATGGGTGGGCCATACGGCGTGGGGAACTTTAGACGTTCTCATTGCCAGAGACAGAGAGAGAGAGAGAGAGAGAGAGAGGCTGGCATGTCCCAAGAGGCCCAATAGCCCCAGCAGACTGAACACAAACTGAAGTAGCCCTGCAGGGCCTTGCCGATCTGCACAGGTCGCTCCCTACTTCGGGCGCAGGCTTCGAGCACTGGTAAGGTCGCTCGGCCTGGGTTCACGACAGCCTCTGCACACTTGTTGCAGGAGAGGTTGAGGGAGCGACGACGTCGTTTTGACATGTCGGGGTTGGAAGGCCTAACTCGCCGCACTGTCCATGCTTTCAAGCATGCACCAAGGGCCGGGGACAAGCTGCTAGCGCAGCGCCTCTGGCGCGAGGCATCCGAAGCGGGAAGTTGACGAAATGCGAGGGACGTGAAGAAGGTTTGAAGGACACGAAGCGGGTGATTCATGTGGACTTCCTGGCAGACCCTGGAGGGTTCCAGCTGAGAAACTTCTCCCTTAGAATGTTGAAGATCACTGGACGGTACAGGAGAACTTTGGGGCCCCGAAACTCCAGGTCAAGCTGTTAGGTACCCACTCACTGACTCAGTCTCTTTCTCTCTCTCACTCGCTCTCTGTCTCTCTCTCTCTCTCTCTGTCTCTCTCTCTCTCTCTCTCTGTCTCTCTCTCGCTCTCTCTCTCTCTCTCTCTCTCGCGCTCCCGCTCGCGCTCTCGCTCTCGCTCTCGCTCTCGCTCTCTCCCTCCCTCACTCACTCACTCTGTCGTGCTCTCCCGTGATGTTTCCCTTCTGCCTGCCTCGAGAGGAACCCTGGAACCGGCCATACGCAACCTGAAGGATCCCCCGCCCATGCGAAGGCCGACTTTGAATCCGACAAAGGACTCTTCCGGCAAGCCGTGGCGCTCATGCACAGCAAGGAGCTTCGGACCTTACCCGTCGGCTCATCCCCTGCTTGGCCCTGCTTGGGGTGAGTTGAAAATGAACCATTTTGCAGAGATCCAGGCATACTGGAGTACCACCCGAATCCCACATCAGCAATCATTCATGAGCTCCCCCGTCCTGAAGCCATCCAGACAATCCTTTGGAGTGCAGGCGCGGCTTTGTAAGGTTGGAAGCGGCTCGAATCTTAATGCTTCTCAGTGCCTTACATGACGATAACTTCGTTTGCATGCTAGACAGCACCAAGCAGGGATGGACCTGGTCGCCTTTGGAGGACATCGGTTCGCATCGAGACGATGATGTCATCTCGCTTTGGAAGGCAAGCCGTGCTCTGTACCTTCGCTGGTCCAAGCGATAATCTCAAGTTTTCAGAGAACCAGGCCCAACACAGTAAGAAAACCCACGACCGTGTCGTGGATGGCTTTGTCGATTTGTCCCCGGGCTGTGAGGGCTGTTGGCAGGGCTTTCGGGCAGCCTGAAGGTCGCGCTGGGCATGCACCACGGACCCAGCGAGGACATCACATGTGTTTCAAGAGAGTGGGCTGCCAGTCATTTGGGCTTGGCCTCGTTTTGGTGCTGCCGGGCTGCTTCCAGGTGTCGGCGTAGGGCACTGAGACTTCGAAGTTCTCGAAGCCTGGTATAAGCTTGTCCTTCACTCTATGCGAGATCAGTTCCAGCTAAGATGCTTCAGGAGCAATGGAACTTGAGTGACCTCGGCCTGAAGGACGAGCTGCCTCTCGTGGAGGCGCACGATGGCGTGTCCTTGCAGCAGAAGTACCCGGCATTCTGCCTTGCAGACTCGTGCCGTCGCAGGCCTTCTTTGCCGAGCTTGCAACGGCCGAGTGCCAGAAGCTGGACATGGACCTCTCGCATAACGAGCTAGGCCCAAAGCCCAGTTGGAGCTTCGGATGTGGTGTGGGCCTGTTGGGGGTACACGGTGGGACTCTGACGACGAGCCTTCAGATGGCTTCAGAGAGTTCTTTCGGTTTCAAAAAACACCACACCAAGGCTGAACCCTTTCCGGGTCCTAGATGGGCTTGCCCATCGCTCTTGACCGATCTTTTTTGGCTTTGCCACTCGCCACGCTACAGCGGATTTGGGATTGGAGTTTGCCACGTCCTTCCCCCACTCCGTTCCCGTGTGCGATGGTAGTTTGCCTGCTGCTGTAGCTGCACCAAGCGAACCTTATTAGCGATGCAACATCCTGGCAATTCACGATCAGGAGCTGTGAGCAACAAACCCCAAAACGGAGTGTGGTGTGACGATCCTACAAGGAGGGCGGCAGACACCGAATCGTGAATGAAGAGGGGAGGGCAGCCAGTGACCCGCACTGCCCCCTAAAGGATCCAAAAGGAAGTGTCAAAGGGCCAGTGCCTCTTTCACCCCAAAAGTAGCGGGGGTCGACAAGCCTGACACCCTCAAGGAATGAGTGCTGCCAAACAGTCGTTGGAACGAGTCTGCGAAGTAACGGTTGAGAAGGTTTGTGTTAAGATAAATCAAGTTGGACAAGTGATGTAGGATGAAGTCCTTCAAAGCTTGCCGAGTGAAGAAGGAGCACTGGAGGAGTGTGGGATCACCAGTCGCATATCTCCAGCCCAAGATGATGGAGCTCTAGTCCTAAAGGGACATCAACAAGTCGGAGCCCATTGAACGATGCCGTCAGAAGAAGCGCACTTTGTTTGTGCTCAGTTTGAGGCCACAGCTTCTGCCACAGTATCAGAAACGCTTTCAGCACTTCAAAGGTGGTGTCGACACATTGAAGTGTCGTGCGGTTCCACCTCCATCGTATAGACTTGGTGGTCTAGCACCGCTACCATCCTTTCGTCCGTGCATGAGCTTAGTAGACTCACAGTCCTTGGCGGCTGACAAGGCAGCTGGAGGTTACATGCTCCGGAAGACGAAATATGCGCGAGAGCCGATAAGACCACATGCTCCCGAGCCCGAGGCGCGGAGGGCGCCCGTTCCTGGGCCGGCGCATTCGGCGGGCTGGTCGAGCTGCATAAGCTCACTTTGAACTTGAAGGGCAACCCGCTTCGCCTGGGCCCCAGAGTGTCCTCCGCCGACGTTTCCTCGGACAAGGTTAGCCGGTTAGCCCAGCGCGCGAAGAGCAGCAGCCAGACAGGCCCAAGCGACGGCACTGGGAGCCTTTCCAAGAATCGATGAGTTTCAACATCGTCTGCGAGTCTTCACGAAGGGTGTCCGGCTTCTCAAGTCTCAAGTGACCAGCCTCCCAAATGATGCATGTCTGACGTGATGTTAAGTTAATGCTTGCAGTGTTGTCTGCGAGACAAGGCGATGCAGGGGCTGTTGCTTTGGCCACGGCATTCTCCGGCTTGAAGAAGATGAGGGACGTGTCCTTGAACCTGGAGATGTGCGACCTCGGCTCGGGCCTCAGAAGCGATCGGAGTGGAGGCTGCCTTCAGATAAGGCCCCTCAGGCTTCTCGGAACACTCTGTTCATGCATACCTTGGCCGCGGTATAGGGCCGCTTTCGACCATTGAAGTGCCTTACGGTTCAGCTCCTTGATGTTTCAGCCACAAAGAGCCGGATCCGTGCACAGCTGCGCAAGGTATGATGCGGTTCGGGGGTCCGCATAGCCTTTGTAGACAAGCGGCCGCCCCCACAAAGCGAGAGGGGCAAAGACCGCATTGACATGCTCCCGAGCCCGAGGCGCGGAGGGCGCCCGTTCCTGGGCCGGCGCATTCGGCGGGCTGGTCGAGCTGCATAAGCTCACTTTGAACTTGAAGGGCAACTCGCTTCGCCTGGGCCCCAGAGTGTCCTCCGCCGACGTTTCCTCGGACAAGGTTAGCCGGTTAGCCCAGCGCGCGAAGAGCAGCAGCCAGACAGGCCCAAGTGACGGCACTGGGAGCCTTTCCAAGAATCGATGAGTTTCAACATCGTCTGCGAGTCTTCACGAAGGGTGTCCGGCTTCTCAAGTCTCAAGTGACCAGCCTCCCAAATGATGCATGTCTGACGTGATGTTAAGTCAATGCTTGCAGTCTTTCTTCATCAGGCTTGTGGGGATGGTCCCTCCCGTCTCACGAAGGAAAGCCATCACGTCGGGACCCGTTGAACGATGTGCTCCCCACTCCAACGATCCACATGGCATCGCTGTTTGTCGGCCTGCAGTTGAGCCTCCTCCCACCAAAACGATCTCCACTGAGGCGATGCAGGCACAAGAACTTTGGCCACGGCCTTCTCCAGCTCGTCGCAGCTGCAGGATTTGTCCCTGAACCTGGAGATGAACGACCTCGGCCAAAGCCTCGGAAGTGCTCGCTTTGAAGGATGTGGGTTGGAAGAGACCACTCGTGTACAAGCGTGTTTGATTCCTCATTGCATTAGTTTAGTTAGAGGGCCGCAAAAGCTTTGCCCGAGGCGAAGAGGGCGTGCTGTCCTTGTTGGAGGCCGGCCGCAACAGCTTGTGCGCAAGTTCTCGGCACGACGCCCAAATCTTGTAGCAACATCTACGGTCCCGTTCGCGGACCCACGCAGATTGAGAAGTGTTGGAACCACGCGGAGCGTGCTTTTGGGAGCAGCCATCTGCAGGCCCTCCGAGCCACCCGCCCAGCAGCGGGCCAGCTCGATCTGGGTGACTGCGACATCGGAAAGAGTGCTGTCACGCTAGCCAGGGCCGTCCGTTCCGGGGAGGCGGGGGCTCCCTCCCTTTGCTTTTTTTTTGTTTCTTTCTCTGTTCCCCTTCTGTTCAGGTCAGTTGCCGCGTGACCCACCCAGTGGTGGAGATGTTGCTCCGCGAGGGCTTCAAGGCCGCTGCGCTGTTTTTTTGGGCATGCGTTTCTTGCATGTTCTGCTTGGAGTTCACAGGACGAAGAGGCGGGGAAGCTCGAGCTGGGCCTGAGCAGCTACTTGCTCAGCTTCGCGAGAACCAGAAGCACAGCGGGAATACTGCATGCGCATGCCGAGGCAAAGAAGACCTCGGCCCGCTCTGCCAAGCTCTGCCACATCTCCGTCTGCGAGAAGTCAAACTCCACCTCGCAGACCTCGGACTGGGCTTTGGCCTCGGTCGCTCCTGTACTCTCCTCGCTCGTGCCACGCCATGGCCCACGGCAGCAGCGGGGCGAGCCTCAATCCGGAAAGAAGGGAGCGCTGCAGAGTTACCGGATCTCCGAGAGAAGCGAGGCACACTCACCACAATGCTAGGCGGGTGCGCGGAGTGGAAACTGCCGGTGACAAGAGTGGGGAATGAACAATGAAGGGAGCACGGAATGACTCCATCAGCCACACCGAAAGGACGGAGTGAGCACAAAATGCAGCGGGCAGTAACCTACAGGAAGTCGACGAGCAAAGGGGCTGGCAAACCTCAAACTCTTACGGGATGGCTGCTGCAAAAGAGTGGCGAACCGAAACTCCAAGAGTCGCTGGAAAGAGTTGGTGCAGCAGCGGTTAACATATTGTGTTAACGCATTGGGTCAACATGGACCAAAATTGGACAACTGATGTAGGATGAAGTGCTTGCAAGTTTGCCAGGTCAAGAAGGAGCACAGGCGAACTTTTGCATCATCAGGCACAATTCCCAGCCGATGCGAGACGACGGAGCTCTCGTCCCGAAAAAATACAATCAAGTCGGAGCCCGCTGAAGCACTCCTAGGCCCAGAACTGTTGAAGGGAGCGGGGGAATCACTCCATCAGCCGGTAAGCGTGGCCTGAGCACGACAAGTCGATTAAGCAGAGGGAAGTGAAGAAGGTGTCGAATGGCAGACTCTCCAATGCGGGGGCTCTGATTTGACTGCAGCCCTCTTCGAAGGCTGAGCCGATCTATTCCTTAAACAAGGCATTGGGTGGGAAATTCGGAGACTTGAGAAGCTCCACATTGGCCGCGACATTCGAGAAGTGTGTGCAAGATGGACCAAGTTGGGCAAGCGAGGTGGGATCAAAGTTTAACATGCAAAGGCGGACCGAAGCATCACCACTTGGAGCCGCTTGATGCAATCCCCACTCCAACGATCCGCAGAGCACTGTACCGTTTATTACTGGCCAATCGTGCGCTGTGGAGCCTCCTCCCATCCAACGATCTGCGCCGAGGCGATGCAGGGGCGAAGACCCTGGCCGCGGCAGTCTCGAGCGTCACGAAGATGGAGGAGGTGTCCCTGAACCTGGAGATGTGTGACCTAGGCCCGGGTCTCGGAAGCGCTCGGTGTGTGCAGGCTGCCTTCGAAACCCTGTGTTCAAGACTTGCTGACAGTTCAACACGCTCCAGAGCCCGAGGCGCGGAGGGTGCCGGTGCCCTCGCCAGCTCCATCGGCATGCTGGAGAAGATGCAGAAGCTCAGCCTGAACCTGAAGGGCAACAAACTCTGCCCCGGGCCGAGATCGTTTCCGGCATTTTTCAGTTTTCGGTTCGGAACAGCCCGGCGAGCGAGGAGCACAAGTCCGAAAGGCTTCTTCCTAACATGACACAGAGCCTTCTTTGGAATCGATATCGTCCGGCATCATCTTTCTCATGCAATGCTTAACGGCACAACAGCTTACTGGGCAGAGTGCAGAGGGGTTTCGGGATTCCCAAGACGCCGCATGACGTGATTTCAAGATGTATGCCTGCCTGCACTGCTTCTGCGGCAGTCTTCCAGGAAGGTCCTGCTTCGAAGGTTGCCAGTAGCAACATGCAATCCCCGGCAGCTCGCTCAAATACCATCAAGAGCCGGTTGACGTCCCACGATCTTTGCCGAGGCGATGCAGGGGCGAAGACCCTGGCCGCGGCCGTCTCGAGCGTCACGAAGATGGAGGAGGTGTCCCTGAACCTGGAGATGTGTGACCTAGGCCCGGGTCTCGGAAGCGCTCGGTGTGCACGCTGCCTTCGGGGGGGGTGGGGGGGGGCGGCAGGCCTTTTGGAACAGAGCATGCCTAGTAGGACCAGAATGAGAACAAGACACTCTGTACATTCATACTTTGGAATCGCCATGTGAAGGCCACTTTAAACCCTGATAGCATTGACATGAAGCACTCAACCCAAAGCCAGACAAGTGCACGTTTGCTAAAGCAGAGGATTCCATCTGTACCCAAAGCGAGAGACCTTGGACCCGGGGGCAGGGCCACTTTCAGCTCTACAGTATGGTATTGACTCTGCATGATTGCCTTGCGATTCCGCTTCCTGATATCTTGAGCCGGGCCAGTGCGCAGCTGTAGCAGGTGAGACTGGATGTGGGGATCGTACAGACTGCTTCGAGCCTCCTCCCACCAAAACGATCCGGCCGGAGTGCGGGGATGGTGAAGCACGGAGGTCTTTTGAGCTTCCTCCTTGGTATGATTGTTGCGCGGATGCCTTCCGCGCCTTCCGAAGCTTTCCACTCGAAATCAGAAATTGGGGGCCTCGGCCTCGATGGGACGTTGTGGCGTTGCCCGCTTACGTGGGCTTGCACCCAATGCACGGCTGGAGCAGATGTGACTGAGTTAGGGGTCGCAGATTTGCCACTATGCTTTCGTGAATGAATTTGCATATGCAACTGAGCACTTTGACGGTTTGTGCCCCGGCAAGCCTCTCAAGATATAGCTTTCCGTGACTAGACCAGTCGTTATTCGTGCGCGATTTTACTTCCCAGCTTTCTCGCTATGCTTACCGAAGAAGCCTTGTCAGCCGTGACGTATTGCATGTTGCAGGCGAACTCCCACATCGTTTGTGTTTGGGGTAAAGAGGAGGGAGTCACGATAATGCGGCGATGCTGTCGACAATGATTTTCTTCAGGTGGCCTGCGCATGGCCACTAGCAAAGCCTGTGTAAGACTCTCGTTAAGCCATTCCGCGCTTCGAATTATCTTGGCCGTTTGTACATATACGTAATATATGCTTCTGCAAAGACGAGCACGTTTAATCTATTGTGTTAGACTTTCCCGAGGGCCGCAAAAGCTTTATATACCCAAGGCGAGGAGGGCTTGCTCTCCTTGCTGGAGGCGGGCCACAACAGCTTGTGTGCAAGTTCTCGGCCTCCCAAGCCCCTGCTTCCGGTCGAGTGTCGATGCCTCTGGGATTCTTTTGTTTTCTTGATCCTGATGCTCTCGGGAGTCCCGCAGGCCCTCCGAGCGACCAGCCCAGCGTCGACCCAGCTCGACCTCGGCGAAAGCGACATCGGAAAGAAGGGCGTCTTCGCGCTGGCCAGGGCCCTCCGTTCCGGGGAGGCGGGGCCTTCCGCGGCGCTGCAGAAGAGAGATCCCGACATTGTTTCTTCTGTGCCACACTGCTTCTCTCTCTTCTGCGTCCCTGTTTGCAATCAGGTGAAGGGCCGGGTCACTCATCCGGTGGTGGAGTTCTTGGCCGAGTTGGAGGCTCGCGCTATTTCTTCGAAGTGTGGTAAGTTCTTCATTTTCCCGGGGTCCGCCGAACGTAGTGCTGAGGGTTGTTGCCCGTCGGCCATGCCTCTGCCAGGGATCTCAGCGAGGAGCCTTGGGGCAAAGTATCTTCCAAAGAGCCGGAATTCCCAACCCCGGAAATCGGAAGCCCTTCCAACCCGAGCCACCTTTGCTCGGCACGCCCTCTCGTTTCCCTGCGCTGCACGGCCTCTTCGGGCAGCGCCCGGGGGTGTGGGCAGCCACGGCCGCCGCCGCCGTGCAGGACGAACAACTCAAAGAGCTCGAGGAAGCGCCGCAGAAGCTGAAGCTTGATCTCAGCGCCGCCGGCGGTCGCCGGCGGCTCAGCTCCGGAGCCGAGGCACCGCCCAGGCACCCGCGTGCGCTGCCCTTCCGAGGCGAAGCCGAAGCCGAGAGGTTCCGGCGGCTCTTGGGACCGCTCTGCCGGGCGCTGCCGAAGCTCCCGGAGCCGCTGCGAGAGCTGTGGCTCGACCTCGGCTTCCACGGCGACGCCTTCGGCCCCGGCCTCGGCGCGTTTCGCAGAGCTCCTCTCCTCTTCTTTCCGCCTTCGGCAGGCGCTGCCGGGGCCCGGGCCCTGGCCGCGGGCCTCCGGCACCAAAAGGAGCTGCAGGACCTGAGGTTGGGGCTGTTTGGCAACTCCGTGGGCCGGGGGCCTCAGCTTTCGCTCCTCCGTCGTCCTTTTTTGTTTTGTAGCTCTTGTTGGTGGGGCCGCAAGCCGACCCCAGCCATTACTCCGTTTCTGTGCTTACGAGCTTCTGCTTTCCACTATCAAACTGCACCCGAACGGACTCGACTCTCCGTGATTTGCAGCAGAGTCTTGGATTCCCGCGCCGGCTCCCGTGAGACGTCGTCCGAAAACCCTTCTGCCGAGATGCCCGTGCCCGTGCCCCTTTCGGGAAGCCCGCAATTTGCCTCGCGACTTTTGCAGCTGACCGGGGCACGCCCCCGGGCACCGAGGCGACCAGGGCACAGAGGCCTTGGCCTCCGCCCTCCGCGAGCTGACGCAGTTGAAGAAGCTCGTGTTGAGGCTGGACGCAAACAACATCGGCCCGGGGCCTCGGAGGGAGTCGAAGCCACATTGCCGCTTTACCCGGCGGGCCGATATCGGGAGATACCGTACATCCCTTCTTGGAGTTTGATCTTCATCCAAGCCTTGCATTGTCTACACTCGCAGATTCTTGGCTGGCCCCTGTCTCCCGGCCGAGGCGATGCCGGCGCCACCGCACTGCTGGAGAGCTTTTCTGAGCTGCGGCAGCTCAAAGACCTCGAAGTTGGTCTGGTAAGCAACGAGCTCAGCCCGGGCCTCGGGCGAGATGAAGCGGCCTTCCGCCTTGCCACAGAAAAACCCCACCGGCCCAGGCCAGGAGGAGAAGCAGAAGCTCCGGGCCGCCTTCGATTCACTGCCGGTGGCCGAGAAGGAGATCGAGCTTTGATCCGAGGCCCGGCCGGGGCCGTGCGGTCGTGGCTTCTGAGAGAGAGTTCGGGGATCTTCGACTCTCCTGGCTGGGAGGCCTTGGCCTCGGCGCGCTGGCGGTGGGTGGCCTTTCTCCGGAGCGCTTCGATTCTGCTGCCTGCTGCCGAAAAAGCAGAGGTCGCTGCGCGCCGTGCTGGAGTCCGAGCATTCAAACTTGCCTCCCTAGCATCGCAGTCTTGCTTCTGTGTTGATCTTGGGTCTTCGCCGGTTTGGGACCCTTGAGCCACTCGGTGTCTTGCATCCGAAGCTGAAGAGACGCTCCGCCGAACCTGCCTTGCATTCTCATGGTCTCGTGCGGCTCAAGTGCTGCTGTCACAAGGCATCTAAACCAGCCCTATAAGGCTCAGAAAGTCGATCATCTGAACGTCTGTGCCCTGCACGATCCAGTTGAGCCCAGGAGGAGCTTCTGTTAGACACCTATGTTATGTTCCAGAGGGACCCTCAAACACCGAGCAAGTTTCTCACATGCGAATCCCCAAACTTCGTGCTGCTCGAACTCCCAACTGCATGGCTTAGTGAGCTTGATGCGATGTCCAAGCGAATTGAATCAAGGAGCTGGTGCAGAAATCTGGAAGTCAAATCGTGACATGCTGTACCAATCCCCAACCCAAAAAGCTATCATCGGGGGTGCCCTGGACATTGCATTGTTCTTCCCAGCATATGGGCTGCGGAGCGAGCAGCCAGAGCAAGTATGCCGGGCACTGTGGGGGCCAAACGGGTTGAGCGTCTGACAGGTCCCTGGAAGTGCTGAACACTCATGTCTGATTCTTGCCTAGGGCCTAAGATCGGGAAGTTGGTGTTGCCTTTCCTGAGCACACAACCCCCTATTTTCTAGCACTTCTACATCTGAAGCTTACTTCGCTGGGATGGTAATCGGCAAGAAATGTAAGAATCACCGGCTTAATGCAGAAAGCTTGGGTTGCAATGGATTCAAGGCTAGGCTGTTGACGCATACAGCTTCTCTTGGGTTTTATCGAGGCGGGACTTTCGGGTTCAGGGTGTGAGGGGGAGTTTCAGTGGAGTTTCGCAAGCGTGCCCCCGTGTGCCGCAGACAAAATCGTTTTCCGCCCAAAAGTGGCGATTCAGATCCCACTTCTCTCTGCCAGTTCCTGCCGCGCCCCTTGGCTTATGTTGTTTTTGATTGGATCACTGCTCAACCATAACATTCCAGGTGTCGGCATGTCTGTCAGCGAGTTCGGAACAAGGAATTTTACAGCTTTTAAACACGCCTAGTTCCTTTTTGCGTTCCTGCACCCGTAACACCAGTCGTGCTGTATCATCCCTAAAGGCAGAGAGCCCTGAAGCCCAAATGCTACAAGCCACTCCACTCGCTCTCTGTCTCCAGCACTCGCCAACCTAAGCCGCCAGTCCCATAAAAACCCAGAGGCCCGAATCCGTAGAATCCGTGAGCACCTAAATCCGCAAGAGTTCTCGTGCGCCCTACCGGCCCCTCAAGACACCTGCAAAAACCGATGTCTCCCAGGCCATGAGTGCCGCAGAAGTTGCCGTGCTTGAGGGGAGCGAGCCGATCCTTCGTCTGGGTTTAGGGCGTCTAGTACCGGTCTAGTTGAGGCTTCAAGCAGGACTCGCACTGCGAATTGAGAGAGTCTGTGCACAGGTTGGGGATCAATCTGGCGAAGTAGTAAGCCAATGTAGGGTTCGTGTTTGAGTTTCCGATGCAAACTGACAAGGGCATAGCTCGAAATTCAAGCTTCATCCGTCTAGCATCTAGAACACCTGTGTGCATAGGCTCATTTGTGATGAGCCCAATGCCCCGCAACCAAAGCTGCAGCCCACCGAGGTCCATGGCAAGGGTCGCCAGTCCCACCTCGGTGGCCGGGGCGGCCTGCGCCGGTGACAAGGTGGGCCTCTGATTTGTTTGGCACATGTACGAGTTTGGGAAACTCCGATATTTCTATTCTTGTTTTGGCTGGTTAGGCATAGTAAGGCTGTTGCTTTGAAGAGCTTCGGACAGACAGAGACCAGACTTGACGAAGGTTCAATGCCTTGTGTGGCTTCGACTTGAAGGGATGTGGCAATCAGGGCTTATGGCTTAGACAGGACCAAACCTTGGCTTTGATGGCCTTTGCAAGACTGTTAGGACCGAATGGGTTGGTTGTTCAGATGTACTTTTCGAAAAGGTCAAAAGGGTGCAGACCTCTTAGAGCTCTTCGAGTGTTCATGTTGTCAAGTTTGTTGAAGGCGTTCCTCGGCGATTTGCAGTCTCTAATACATCACGGATGAAAACTGTTCAGTTCACCAGGAACATGTGCCGCAGAGAAGCGGAGTAGCCGCATGTCCGTTCTACATGGCCAGCGTGGCGGAGAAGTGAATTTCCTGGAATATAAAAATATACTACCATATAGTTCTCGACGGAGAGCCTGTGGGATCTTGTGTGAGGACTACTGTATAATTCTCGACGGAGAGCCTGTGGGATCTTGTGTGAGGAGTCTACGAAAAAAGGTGGTTCCAGTGCCCCATATGTTGAGTTAGAGCCCGTGTGGCGAACGATTGTCCTGCGGCAGTACAGTGTCAGATGCCGACAGCCCATGAAGTAAGCTTTTACCATGCAGGTCGTGCAAGGCGCAGTGACAACCACACGCCGCACGATGAAGATCGCAGGTGGGCTGTACGCAGAGCACCAGAGATGTGGTTCTTCTGTGGGTATGATTAAGAGAACATGGACCGGGGAAGCCAGCAACTCTGCGACCCTCAAACGCCCTAGACGGTATACTGGTAACCCCAATTCCAACCAGCAGGTACTGCATTCCAGTAGTATGCTTCCCGTTTTTGTGAGCTTGAGCAGTCCTTGTCCGATCTTTTATGCGAACTACGCAATGCCAAAGACGCAGATGTTACATCAGGGAGTTGCCACAAATCCAAATCCAGTGAGCTCCTAAGGCATTCCACCTGTCGTACATGGTCGTACTGGGAAGAGGCAACATAGCGTTTTTCCATGCCATAGGACCCTGTTCCAAGCAAAGAGGCCCCTAACATAAATGTAACAAAATTACGTAACAAGTAGTTGTAACTGTACTACCATGTATCCCACATCCCCATTCTTAGCATGATGAAGTAACATTCTGTGCTTTGTCAGGTCTGGCCCATATCTGAAACCCCAAGCCCAAAACCCTAACCCTAAACCCTACATTGATTTTCTGTGCCTTTGTCAGGTCTTGCCCTCTTCGCTCTGGCCTTTGCCTTCGCATTCTTCGGCCCCTCGGTTAAAGAGCTCGACTTCCTTCGGTAAATTTCGGATTTCTTGGTTGCGTTCAGGGTTGCTTCGGCTTGCGCTTTCCCTCGAGAAGCTTTGGGCAGGTTTCAGTTTCTTAGTTACGTTTGTGGCTACTTGGGGCTTTGGTTGATGGGGTCGATCGTCTTTGAGGTTCTCAGCCCAGCACAGTGGCGACTAATGAGGCTCTTGCAAAGGGCCTCAGCAGAGAAGGAAGCCTTAAAATCTAACTTTTGGGGTGCTAATGCTAATCCATATATAATCCCAGAGGTTAACCTTCAGTTCCCTAGGATACTGGATGTAAGGGACACATCTCTAAGCCTTGATGGTACGGCATGATTTGGTTTCGAGTTTGCGGATTCTGCATGTGACATGTTCAATCTGACCCACGGAGCTCTCAGTTGTGATCAAATCCAAAGTCAGAGGGCGCAGTTCACGAGAAGCAAATCTCGAGCCCTTACTTCAGAACATTCCGGTAAAAACGATGCGAATTGTCGTAGCTCTAGGAACAAATCTTCCGACGGCGATTGGTGAAAGATTGCGCTCTGCTTATTGATCGTCGGGGGCTACGCTCTGCTCATTGATCGTCGTGGGCTACGCCCACGTGTCTTGTCTTCGCCCGTCGTTCTGAGCTACTCTACTGTGAACCTGAACATGAAATCCAGACCGCCGCAAGACTTGACACCCATCGCCCAGCATACTTGGAGCCTAATCCCGCAAAAGGCTTTAAACAGTTCCTTATCAGTGTTGCTCAACAGGCTTTATGATATAGGCCCTAAGCCCTGCACCCTAAACCCTAAGCCCCAAACCCTTTAGGTGGGTGCTTGCCGGGGGGTCTGGCAGGGTTTCGGGATCCCCTCCCAGGTTGGCCCACGAACCTCTTGGAGGATGCAGCCACGCACCGGAGGCACGCAGGGATGCTTTGGGTTGATGGGATCAGCGTTACGAGGGTTTGTAGACGATATATTGAAACTGTGCATGTCTGGGCCTGCAGAGAGGGGGGTCTAGAGGCTTTGAAGGGTAGACACCACCCTAAACCTTACATCCGGGTTTCGAGTCAGTGGTACGCACGTCTAGGGGTTGTGTCACACATCTCGTGGAGTCGCGCAGGCGCAAAGATGTCAACCTCGCCCAACGGCTCCGCACTGCCCCAAGTCCTGAGGGTCCTAGCAGCACTCTTCATCACCGGCATCACGCTCGTGGCGCTGGAGGACTGCTAAACTCTCGATCAGTCGGTGGGTGATGGTGGGTGTACCAGGGTCTTATCACGTATGTTACAGGCCTGGTCAGGTTGTGCAAATTGCAACCTTGTAGCAGGTGTGCTAGGGTCCCCGTTCTTGGATGGTGTAAGCATTGCAGACCCTGGGTCCAGCGTAGAGTCCACCACGGCGTCAGGTTTTGCATGAGAAGAACGGTTTCGGCTTATAGGATTGTTCATTCGATAGCACGGGTTGCTGATGTATCTCAAGAATCAGCCTTCTGGGACTCGACATGTTTGAAAGATGCACGAATCAAGCGAGCAGAGTGTCTTGTGTTTTCATGCAGCGAAGGAAGAAGCACCGTTAATTGGCACTCTCCGTGTCGAAGCTTCTGTCACCTAGCGACCGAGCAGTACAGTACAATGACAAAGTCTTCACGGAAAGGTGTTTCAAGGATTGCCCAACGGACCAGCAATACAGACGCTAAGCCGGACAACAAAGCTAGCATTGTCTGCGCTGCAAGCAGCTTGTGCGTACTAGGCAGTACTAGGTAGCACTAGGTAGGCAGAAGTATCGGCATATGTTTAAGCAGGTTCGGAATGAAATTAGGTCTTTGAGGATTACTTCTAGAATGATTGAAGCCTCATTTTTCAAGGAACCTTGTCAGCAGTACCTCGTCGATTTTCCCTCCCTTGGAGGATGTTCTGCGACTGGACAAATCGGCGATCATGCTTGTCTTGGCTTCCGTGCCGCTTGGCTGGGGCTTTGTGGATTGAAGATTCTTTTATACCTAAACCGCCTAAACCCTATCAATGCTATACCTCAACTCTAAACCAGGAGTGAACTGCAGCTAGTACCTTCGGTTTTGAGGGAAGATAAGCTCGGAGCGATTCAAGTTTAGCCTGTGTATTATCAGCTTTTGCGAAGGCCGATACCTTCAGGGGAACGTAGGGAAAGCTATGTTGTTCTGAACCCTGGCCATACCTTCTCGTTTGCATCTCCAAAGATCCCCTTCAAGGATGTGGACATACCATGCGGCGGGCATTCATGCCAGATCTGCAGAAGGCAGCTACCTCTTTCGCGTGTGCGGGTTCAGCATTAGAGCTCCAAGGCCTTGTGTCTTTGGTTTGCGGTGTCCCTTTATTCCTCAACATGAAAGTGCTGATGCGTGTTCATGGTGGGTCTAGACGCGACTGATTGCAGGGTTGCGAGAGGGTTCTGCTCTGTGACACGGCAGGCCGACATTCTGCCCTTCTTGCTCTGTTCGCGCAAGCAAGTGTACTATAACTCGACGCCCCAAACGCCGCAAGCTCTGGGTTCCAAGGATCAGAAAGCCAATCGTGCCTTGACCAAGGCCCGGAACCCTCACTGAGCACTCTTAGTCGTAAGCTCCTGACATACATGGAAACCGTGTAACACCCCAAACTCTGTGAATCTCTCCTCATAGGACAACCCGAAACCCTAAACCAAAAATCCTAACTAAATCCTGCCACCCGAAAACTCTCTGAGTCTCCCCTCGTTAGGACACGAGCTCCTCGAGGAGGAACTGATGAAAGGACTCTTTGAGGCCCTGAGAGTGGGCCCTCATCAAACCCTTAAAACCCTACAACCGAGTTTGGGCGGGTGCAAGATTTCAGTTTTTGGGGGTTTTTAAATTTCTTGGTTTAGGGTTTTGGACCTCGCTGTCGGTTTTAGACAGTTTTTGGGGTGTCAAGTTGGCAGGAATTGCAGGGATTGGGCATTGTGGGCTTTCAAACGCAGGTTTGACCTTGTTTCCATGGTTGAGCGAGGCTGTCCGTAAAGCATCTTGTAAAGGTCCAGGTGCGCAAGCCTTGCGACATCTGCCCTATCACGGCTTCTTAGCCTCAAAGCCTGTTCCACCGCAAAGTGCGAAAGAAGTCAGAAATTTTGAGCAGGTTGGCAGCGTCATCTTGTTTCTGTTGCCTGCCATGTGCGTGGTGGAGTCCATCGATCACATGTGCCCTGAGCAAGATTTAAGATGCGGTAAAGCCGGGCTTGCGGGAGAAGGTCCTTTGCCATAATATCTCCTCATGATAACTCTGCTTTACTCTGCGAGACCAGACTACCCGCACCTCTTCCCGGAGTTTGGAAGAGTTTAACGTTTAGTGCTGTGTTTTTTGTCCCAAGCCGTGGCACCTTGTCCCTCCGAACCCACGCAGAAAAAGTCTGCGAGCTTCAGCAACTGCAGGGCCCTTCTAGAATAGACCCCAAAGCCCGCAAAGCTATTCCTCAAAATGTAGGTAGACGGTTAGCGTGGACACCTCCAAAATCCGAATCCAACTATTCGGGGATTGGACCAGAGACGATCCGGAGACGATCTGAGCATGGAAAGACCACCCAGACTGCAAAGACTCAAGGAATGGCTTCGCAGTTGTCACGGCGTTCATCGTTCGCCAGACGCAGGAGAAGGCCTGTAGCGACGGAAGTAACTAGTTGTGCACGTTATAGAAGCCGGAATGGTGACCAATACTATTTCTTACTTGGGCTTCTCCGTCATCATGTTTAAAATTTAAAATTTGAGCATATACTCATAATTCACCAAATTCAAAAACCATTCCAAGTCATGAATGCCATTATATTCATCGCAGGAGTTTCAGTTGGGGTTTTGGGCTGGTCCGAGCTGATTGGGAGTTTGTGGATGCCAAGAAATTGGAAAAAGGAATCATGACCACCGCAAGCCCTAAACCCAGGACCTTCAATCCCCCTAAACCCGAAACCCTTAACCCTAAGCCAAACTGCCCGTCTCATGAACCCCGCCGCGGAGGCCGGGCGGCTGATGCCCATCGTCTGCATCATCGCCTTCTTCCTGAGTTCGGTGGGGAGGGGGTTTTGGGGTTTAAGCGAGCCCTCACCAATTTCAAGGGATTTAGGGGTTCGGGTTTTAAGGGTTCAGGCTTTAAGGTGTAGAAGTGGAGTTTTGGTCTGTAAGCCCGAACAATCCTACAACAAGATAAGCACGGGTAGACCCGGACCTCATGAGCCATGAAAAAGCTTCAACGGCTTAGAGTCATGATCGTTAATCTTAATATGACGCGTTTTAGACCCTTAAAGCCAAACCTGACCGCTGTAGTGCCCTTATATTATGTACCCTTAGGGCAGGAACCCCCCTGGCAGGTGATCGACAATCTCACCGCCACCATCGTGTGCATCAAAATCCTGCAGCGGGTGGTGCCTCACAACCAGGATGCCCGAACTCCTAAACCCGATAAGCCCTGAGCCCTGAAACCCTGACACCCTAAACCCTGAAACCTTCTTAAGTTCTGCCCAAACCGCAAAACCCGCCCAAGTCGAGCGAATTCAGCTTTCCTCCACACGCCCCACCCAGATCCCAATGATCCAAAAGGGGTTGTTGGTTTAGGGTTTAGGGTTTCCAAAGCGCAAGGCACCTTCGACAACGATTGTTGTAGCACTCCTTGTCGCGACCTCAAACTCGATGTTTATCTGCAGGGAATCGAAACCGATTTCAGACGAGTCCTGAGCTTTTCTTATCCGAAAACTGGAAGGTACGGCCCTGATCCACCTACCCCACAAACGTTGCAAGATGTAGAAACGCAGAGAGGACTGGCGCCACAGCTGCGGAGGCACGGGCAGAGCAGGGTTGACCCTGGGAACTTGTTTTCTTCAGTCCGGTTTAGGCTTTACGGTTCCCTTCGCACCACGATGTTGCTCCTGTAGCTTGGCACCTCTGCGAGCCCTGAAATTTCTTTTCGAGGGAAGTGGTTTCGGGTGCAGAATTCCTTAAGGTTCCATAAACTAACTATTTTTCATCTTTCACATACTCCGAAACCTTGTTCCAACTATGAAGCCCCTTATATCTCAGGGTTTCGGGTGGTTACTCCCCAAATCCCTAAACCTCGAAACCCGACAGCCCTAAAGCCCTACAGCCGTAAACCCAACAACCCTAAACACCCGGAGCCTTCAGACCTCTAAAGCTACCAGGGAACCCTGAAAGTAAGGTTTAGGGTTTAGGGGTTTAGGGTTTAGGGTTTAGGGTTTAGGGTTTAGGGTTTAGGGTTTAGGGTTTTAGGGTTTTGGGTTTAGGGTTAAAGAGTGTTAGAGCTGACGACAAGGCGTCGTCGTGGTGGCTGCAAACGCCGGAGGCGCTTGGAGTCCGCCTCTCGCCCCGCTGTTTTTTCTGGCTCTTGCGGTTTTCTTTGAAGGTTCCTTGAAGGTTTCTTATGAAGCTTACTCTTAAGGGTTCAATGCTATATAGGGCCTATAGGGATATGATGAAGGTTCCTTGAAGGGTTCTTATGAAGCTTACTCTTAAGGGTTGTAGGGATCTTACAATAGGCCTCCCTGTTGTTTCTGGCTCTTGGGCCTCTGACAGGCTTCTTTCAAGGGTTCTTTAAGGGGTTCTTCAAATAAGTCTTTAAAGGAGCCTTTAAAGGGTCCTTCAAGGGTTTCTTAAACGGGTCGCGATAAGGGGATACTGTACCATGATGCTATAGGGACTCTAAGGGGTCTTTCCTTATCTTTATCCCACCGGAGATGGCCCCATTTGCAAGCCTCATGGTGTTTTGTACGCAGGTGTCCAAGGGATTCGGCCTGTAATGCGCTAAACCCTAAACCCTGACGCCGAAATTTGCAACATGTGCTCTAAAGGCCCCTGGACCCTAAAGCCAAAACCCTAAACCCTGAACCAAAGGGCAATGATGCCATCCACGGCAATCCCATGTAAGCGCGAATCTCTTGAAAATCTTCGGGGCTGAGCACTCAAACCCAAAGCTAATCCAGACCTCATGAACCCCTATCAGATAACCCGAAACAGGAACAAGAACCATATGTCAAGCCCAGCTGCGAGAACGGAAATCTAATGCACCCAAAATCTCCTTGAGAGTAACTCCCCAAACCCTAAACCCCTATGTTAACCTTTCAGGAAGCCTCAGAGAAACGTCCCGAACCTACTCTTGGAGAGAAAGGATCGGCGATGTGACGACCACCATGCTCTGGATCCAACACAAAGTCTCCACCGCAGGTGACGGGTTGTGTTGCTGTTCGGGGCTTTTGCGGGGTTTAGGGTTCTGAGTTCAGGTGTCGGGCTCATAGGGTTTCAAGAGCTGGGGGGTTGGTTTGATTCCATTGATGGTGTACTTGGAGATACTTGGAGGTTCATGGCTAGTTATAAGTGGGGCAATAAGTAGCGTGACTAAACACAGAAAGCTCATATTACGGGACTTATAACCCTACTTACGACTGCCTATGAACCTCCAAGTAAGTAGGCTCCTCCCTGCGTTGTTCCTGGAAAGGAAGAAAGCCGCGATGGCATGAGTCTAGGCCTATAAACCCTAAACGGAATAGGTTTGTGTGGCTTGGCCGCCTTAAACGGTGTGGGGTGGGGGAACATAAGGCTCGTCGCCATAGTACGATGCACTCGAAGCAACCTTGTCGCAAGATACTACCGCCTATGGGCTATTGCACGGCAAACCCTAAACCCTTAACCCCACCCCTAAACCCTAATCCCTTTAGCCCTCGAAGTCCTAAACATCAGATCCTGAGCGAACCCCTGAGCACTTGAACTGCTGTTGGCTCAATGAGTCTGTTTAGGTTCAGGATTTGGCACCGTTTAGGGTTCAGGGGTTAGGGGTTTAGGGTTTAGGGTTCAGGGTTTCCTATAAGTCGGATCATAAACTGCACACCCATTTGTCAGAATTCGAAAGCCCAACACTGTTAGGGTTTGGAGTGTAGGGTTCTGGGTTTAGGGTCCCTGCTCATGAACTCAACAAAGTGCCCAAGCAGGAATCGTCACGTGGACCTTCGTGCCCTCGATGGTGGCTGGCTTCATCCCTCTCTTCGGAATCTGGTGGCAGGCCGCCGCGATTTCAAAGGTGGGTATATTCACATATGTACGGGATGCAATGAGACACAGCGACGTGTGTTAACACAACAACTTTTCTGTTCACATGATCGAGAGAAACTGAGCGAGAGAGAGAGAGAGAGAGAGAGAGAGAGATAGAGAGAGAGAGAGAGAGAGAGAGAGAGAGAGAGAGAGAGAGAGAGGGAGGGAGAGAGAGAGAGAGAGAGCAGGGGAGAGCAGGGGAGAGAGATGGAGAGTGAGAGACAGTGAGAGACGGAGACCGATTGAGCGAGGGCTCAAAGGTTTCCAAGCTGTTCTTTTCCGGTCAGTTTCGGGCTTCACGGTATGGAGGCTGCTTTCATGCCGCACAGCTTCCAACCGTGAAGCTCTTGCCTTCAGGGCGTTTCATGGCCGTAGACTCTGGACCCTCTTGTCGCGACAAGTTCTGAGCAACGAATGATAAAAGGTCCGAATCAGTTCTTCTAAAATAATGTACCCGCGAAGCCCAGTTCTGGTTACTCAGGCCCCGTATTGCACCACAAACCACATGAATCCCAAACCCGAACTCCCGACACTAGCTAGCTCCAGAAGCCCAAACCTTAAATCCCGCCAGAACGCAAACCCTGAACGCAAAAACCCCGAAGCCCATGGAGCCGGAGCCCGACGATATTTACAAAACCCTTTGTGAAACCCCATAACGCCCTAAAGCCCTCAACCCGAAGACCTAATTCCGCTTGAACAAAGAAGGCCCGGCGGTGTGGCCCGAAGACGGAGGACAACCATGCAGTTCGGGCGTAGAACAGCAGTACGGGTCAGTCACGGCTTAGGTTTAGGGTTTGCGGTTTAGGGTTTAGGGCTTTGTCTTTAGGGTAGACAGTTCGGGTGTAGAATTTAGCAGCTTCAAGAATCCCCGTAAGCCGTGTACACGGGGTGTATTGTCTCGGACTCATGGTTTAGGATTTACGGCCTAGTCTAGGGTCAAGATGTATAGTGTGTAGGGGGCTGCTTTCGCAAGCCATGAGAATACTTCCTAGCGTACGGGTCCTGACTGGAGTTGGAGAGTAGAGTTCAGTGAGGTCGGAGGGTCTGAAGTCTTGGAAGTGTTCCCAAGCGCGCAGTGGCTACGGAACTTGAAATGTAGGGGTTGAAAACCTCAAACCACACTGAACCCTGGTGAGCTTCTTTGGGTTTCAGGGTTTACCGACTTGCAAAGGGCTTCACATGTGTTGTCTCTGCCAAACCTGCTGTGTAAATTGGAGGGTTGGCTCCGAGGGTAGAAAGTTTGGCATTTCCAGGACTGCGAGCACAGGATAGGTTTGCTTGAGCTGTCCGGATGTTGTCTCCAGGTTCTGAAAGCAACGCTGCGAAATAGTCTTCTGGTGATTAAGAGTTCAGTGTTCCGTCGCATTCACTGGAAGCTCAACAGAAAACTCTGTGGTTTAGGGCTTAGTGTCTACATTACCTTCCCCCCCAGCGTTGTCATCCAACCCTCGACTCACGCTGCACATGTACGGCTCGGTGTACCAGACGTGAGAAGGTAGACTATTGAAGCCTAGGCCGCTAGCTGTTAAGCTTACTATCAAACCCTCAGCCAACTTGAAGACCTAAACCCTCTATGAAACCCCAAACCGTGAACCATAAAACCCTGAAGCCCTACAGCCCCAAACCCTGAACCCTAAAACCCTAAAACCCTAAAGCCCAAAAGCCCCAAACCTTAAACCCTAAACCATCCAAGCCCCAGAGAGGACTCGGGAGCACCCGAGCCGTGCGAAATCGTGGCCCCTTGCTTTTAGCCTTTTTTCCATGTAGGGTAGGGTTTAGGGTTAGGGTTCGATTGAGAGGGGATCCTATCCACTTAGACTCGCCATTTCAAGAATACGTTGCGCAAAAACCCGGGAGCCCTGTTCAAACTATCAAGGGCCCAGATTAAGCCCCGAAGCTCTAAGCCCCGGACCCCTAAACCTGAGCCTCCGAGGTGCCCAGGTATCTGATTTCAGAGTTTCAACTGTTTTAGTCCTGGTGGCACCGGGTCGTTTAGGGTTTAGGGTTTTTGCTTTTGAGTTTCCTTTCTTATTCGGAGGTGGGGATTGCAGCTTTGAAATCACTGCGGGCCAAAAGCCGCAACAACTTGAAGTACTGAATCCTATGTACACCGTTTTGGAGGTGGTGCCTGCGCTAGCTTCGGTTTCATCACGTTTCTGGTTTCCATGTTCGTGTTTGAGGAATCCACCGAGAATGTGTTCACAGAGCCGAAACCGATTTTGCCCATGTCGATTTAGGGATTCAGTGCTTCGTGTTCTGGCTTAGGGTCTCGGGTCTGGAAGGTTTTAGGGTTTGGGGCTTTAATTTAGCGCCCACCCACGGAAACCGCAACACCCTCTACTGTGGGATGCTGCCTTCTTCCGCCGCCTCGATCTTGCCTCGATCTTGCCAGTATGCTAGAGATAGAGAAAAGCAGGATTGTCTGGCCAGAGTTTTGGGCTCAGGGTTTCAGGTACTTAAAGGATCATGGGACTTAGTAACGAGGGTTATAACTAGGGTAACTATACTTACAACTACTTATAACCCCAATTAAGGTACTTATAACCTCACTTACTAAGTCCCATTATCCTCCAAGTAGTATGCTAGAGATAGACCAACTAACATAAAGAGGGGGCTACTTGTACGTTGCTCCCGTCCCCGGTCATCGGAGCAAAGCTCCTGCTGTTTCAAGGGAATCCTAAAGCCTGGGGGGCAAAGCCCAACAGTTCAGCCATGTTTAGGGTTTAGGGTAATTGCTCTGCTCTGTTTTACATAGATTGGAAAATGCTCATGACAAGTTATATAAAGAATTAAAACAGAAGGCATTGCATTCATCAAAGACAAACAGGCGACCTGTTCTACGAAGCACGGCCCCCCGGTGCCCACCCAAGGCGCCCAGCCGAAACAGCATCGTCGTGCTAGCCGTTGGCTTCGGCTGCTGGACTCAGGTTTCAGAGAAACAAAATCCCGCCAAGCCCAAACCCTAAACCTTAAACCCCGAACTTCCTGAACCGTAAACTTCCTAAACCCTAAACCCTGCGGAATGATCTAACTGCTTGAGCACTCAAAAGGCCTCCCGAGGCGTTGTACCCCAAGCCCTAAGCCCAAACCGCAAAGTCCACAGCCACACTTATCGAACATGAAGTCCAGACCCCGACAACTTGGAGGTTCATGGGTAGTCAAAGGTAGGGTTTAGGGTTCCTTCAAGGGTTCTGTAGATTTTAGGGCTTAGGGTAGTTATAGGTGGGGTTATAAGTGGGGTAGCTATACTTATAATTCATATTAGGAGACTTACAACCCCACTTAAAACTACCAATGAACCTTCAAGACTGCCTAATGAACCCCTTAAGCAAGGTAGGAGTATGTGGTGCGCGGTGTGCGTTTTCAGACAGGACTGGCTTGAGGGACTTGTTCAAACTGTGGGAGACTGCAGTGCACATAGGCTACGGAGTTGTGGGGAAGCCCTACTCAGGTTAAGAGTCTGCTTTTTGTTGAGAACTTTGACGCTGTGATTTTGCCAAAAGCATTATCTTCAAGCCCAGCCTTGAGGAAACCGTACCACCAGATGTCTCACGTGTGCGCCACGAGCATGCCAACTTTCTTTGTTCGGATTGATTGGCAGCCACAAGCCACGAGTACCTGCGCTAGCCGCTAGTTTCTCCGTTGAGGGTGCTTGGCTTCCACGTGACATGTAAGCTTCCCCATGATGTCCCCTAGACCCGCAAAACCCTAAACCCTAAACCCAAAACCCCAACACCCCAAAACCCGCAACCCTGGCCGGGATTTCAGATTGGTTGCCGCTCTTCAAGCAAGCCGAAACCATCCGAAAAGCTAAGCTCCGAAGCAGAAACTGTCAGTGTCCACCTCCCCCCGCACCAAGAAAGCCGAAGTTTTCAACCCTCACTCTAAGCTCCTTGTCACCTCCCCGCACCATGAATGCCGAAATCTTAAGCCCTCTAAGCTCCAACCGGACTCTAATCCTACTTCCCCCCACCAAGAAAGCCGAGTTTTTCAAGCCTCTAAGCTCCAACCGGACTCTAATCCTACTTCCCCTCACCAAGAAAGCCGAGTTTTTCAAGCCTCTAAGCTCCAACCGGACTCTAATCCTACTTCCCCCCACCAAGAAAGCCGAGTTTTTCAAGCCTCTAAGCTCCAACCGGACTCTAATCCTACTTCCCCCCACCAAGAAAGCCGAGTTTTTCAAGCCTCTAAGCTCCAACCGGACTCTAATCCTACTTCCCCCCACCAAGAAAGCCGAGTTTTTCAAGCCTCTAAGCTCCAACCGGACTCTAATCCTACTTCCCCCCACCAAGAAAGCCGAGTTTTTCAAGCCTCTAAGCTCCAACCGGACTCTAATCCTACTTCCCCCCACCAAGAAAGCCGAGTTTTTCAAGCCTCTAAGCTCCAACCGGACTCTAATCCTACTTCCCCCCACCAAGAAAGCCGAGTTTTTCAAGCCTCTAAGCTCCAACCGGACTCTAATCCTACTTCCCCCCCACCAAGAAAGCCGAGTTTTTCAAGCCTCTAAGCTCCAACCGGACTCTAATCCTACTTCCCCCCACCAAGAAAGCCTAGTTTTTCAAGCCTCTAAGCTCCAACCGGACTCTAATCCTACTTCCCCCAACCAAGAAAGCCGAGTTTTTCAAGCCTCTGAGCTCCAACCGGACTCTAATCCTACTTCCCCCCACCAAGAAAGCAGAGTTTTTCAAGCCTCTAAGCTCCAACCGGACTCTAATCCTACTTCCCGCCACCAAGAAAGCCGAGATTTTCAAGCCTCTAAGCTCCAACCGGACTCTAATCCTACTTCGCCCCACCAAGAAAGCAGAGTTTTTCAAGCCTCTAAGCTCCAGCCGGACTCTAATCCTACTTCCCCCCACCAAGAAAGCAGAGTTTTTCAAGCCTCTAAGCTCCAACCGGGCTCTAATCCTACTTCCCCCCACCAAGAAAGCCAAGTTTTTCAAGCCTCTAAGCTCCAACCGGACTCTAATCCTCTTCCCCCCACCAAGAAAGCCGAGTTTTTCAAGCCTCTAAGCTCCAACCGGAATTTAATCCTACTTCCCCCCACCAAGAAAGCCGAGTTTTTCAAGCCTCTAAGCTCCAACCGGACTCTAATCCTACTTCCCCCCACCAAGAAACCCGAGTTTTTCAAGCCTCTGAGCTCCAACCGGACTCTAATCCTACTTCCCCCCACCAAGAAAGCAGAGTTTTTCAAGCCTCTAAGCTCCAACCGGACTCTAATCCTACTTCCCCCCACCAAGAAAGCCGAGATTTTCAAGCCTCTAAGCTCCAACCGGACTCTAATCCTACTTCCCCCCACCAAGAAAGCCGAGTTTTTCAAGCCTCCAAGCTCCAACCGGACTCTAATCCTACTTCCCCCCCACCAAGAAAGCCGAGTTTTTCAAGCCTCTAAGCTCCAACCGGACTCTAATCTTACTTCCCCCCACCAAGAAAGCCGAGTTTTTCAAGCCTCTAAGCTCCAACCGGACTCTAATCCTACTTCCCGCCACCAAGAAAGCCGAGTTTTCCAAGCCTCTAAGCTCCAACCGGACTCTAATCCTACTTCCCCCCACCAAGAAAGCCGAGATTTTCAAGCCTCTAAGCTCCAACCGGAACCTAATCCTACTTCCCCCCACCAAGAAAGCAGAGTTTTTCAAGCCTCTAAGCTCCAACCGGAACCTAATCCTACTTCCCCCCACCAAGAAAGCCGACTTTTTCAAGCCTCTAAGCTCCAACCGGACTCTAATCCTACTTCCCCCCACCAAGAAAGCCGAGTTTTTCAAGCCTCTAAGCTCCAACCGGACTCTAATCCTACTTGCCGAGTCTTTCAAGCCTCTAAGCTCCAACCGGACTCTAATCCTACTTCCCCCCACCGAGAAAGCCGAGTTTTTCAAGCCTCTAAGCTCCAACCGGACTCTAATCCTACTTCCCCCCCCCAAGAAAGCAGAGTTTTTCAAGCCTCTAAGCTCCAACCGGACTCTAATCCTACTTCCCCCCACCAAGAAAGCCGAGTTTTTCAAGCCTCTAAAGCTCCAACCGGACTCTAATCCTACTTCCCCCCACCGAGAAAGCCGAGTTTTTCAAGCCTCTAAGCTCCAACCGATCCTGCTCCCGCCACCAAGAAAGCCGAGTTTCTCCTCCAAGCTACTTTCCCCCACCCAGAGAGCCTCTAAGCTCCAACCGACTCTAATCCTACTTCCCCCCACCAAAGAAAGCCGGTTTTTCAAGCCTCAAGCTCTCTAACTTCCCCCCACCGAGAAAGCCGAGTTTTTCAAGCCTCTAAGCTCCAACCGGACTCTAATCCTACTTCCCCCCACCAAGAAAGCCAAGTTTTTCAAGCCTCTAAGCTCCAACCGGACTCTAGCTACTTCCCGCCACCAAGAAAGCCGAGATTTTCAAGCCTCTAAGCTCCAACCGGACTCTAATCCTACTTCCCCCCCTACCAAGAAAGCCGAGTCTTTCAAGCCTCTAAGCTCCAACCGGACTCTAATCCTACTTCCCCCCACCAAGAAAGCCGAGTTTTTCAAGCCTCTAAGCTCCAACCGGACTCTAATCCTACTTCCCGCCACCAAGAAAGCCGAGTTTTTCAAGCCTCTAAGCTCCAACCGGACTCTAATCTTACTTCCCCCCACCAAGAAAGCAGAGTTTGTCAAGCCTCTAAGCTCCAACCGGACTCTAATCCTACTTCCCGCCACCAAGAAAGCAGAGTTTTTCAAGCCTCTAAGCTCCAACCGGACTCTAATCCTATTTCCACCCACCAAGAAAGCCGAGTTTTTCAAGCCTCTAAGCTCCAACCGGACTCTAATCCTACTTCCCCCCACCAAGAAAGCCGAGTTTTTCAAGCCTCTAAGCTCCAACCGGACTCTAATCCTACTTCCCCCACCAAGAAAGCCGAGTTTTTCAAGCCTCTAAGCTGCAACCGGACTCTAATCCTACTTCCCGCCACCAAGAAAGCCGAGTTTTTCAAGCCTCTAAGCTCCAACCGGACTCTAATCCTACTTCCCCCCACCAAGAAAGCCGAGTTTTTCAAGCCTCTAAGCTCCAACCGGACTCTAATCCTACTTCCCCCCACCGAGAAAGCAGAGTTTTTCAAGCCTCTAAGCTCCAACCGGACTCTAATCCTACTTCCCCCCACCAAGAAAGCCAAGTTTTTCAAGCCTCTAAGCTCCAACCGGACTCTAGCTACTTCCCGCCACCAAGAAAGCCGAGATTTTCAAGCCTCTAAGCTCCAACCGGACTCTAATCCTACTTCCCCCCCTACCAAGAAAGCCGAGTCTTTCAAGCCTCTAAGCTCCAACCGGACTCTAATCCTACTTCCCCCCACCAAGAAAGCCGAGTTTTTCAAGCCTCTAAGCTCCAACCGGACTCTAATCCTACTTCCCGCCACCAAGAAAGCCGAGTTTTTCAAGCCTCTAAGCTCCAACCGGACTCTAATCTTACTTCCCCCCACCAAGAAAGCAGAGTTTGTCAAGCCTCTAAGCTCCAACCGGACTCTAATCCTACTTCCCGCCACCAAGAAAGCAGAGTTTTTCAAGCCTCTAAGCTCCAACCGGACTCTAATCCTATTTCCACCCACCAAGAAAGCCGAGTTTTTCAAGCCTCTAAGCTCCAACCGGACTCTAATCCTACTTCAAACAACAAACAAAAAGAACCCACCAGAAGAGCCGAGTTTTTCAAGCCTCTACGGCTCCAACCGGACTCTAATAATCCACTTCCCCGCCACCCAGAAAGCCGGTTTTCAAAGCCTCTAAGCTCCAACCTGACCTCTAATCCTACTTCCCCCCAACCAGAAAGCCGATTTTTGAAGCCTCCAAGCTCCAACGCTGGTACCCCCTCTAATCCTATTCCCCCCCCACCAAGAAAGCCGATTTTTTTCAAGCCTCTTAAGCTCCAAACCGGAACTCTAATCCTACTTTTTCCCCTCACCAGAAAAGCCGAGTATTTTCAATCCTCAAGCTCCACGGACTCTAATCTACTTCCCCCCACCAAGAAAGCCGAGTTTTTCAAGCCTCAAGCTCCAACCGGACTCTACTCCTACTTCCCCCACCAAGAAAGCCGAGTTTTTCAAGCCTCTAAGCTCCAACCGGACTCTAATCCTACTTCCCGCCACCAAGAAAGCCGAGTTTTTCAAGCCTCTAAGCTCCAACCGGACTCTAATCTTACTTCCCCCCACCAAGAAAGCAGAGTTTTTCAAGCCTCTGAGCTCCAACCGGACTCTACTCCTACTTCCCCCCACCAAGAAAGCCGAGTTTTTCAAGCCTCTAAGCTCCAACCGGACTCTAATCCTACTTCCCGCCACCAAGAAAGCCGAGATTTTCAAGCCTCTAAGCTCCAACCGGACTCTAATCCTACTTCCCCCCACCAAGAAAGCAGAGTTTTTCAAGCCTCTAAGCTCCAGCCGGACTCTAATCCTACTTCCCCCCACCAAGAAAGCAGAGTTTTTCAAGCCTCTAAGCTCCAACCGGGCTCTAATCCTACTTCCCCCCACCAAGAAAGCCAAGTTTTTCAAGCCTCTAAGCTCCAACCGGACTCTAATCCTCTTCCCCCCACCAAGAAAGCCGAGTTTTTCAAGCCTCTAAGCTCCAACCGGAATTTAATCCTACTTCCCCCCACCAAGAAAGCCGAGTTTTTCAAGCCTCTAAGCTCCAACCGGACTCTAATCCTACTTCCCCCCACCAAGAAACCCGAGTTTTTCAAGCCTCTGAGCTCCAACCGGACTCTAATCCTACTTCCCCCCACCAAGAAAGCAGAGTTTTTCAAGCCTCTAAGCTCCAACCGGACTCTAATCCTACTTCCCCCCACCAAGAAAGCCGAGATTTTCAAGCCTCTAAGCTCCAACCGGACTCTAATCCTACTTCCCCCCACCAAGAAAGCCGAGTTTTTCAAGCCTCCAAGCTCCAACCGGACTCTAATCCTACTTCCCCCCCACCAAGAAAGCCGAGTTTTTCAAGCCTCTAAGCTCCAACCGGACTCTAATCTTACTTCCCCCCACCAAGAAAGCCGAGTTTTTCAAGCCTCTAAGCTCCAACCGGACTCTAATCCTACTTCCCGCCACCAAGAAAGCCGAGTTTTCCAAGCCTCTAAGCTCCAACCGGACTCTAATCCTACTTCCCCCCACCAAGAAAGCCGAGATTTTCAAGCCTCTAAGCTCCAACCGGAACCTAATCCTACTTCCCCCCACCAAGAAAGCAGAGTTTTTCAAGCCTCTAAGCTCCAACCGGAACCTAATCCTACTTCCCCCCACCAAGAAAGCCGACTTTTTCAAGCCTCTAAGCTCCAACCGGACTCTAATCCTACTTCCCCCCACCAAGAAAGCCGAGTTTTTCAAGCCTCTAAGCTCCAACCGGACTCTAATCCTACTTGCCGAGTCTTTCAAGCCTCTAAGCTCCAACCGGACTCTAATCCTACTTCCCCCCACCGAGAAAGCCGAGTTTTTCAAGCCTCTAAGCTCCAACCGGACTCTAATCCTGCTTCCCGCCACCAAGAAAGCCGAGTTTTTCAAGCCTCTAAGCTCCAACCGGACTCTAATCCTACTTTCCCCCACCAAGAAAGCCGAGTTTTTCAAGCCTCTAAGCTCCAACCGGACTCTAATCCTACTTCCCCCCACCAAGAAAGCCGAGTTTTTCAAGCCTCTAAGCTCCAACCGGACTCTAAACTTCCTTCAAGCCACCAAGAAAGCCAAGTTTTTCAAGCCTCTAAGCTCCAACCGGACTCTAATCCTACTAAAGCCAAAGCCGAGATTTTCAAGCCTCTAAGCTCCAACCGGACTCTAATCCTACTTCCCCCCCTACCAAGAAAGCCGAGTCTTTCAAGCCTCTAAGCTCCAACCGGACTCTAATCCTACTTCCCCCCACCAAGAAAGCCGAGTTTTTCAAGCCTCCAAGCTCCAACCGGACTCTAATCCTACTTCCCCCCACCAAGAAAGCCGAGTTTTTCAAGCCTCTAAGCTCCAACCGGACTCTAATCTTACTTCCCCCCACCAAGAAAGCCGAGTTTTTCAAGCCTCTAAGCTCCAACCGGACTCTAATCCTACTTCCCGCCACCAAGAAAGCCGAGTTTTCCAAGCCTCTAAGCTCCAACCGGACTCTAATCCTACTTCCCCCCACCAAGAAAGCCGAGATTTTCAAGCCTCTAAGCTCCAACCGGAACCTAATCCTACTTCCCCCCACCAAGAAAGCAGAGTTTTTCAAGCCTCTAAGCTCCAACCGGACTCTAATCCTACTTCCCCCCACCAAGAAAGCCGACTTTTTCAAGCCTCTAAGCTCCAACCGGACTCTAATCCTACTTCCCCCCACCAAGAAAGCCGAGTTTTTCAAGCCTCTAAGCTCCAACCGGACTCTAATCCTGCTTCCCGCCACCAAGAAAGCCGATTTTTTCAAGCCTCTAAGCTCCAACCGGACTCTAATCCTATTTCCCGCCTCCAAGAAAGCCGAGTTTTTCAAGCCTCTAAGCTCCAACCGGACTCCAATCCGAATCTGAGGCTGCATTCTCATGGTTCCGATCGTGAAGATGGCCCCTTGGCCTCCGAACGTTTGCTTGCTGGTCAGGCTGTGGAGTCTTGAGTTACTTGGAGGTTCATGGGTAGTTATCAGTGGGGTTTCAAGTAGGGTAAGTATATACTTCAAACTCCTGTTAGGGGACTTATAACCCTACTAAAAACTACCTATGAACCTACAAGTAGGGTTTGGGTGGATACACTTTATGGGATAATATTACCCACTATAGAACTGAAAGTGTAAACTTTTTGAGGCTTAGGAACTCAGCAACTAGGTGAGTTAGGGTATAGGGCCTCTAAGTTCGTGGGAACCGAAAGCCTTTCAGGTCACAGGCCTGCCGCCCTACCTGGGCATGATGATGGCGCTGGGCACATTCTGGCTCGTGCACCCCGGCTGCTTGATGGGGAGGATGAGGATGACAGGATGACGATGAGTATTGAATTATGGTGATGTTCTGCAAATTCGGCATTTGTTTTTTAATTTACTAGCCGTTTCATTAACAGTGCTTTGCCTTCATTGTGATGATATTGAACACGGAGATTAACAGTGATTAATCCTAAACCCTAAAAGGAACCTGTCAAGGAACCCCCTATAAGGGAACCCCCAGCTCCAAGCTCCAAACCCTAATCCCAAAAGCCTGCACCCCAAACCCCCCAAAAAGAAGAAGAGCCGAGGACAAAGATTAACCCTAAACCCTAAAATGAACCCTTCAAGGAACCCCAAGCCCCAAACCCCCCCCAAAAAAAGAGCCGAGGACAGAGATCTGCGACCTCGGCGCCGAAGTGGCCGCCAGGGATTTGGAGGCGCCCGCGGACCCGGAGGCGACCGGGGAGGGTCCTTTTTTTGGGGGGTGGCTTTTGAGTGGGCGTTTCTAGAGTTTTGTTGGGGGTTTGTAGGGGGCTTGGGGTTTTGGTTCAGGGTTTACGGTTTGGGGGCTTTAGGGGTTTAGGGTTTTAGGATTATATTTGTTTTTTGGAATATAATGATTTCAGGGTTTCTAGGGCTTCAGGGTTTTAGTGCTTCGGGTTTTGATTTAGCGATTTCGGGTTTACGTTGTAGTAGCTGAGGGTTCAGGGGTTTGGACGTTTAGGCTTTGAACCCGGAGGCGCTAACTCTGCGGGGCTCAAGACTTTGGTTTCGGTGGTTTGAAGCGTCTGCTTCTTGGGGGCTTGTGTGCTCTTTGTGAGCGAAGGGATGTTCGTTGGATTTAGGGGCCCTAGTGGCTTTTGGATGCGCATTGGGTGTTAGGGGTTTAGCAAATTAAGTCTTCGGTGTTAGAGGTTCATTGCGGGGCAGTGCTTAGGGCTCAGAGGGCTCAGGGATTGAGGGCTGGGTGCTTGGAGTTTGGAGGTTTTGGTCTTTGGGTTTCCTCTGTTCCCGTGTGGTAAGATTTTGGAGCTTTCGTGCGGGTGGTGCTTTTCGTGGCTTTGCTTGAGCTTGCCTTTGACCGTTTCTGGTTCTGTGTCGGTTTGAGGTTTGAGGTTGTTGCTGGGCACGGGCCTGTGTTAGTCATGTTGTTTTCATTCAAAGACTCGCGGGCTACTGTACTTATTAGGAGGTCGTCGAGAAGGTTTCTGAGCTGTTTTGCGGCTCTTTGTCCGGAAGCTGCTTTGTACAGTGACCCTCCGAACTCATAGCTGCCGGCTTCTTGGGGCTTATGGTCTGAGCGGTGATGAGCTCCTCTGCAGGGCCCAGCGCACCACTCCAGAAAGGGCGTGCCAGCGGCACTGCACAAGGCGACGCTTCCGACTGGCTCAGGGTTGCTGTATCAGTAAGTCTCGTGTTGGAAAGATACCCGAAGGATTTTAATTCCGTAGGCCCAAAGCCAAGGTCCGACAAAAAGAGCCGGAAAGCCCGAAACTCCGAAATCTCGAGAAAAAACCGAGCTTAGTAGGAGGGCGGAATATGGGGACCACAAGAACGTGCGATACAGGGATGATTACAGTGATCAAAACACTAAACCCTAAGCCCACTCCACTTTCAGCGCCAGCAAGTTGGGGAAGGTTTGCGGCTTTCAAAGGCCCAAGCCCTGCTCTCTGCTCCAGACGTAATCCTGCAACCCAAGCCCTAAACCCCATAATTACATCCTAAACATTAAGCGGAAAAGAGTCGAGAAGGCTCCAACAAACTCCGCAACCACTCTTCCGTACCATGAAAGCCTACCGTGTGAAGCTCCAAGCCCAGCCGCTAAGTATACACGTGATCCCTCCTGCTTCGCATCGAATCGCTAAGGCTTGAACCAAGAGGCAGAATTTCAAGGTCTGAATGATTGGAAGAAAATCCCGTTATAGTCACCAAATATCGCTCATGGTTGTTGATGATGATGATGATGATGATGTAAGTTTAGTCATTTAGACCCCCTCTGTCAGGAGTTTACCCCGAAGTCTGAGCTCTGCAGTTTCGGATTTCTCGGCTTCGGGTCACAACACCTGTGCCAGGTGGATATCAGCAGTTTGCTGCAGGGCGCCCAGGGAAAGATCCATGGAACCGGGGATCGCCAAAACGGGTTTAGGGTTTAGCCGAAAGCAAGCACCATATTCATCAATTAATAGACGTTAGCCTCTAAGCCAAAAGGTATATCATTCGTTATGCGCACTTGAAGCCTACCGGAAAGGAATTCGGAGACATTTCCATCCGTGTGCAGTTACAGCAGGGGCTACAACTTGGTGGGTGAGTAGGCAACCTTTTGCCTTTTTGGATTCATCTAAGTTTGGAAGGTTAACCGTAAACTTGGTCTGGGTTAGGGCACTGAGCCCCTATACTTCCCCAAATCATAATAGTAATTCCTAATCTAGAAACCCTACATTCTACTATATATATATATATATATACATATAGGTACTTTGGACCCTTAAAGCCATGGACCTTGAGGTTTTTTACCGGAGTGCTGCTGGGTGTCGCGGTCCTCGAAGCCGCCCAGGCGTGGGGCGCAGGGGCGGGTTTTCGGGTTTAGAGCTTAGGGTTTCCAAGCCGCAGCCCTAGGGTTCAGGGCTTCGGCTTGAAAACCCTAAGGCCTAAACCCTGAAACGTTCTGACTTGGGGTTTGATGAGAGATTCGAAGCTATGGTTCGCAGCTTATAGGGTCTACGATTCAGTGCTTCAGTTTAGAGTATGGGATTTGGGGTGTGTGTTTCTGGGTTTTGGGGTGTAGGTTCAAGGGTTTGGGTTTGGAGGGCTTTAGGGTTGAGCAAGAACGTGTACGCAGGGCAAAAGATGCTCGTAAAGAATCAACTTTTGAGGCTTCGCGATAGAAACAGAACCCTAGACCCCTACCTGGACCCCAAAACTATGTAGAATAATGGCCCTTTGTAGGTTTTTGGCCATTATTTCTACCTACTTTTGGGGGTCTAGGTCGCCCCGAAGCCCTAATCATAATAGTCCGGAACCCCGGAACCCTGGGTCAAGATTCGAAGCTATCCTGAAGCCACCACCCTAAGCCCCTAAGCCCTCAAAACATAAGCCGTAAGCATCAAATCCGTAAAAGCCTAAACCATGAGCCCTAACCCCTTGATCCATAAACAAGTCCTAAATTACACCTAAGCCCCCCCAAAGCCCTAATTCTAAATCCCTATAAACCCCAACCCCTAAGGCCTACATCCCTAGGCCTTGCAGCGCCAAAACCCTAAGCTTCTTATCCCTCAGGCCCAAACCCCCGAAGCCCTAAACCCGCAAACCGCAAAGACGTACGTAATAGAGGAGGCTTAAATAGTTGCCAATGCTATTCGGAGGGCTCCTGATTACAACCTTAGGAAAAATATCACAAAACCCGTATTCTAAATATTAAGGCCCCTATATCATAGTACCCTTATAGATCCCTTATCGTAGCCCTTATATACCACCTTTAAAGGCACCCTACTCGAATCATTAATGCCCCCACAGTAGCTCCCGAGCGCCAAGCCTAATCTCTAAATCCCTAAACTCCAAACCCCTAAGCCCTACAGCCTTAGGCCTTAAACCACTAAAACCCGAAGCTCATTACCCGTAAGGCCCAAGCCCCAAATCCCTAAACCCGCAAAGACGCAGCTCCCGCGCCAAGAGCCGCCCTTAAATACCCCCTTTACAGGAACCCTACTCGAATCATTAAGGGCCCCACAGTAACTCCCCCCGCGTTCAGAGCCTGGGGAGGTCTTGAGCCGCTACTCGAAGTTCATGCGGGAAGTCACCATGGACAGCGACGCGGCTGCACGGAAGAACCCAGCAGCTCAATCTCCTCAGAGCTTTTATGGGGACTTTGAGAACAATACCTGCAAAAGAATAGGAAGGGAACTTTTGTGGGGGCTTTGATGGCCTCAACTGAGTTCTAAAATGCCAAAAAAAGCAATAAACATGGAATTTCATACAGATTCTGAGAGCCCCTAAATCCGACATCCCGTGGACCCGCAAAGCCACCTTGAAGCGGCCGAGATGAACTCTTCCTTTCCGCCCTCCTCGGTGCCTCGTCGGCTGTAGTGGACAACGTGCCGCTGGTGCAGGCTCTCGAGGGCTTCCTTGAGGGGTTCTTTTAAGGCCTTAGGGTTCCCATGGGTGTTTCCGCAGGCCGGGTGGGTTTCAGGGGGCTCAGTAGTGGGGTTGGAGGGCTCTTGGTCTCTGGGATTTTCTGGCCCAGTGGGCTTTAGGAGGGGAGAGGTTTTCCTTTTAATTGTGGTAGCTGTTGAGCTCTGGTTAGAATGGGAGTTAGGAGTTAAGGTTTAGGGCTTCAGTTTAGGGTTTATAGGTTCTGGGCTGTTAAGTTTCTGGGTTCACAACGAGCCCTAAAGCCCTAAGCTGTGGGCTGGAGGCTGGTTTTGGTATGGTGGGGCGTCCGGGTTGAGGACTTTGCTTTCGATTCTGGGGTTTGGGATCCCTAAACCCTATAAATCTTAGACGATTTGGCCGCAAATGGTTTCGATTGCGAAGGACAAAGCTGTACTGTATGTGTGGCGAGATGAGGAGGGGTTCCATTGTAGGATGATCAGATTCTGGTGTCTTGGCTTTAGACTTTACCCTGGACCCTAAACCCGTCATAAACCTCAAAACCCTAAACCCTGAATCCTTAAAATCCTAAACCCTAAAACCCCCCAAACCCCTAAAACCCTAAACCCTGAACCTGGAACTTTGGAATTTTCAGACGGGGTACAATAATTGGACCATGACTGCTCGTGTTCCGACGGCCAGGCCTCCATCGAAATGTTCGAGGCACTGTGTGGGCGAGCCACGGTTCAGGGTTTAGGGGTTTCGGGGTTTAGGGTTTTGAGGTTTAGGGGTTTAGGGTTTAGGTTTTTAGGGTTTAGGGGTTCAGGGGTTTGGGGTTTAGGGGTTTGGGGTTTAGGGTTTAGGGTTTTAGGGTTTAGGACAAAGGCGAGAAACCCGACATACCTGATGCTCACAGGATCTTGCTGAAGATAGGCCTTGAAGAACGCACCCTAAACCCTGATTCCTGAAACCTACACCTTAATAAACTGTGTTCACGAAACACAAAGGTCCTGTTAGTTTCAACTGCAAATCTCGATATGGTTTCTGCTCGGCATGAAGGATGTTTTTTGTTTTCCTTGCATGCAGCACAATAGCAGCTGTTTTCGTCTGTTGCTTTTGCAACATCCGGAGTTGAGGCCGGAAGGACACAGGAACAAGCACAATGGCCCTAGACCACTACGTGCTCAAACCCACGCCTAAGCCCTGCTACATGCGGTGCCTTATTGATTACGGAGAGCCCAACTGAAGAAGGCCTTGGGATGTTGAGCTTCGGTGTTGAGGTCAGGAGTTTTCCAAGTACAGATGTGGGTGGGGGGGGGGGGGTTGGGGCACCGAAACATGTGTGGTCGCAAGTGTTTCAGAGTTGAGAGTCCTTGAAAGCTATGCATTCCAACTAGACCCCACCACTTGAAAGCAGCCGGAGAGCAACGGAGGAGCCAATGGACAATCCACTGTGGCAGCTCGTCGCCTTGGGTGCTGGCACAGGTGCAGGGCGCAATCATCCCTAAAGCCCTAAACCCTAACGCCCAAACCCCAAACCCTTGAGAGTGCACGTCAGTCATACCAGCCGCATCCCCCAAAGCTTGGATTCCATAAGCTGCTATGTTATCATGGACCCTTGTTGACACGCTGGAGGATTTAATTGCGGTTTGTGGCTTATCAGTGAGGGTTTGAGAGTTTGGGGTTCAGGGCTTGCAGGGTTTCATAGGCTTGCAAGGTTTCAGGGGTTTGGGGTTATGTGGAGACAGCTTTCCATTACCAGCAAAACCCTAAACCCTAAACTGTTACGGTTGATGATATAATTCCTGCATTACCTTATTGACCCTCGACTATGGGGATTTGGGTATATTCCTTATTATGGGTAATGCAGGGATGACATCATCAACAGTATGACGCCTGTCCTTCCCCCGGGGCCCTGGCATCCGGAAGCCATGAACCCCGAAACCTGGGACCGGAAAAGCCGGGGGTTTAGGGTTTAGGTCCCCATGAAACTTAATTATGTATGGTAGCCTTCAAAGTAACTCTAAAACCCCCATAGCAACCCTGAGATGGCTCCAAATGCGAAGCCCAAAAGGTCCGAAGCTCTAGAGTAAACCTTAAAAGCCCCCTGCACCCGCAGCCTTCTAAGACCACGCAGGAACACTCAAGACGACAAAAGCCCGCACCCGAAGAGAGCCCAAGCCATCAATCAAAGACCCGAGAAGCCAAATATCCCTAAACCTTCGAACGCTTGTGGAACTGCCTACCCTCTGAACTCCCTGAACTTATAGTAGCTCAAACCCCTTGCGGTAATTCTTGCGGTAACCCTGAAGTTATAAGCAACAGAAGGCTGCCTGCACCCCACCCCTGCAGGTGGCTCCATGCTTGCCGTTGGAAGCGTTGCAGGCTCGAAGCATACTTGGAGGTTCATGGGTAGTGATAAGTGGTGTTATAAGTCCCCTAATATGAGTTATAAGTATGGTGACCCTACTTATACCCCCACCTATAACTGCCCATGAGCCTCCAAGTACTTTCTGTCCAACAGGTCTCTACGGAGTGTTATGGGGTTGCTGCGACGGGTTTTAAGGCTTACACGTTGAGCCTTATAAGGGTTGAGTTGGTAATAAGGGCTTTGAGAGGCGCTCAACTCCACAGCCTCCGCCCTAAACCCTAAACCCCTTTGTAGAGCCCTTGGATAGATCCCTTTGAAGGAACCCTTATAGGTCCCCTTTATAAGGAGCCCTGAAGCGAGCAAGGCGTGACCTTGATGGGCCTGGAGGGCGTCGGATTCCTCTGGCATCCCGGCACTCTCTAAAGGAGTTCAGGGGTCGAAGAAAGGGCCTTAATAATGATAAGAACACTAATATTAATAATGATGATACTAATACCAACAATATAAGCAATAACAATACCATTAATCATACTGTTAATATTAATGTTTTTTTCCTTAGGGTTCCTGCTTTAAGGCCGATGGATTGGGTTTTTTTTTTTTGGTTTAGGGGCTTCTGGGAAGGATCCCAAGGAACGGTTTAGGGTTTAGGGGTTTAGGGTTTAAGCGATGGTCATTTTTCTGGCATTCTGTGATGGTTTAGGGATGAGCAAGCGGACCAATGTAGCCTATATCTTAGTTTCCTTTTCACGGGACCTCTGGAATCAACAGCAAGAAGCCCCCCATGGTAAGCTGTTGTCGTAAAACCTTAAGATCTATTATCGACCTGAACACCCTGATGCCTTTTAGGGTCTAGGGTTTAGGGTTTAGAGGGTTTAGGTTAGGGTTTTAGGGTTTAGGATTTAGGCAAAACATCCTCGGGCCGAACGATTCTAGAGTCCTTTAGTTAAAGACTCAGGTATGCCAAGCGCATTTCCCCTTGGGCTGCCCTTGGCTTCATCCTTGGGTTGGGAACCTTCGCGTTGCAGCAGGCGATCTTTGCATAGGCCCGGAGAGAGGGGAGTCAGACGAAGGTTCGCGGTTTAGGGTTTAGGGTTTAGTGTTTAGGGACATCTTTTTCAGATTTGGCCGAAGTATCGTATAGTTGTTCACCAAGGTTCTGGGACATTTTTGTTCAGAATTGGCCGAAGTATCGTATAGTTGTTCACCAAGGTTCTGGGACATAATTTTTGTTCAGATTTGACCGAAGTATCGTATAGTTGTTCACCAAGGTTCTGGGACATAATTTTTTTTCAGAATTGGGACATAATTTTTTTTCAGAATTGGCCGAAGTATCGTATAGTTGTTCCCAAGGTTCTGGGACATATGTTTTTCAGATTTGGCCGAAGTATTGTATAGTTGTTCACCAATAGTTGTTCTGGCCCATAGTTCACCAAGTTCTGGGTTCAGAATTGGCCGAAGTATCGTATCGTTGTTCACCCAGGTTCTGGGACATAATTTTTTCAGATTGACCGAAGTATCGTATAGTTGTTCACCAAGGTTCTGGGACATAATTTTTTTCAGAATTGGCCGAAGTATCGTATAGTTGTTGGTTCTGGACATAATTTTTTTCGTATAGTTGTTCACCAAGGTTTGGTTCAGAAAGTATCGTATAGTTGTTCACCAAGGTTCTGGGACATAATTTTTTTTCAGAATTGGCCGAAGTATCGTATAGTTGTTCACCAAGGTTCTGGGACATATGTTTTTTCAGAATTGGCCGAAGTATCGTATAGTTGTTCACCAAGGTTCTGGGACATAATTTTTTTCAGAATTGGCCGAAGTATCGTATAGTTGTTCACCAAGGTTCTGGGACATATTTTTTTCAGATTTGGCCGAAGTATTGTATAGTTGTTCACCAAGGTTCTGGGACATATTTTTTGTTCAGAATTGGCCGAAGTATCGTATAGTTGTTCACCAAGGTTCTGGGACATATTTTTTGTTCAGAATTGGCCGAAGTATCGTATAGTTGTTCACCAAGGTTCTGGGACATTTTTTTTTCAGATTTGGCCGAAGTATCGTATAGTTGTTCACCAAGGTTCTGGGACATAATTTTTTCAGATTTGGCCGAAGTATCGTATAGTTGTTCACCAAGGTTCTGGGACATATTTTTTTTCAGATTTGGCCGAAGTATCGTATAGTTGTTCACCAAGGTTCTGGGACATAATTTTTTCAGAATTGGCCGAAGTATCGTATAGTTGTTCACCAAGGTTCTGGGACATAATTTTTTCAGAATTGGCCGAAGTATCGTATAGTTGTTCACCAAGGTTCTGGGACATTTGTTTTTCAGATTTGGCCGAAGTATCGTATAGTTGTTCACCAAGGTTCTGGGACATATTTTTTCAGATTTGGCCGAAGTATCGTATAGTTGTTCACCAAGGTTCTGGGACATTTTTTTCAGATTTGGCCGAAGTATCGTATAGTTGTTCACCAAGGTTCTGGGACATAATTTTTTCAGATTTGGCCGAAGTATCGTATAGTTGTTCACCAAGGTTCTGGGACATAATTTTTTTCAGAATTGGCCGAGGTATCGTATAGTTGTTCACCAAGGTTCTGGGACATATTTTTTTCAGGTTTGGTCGAAGTATCGTATAGTTGTTCACCAAGGTTCTGGGACATAATTTTTTTCAGATTTGGCCGAAGTATCGTATAGTTGTTCGGTTTTGGGGTAGATATTCGTATAATTAATGCTTATGGACTTATAGGGCGGTAAGGGCAGATTACTACAGGTCATCGAAGAGAGGGGCAGAAAGTCTGACGGCTGTTTTTCTCAACCGTTTTGTAGGGTTTTAGGATTCTTGCCGGCTGTTGGGCTCCGTCGGTTTGCGGGCTTGGAGGCCATAAAGTTTGGGTACAAGATGTCAGGGTAGGACCGGCGATGCTCACAGAGCGCCGGGGCTCAACAGGAGAGGATGAGTTTGAAGAATAGGACACCTGAGGCTTTTAAGGTGATATCCCCTCCTATAAAACCCCATGAAGCCCTTCTCAAAGCCCAACATAGGTAAAAATCCGTAGTGTCATGACTGGGCCCACATGACCTGCACAAGATTTGGTGTCATCCGAACCTTAGACCGGAAACAAGGCTTCATGTAGGAGTCCACAAGGCTACTACAAGGGTTTAAGGTTTGGGAAGGTTTAGGAATAGGGTCGAGGGGGGCAACGGGTTCAGTTGTTTCGGGTTTTGGGGTTTCAGTGGGGTTTCAAACCTTTCAGCTGTATGACCTGGACGACTTGAACCCTTATGTAACTCTTTCAAGCAAATTTTCAAGCCTGAACCTTAAAGCCTTCAAGCCGTGATCCCCGAAGCCTCAACCGAAAGGGCCGAACAACCAGGTGTCCACGGTCTCCTCCCGGCGCCGCCGCTAAGCGCTTAAGCGAGTGGAGCTCCTCAGCATCGCGGGCCGTAGGGAGCAAGTGGAGGCCCCTTCGGGGTTCGACTGCGCCACGTGTGATTAAGGCGTAGGGCGTTAGGGGTCTTACGGGTTTCAGTGCTTTAGGGTTTAGGGTGTTAGCGGTGAGGGTACAGATACATGCATTGCGCTCATGTGGCTGCGATTTGCGATTTCACATGACTAGCCGGTCGTTATCATCGTCCCAGCGGATCCCAAGTACCTGCATAGTCGAAAGTTGGGTTTCAATGCGAGGAAATACTGCTATGGTGCAGCATAAGTATCACCCCATATAGACCCTGGCAAAGACGCTTTTGACTACTTGGCTTTCTTTCAATCTCCGGGCACCCATCCTATTTTTCTCGGGTTTGGGGCTACACGTGCTGTATCATATAGAGAGAAATATTATGTTATGCTGTATTATATAACCTATACATGTAGTACCCTAGTGATGCTCCTGCTACTATGGCAGCGTAACGTCGGCCTCTTCATTCGTCGAGTCGCTTGCCCTGGACACCTTCGCGACTTTTGTCTCTTCTAGTCCGTTAGAGCGTTGCCTAAACCCGACAATTTTGTTGTTGGTTTGTCATGGCCACGAGGAACTACTGGCATCGTCACTAGCACTAGTCAAGACTCTTGTTAGCATTTCTGCTGCCGGTGCCGGTGCCTTGACTTGACTGCGATGTCTATACGAGTGTCCTCTCTGTGTTGTTGATACTGTCATTACCTTTGTTCCTCGTCTTGGTTTTCGTTCTGCTATCGTGGTTGCAGCTTTTGTTACATCGAGAGAAGCCCAGAACCCTATAAACCCCCAAGTCAGGCCCATGAATTCCGTGGTTATTTGTAGAGCCCTGTACATCCCAACAGCAAACCTAGCAGCTCACAGTCTGTGTGCTTAAACGCCCGAAATCCATAACCCCAACTGCTTCATTCAAGGTTCTGTACGGGTTCCGTCCGGGCTGTTTTAGGGCCTGAGCCATAAAGCCTAATCCCACAACCGTTCCTGAAGGGTACCGTTACAGGTTCCGTAAGGGGCTCTCTTCTTACGATTCACGATTCAGGGTTAAAGGAATCAGGGTTCTGGGTCTTAGAGTTTAGGGCTTACGGTTTCGGGTTTGCAGTAGGGCTTATATACTTGTAATACATTCGACCTAGACTGTTTAGTGTATTATAGATGCGCAAGCAATAGGGAGCCCTAGACCCAAGTCTTCTGAGTTAGAGGAAAAAGAGCCCTACCAACTTGGTATCTGGTAACCCGGAGCCCTAAACCCTGAGTATATTCTTAAAAAAAAGGTAAGTATACAGGCGTCAACCCCGCAGGTGGCAAAATGCATCTTTCTTGCTTAATTCTTTTTGCTGCGCTCGTGCGTTGTGAGCGATCTGAGCCGTGATCCCAAGACTTTCCAGTGCTACGACGCCGTCGGCCGGAATCCCAACTGTCTTAACCCCCAAACTCTCCCACCACAGAAAAATGCAGCTGTCGGGAGTCTTCAGTACTTTCTTTTTATGTGGGGTGCGATTGGGGCGTTGTGCGGCTTCATTGTTCAGGGTTCGTGGTATTGTTGGGGTTTAGGTTGTGGGTTTGGGATAGTTGTGGTGATACAGCTCAGGGCTTCAAAGCTTACAGGCTTACACCTTAAACATCCTAAATCCTAAACCCTAAACCCTTTAGGATCTCGGCTTAGCTTTACAAAACACTCTATAAACCCCCATGCCCCAAAAATCCTAATTCTAAATAAATCCTCTCCTAGTAGTAGAGTAGGTAACCTTTAACCTTTTTGGGGTGTATAACTCCAATATAACCCCTATACAAGCAAAAAAGTTGACCTTTAGTTCCCCATGATACCCGACAAGTAGGCTATAGAAGCCCGAAGACAGCTTGAACGGCTGATCGCTCCAGCACTTCGTGGCATGCGAAATTTTTCTCGTCATAGGAGTGCACTGAGCATCTCTCCGGTGAAAGGTCGCTTCGGGAACCCAAACCGGAACTTAGAAGCATTGAGGGATTTGTTCAGGGTTTGGGGTCCTTGGGTTTACGGCTTTAGGTTGTAGCGCTTTAAGGTTTGGGGTTCTACCTACGCGTTCAGGGTTTAGGGCGGGTTCAGGTCACATTTAAATTAATCCTTGAATCTACGCCCGGCCCGGGGAGGGAAGGGGGTTGTCCGAAAAGCCGAAACTGCTGGGTCGCTTTGGTCACTGCTTTCAGGGATCTTTCTGCTGCGCTTCTATCAAGATCCCTACGAAAGGGCTTCTAAACAGCAGAACCATTCGTGCATGAGGACCCCAAACCTAGGATTGGGGGGTTTGTCGTTGAAGCAGTCAGTCTCAGGCTTTCTTGGTTAAGCAGTTGTTCATGCTCAGCTTTATTCCCTGAACCCGAAACCCTAAACCGGAAACCCGAAACCCAAGAGCCCTCAAAAAAACACCCAATCCTAAACCCTAAACCGCGCCTGACTTGCATCTGAAAAGGGCCCCGCCTGTACCCGAAGCCGGAGATTTTCGTGCAACACGCAGAAAGGCGAAGGGGACTGCCCAACGAGAGCCTACGGAGCCTTTACCTCTGAGAATTCGAAGTTGGATGTGAGGAGACGGAGCATGAATATGGTTTAGGGTACCGGCCG